ATACCAAATTGGTATTGCATACTATTAATGAAGGGTAATTATGATGTATAGTTTGGGGAAAAAATTTAGTACTAGTCAGTAATCATAATGAATTTAATGTTATTGTTAAGATTAAAGGTTAGTGGGAAATAAGAATTGTTATGGTTTTGCTTTATGTTTGATGGGAAGAGATAGATTCAAATATTGATCAAATTTCTGTTTTATGTTTTGTTTTTTCTAATGAAGATTCCTTTCAATGTATATCTATTTTCTACAAATAATAAATAGACTCCTTCAAACTTATCATTCTCTCTGTATTTTCCATCACCCACAATAATAAAATAAATTGATCACCAAGTTAAGTTTTCACATTATGAAAGATGTCACATTGTTAATTTGAACGTACAAAAACATATTGAATTTAAGTCCAATCGACCGAGTCAATTCATCTAAATCCTTAGACTTATATATAACTATCGTCTATCTATGATTACATACTTTTTAGTAAAAGATTCAACATTTTTAATATTAAAATCTTTGAACATGTACCATATTAAAAAAAAAAACTTTGAATATGTAAACATCTATAGAAAAGTAATGAAAACCTTTGAATAAGTACACATATGAATAATAAAAGCCTAAGTCAAAAGAAACTTAACACGTTATATGTCTACACAAAAACAGCAAGAAAGTATATATATACGCATATTAGCGAGGATAGTATATGTAACGATTTCTACTATAAAATGGAGACTTGGGTAATAATCATCATAGCTATTGCTTCTTGTGTTGGTGCTTTGATATTTATTGTAGCCTTGGCTGGAGGAGGGGTCAAAGGTGGGGGTGGTGATGACGGAGGAGGCGGAGGCGGAAGCGGAGGAGATGGAGGTTTAAGATGTGGTGGTTATTCTGGGGGTCATGGAGGGTATTGGAATAGTGGTGGCAGAGGTGGCGGCTGGTTTGGTGGTGGTGGAGGTTTTGGAGGCGGGGACGGTGGTGGGGGTTTTGGTGGTGGCGGTGGTGATGTAGGTGGAGGCGGAGAGGCGGAGGCGGAGGCGGAGGAGGTTGCTGAGCATCGGTGTGACATACCATTTTAGACAAAGTTAATGTTCAGAAAATTCCTAGTATTTGTTTTCTCTGTAAAATAGTTTTTGTGAGGCAAATATATATATATATATATACATATATATATATATAATTTTTGAATGTGTATATGAGATTGTTGATTGTTTATGTATATTACTTGTAGTTCTTGTGAAGTTGGTTTGATGTCCTAGCATATACTATCAATGATGATATATGTAATTATGTTATTCTTCATGATATATGTAATTAGGTATATATAACATGGTAATACTGTAATAGCATATACTATCAATGATGTAGTTTGGATGAATGGTTTAAAGCCAAAAAGAGATTTACCTATATTTATACTTACATGACGCCATCTTACGACTTGATGATGAGACTAAGTCATCAACTGGACAACAAAAGATTATATCCAAATATGAAAATAGTGTTAAGAAAACAAAAATTAGAACTCTTGGACTGTTCAAAGTATCCATATAATTTTATTTTTTTTTGTAGTTCATGGCAACTATTAAGAGAGGAGTAACTGGTGTAAAAACTAAATAAAAAAAGAAGAAGATCTAATACTAACCTGAAAATCACAATATGTATCACGAATGTGTATTGATTGTATAATTTGAATATTGTTGGACATCAAATAGTGAAGGATTAAAATCGTGGGTAGAGGATGTAATAGAAGTATGGTTGCCGAAGATTTGGGTCACTATAAAATAACTACCATATTCGTACGTGGTACGTTGTAGACTTGTAGTGGTAGCTGGAAGCAATATTTCTTTTCATGTGTTGAGATCGATTGGAATGAATTACTGGATCTCATTTAATCGATCTGTTTTTATGTGTTTAACTAAAGTAATATTTCCAGAGTTTATGGGGTTTTAAGCTAATAAAGTTAAGAGTGTATTGGTAGAAAAAGATGTTAAAAAGTTTCGGCGGGTTGGGCGTTGGAGACCTTTGTAGTATACTAGACACTAGACACTCGTATATATATGCTTAGTTTTTAATTTTTGTCAAAAACAGAAGAAAAAGAAAGTCCTGCTAGCATTTAATACGGATCGCGTTGTCATTATTGAACCCTATTAACCAAACTTTCATCAAAGCATAATCATGCTTGACATGTACATGTTTGATAAATCTATTGTCAGTTGAAACAAGTTAATTAGAAGAAATAAAAAAAGTTATAAAAAATATTGAACTGAGTATTTGGAGTGATTTGAATTAAAATGACAAATTTTATGTTATTCAAACATAAATTTTAAAGAGTTTTGCAAAATCCAGTGTTGTTGGATATAAGATTTGTAAAAATCTCTTAAATCCATTGTTATTGGAAATGGTTTAAATATTGTAATTTTGATAATTTCAAGAGATTATAGAGAGTTTTCTTAGTTAAAAAAATAAAGACCCAAACCCCATATATAACTTCATATGGATTGCAGAGAATTTTAAACAAAATCATCAAAATCTTCTAAAATCTTTCAAACCCCAAATTACTTTAAATATCCTGTTCAATACATCCCCAAAGCCTTTATAACCTTGAAAAATTGACTATTTTTGTCGTTTTTATTTTTAAATTAAAATTCAGCAGCTGGGAATGTGTAAAAGTATGTAAAAGTCAGTCAAAAAATGAAAATTCAGCAGCTGGGAATGTGTAAAAGCATGTAGAATTGTAGATGATATAATACGTTCTTTTAACTAACCTATCTGTGTCTATATCTAAATGCACAATTGCACATTAAACAAAAAATTGAAGAAGAAGAGATCTGTTCCACCGCTTTAATCAGTCAACTCGTCGAAAGTCAACTAACAAACGGTATGACATTCTGTCACAATAGTAAACATGATTATACATATACAACTCTCAAGTTTTAATATTCAAAGAAGCTTTTGTTATATTCCAACATCAACACCCAAAAACGTTAAAGATGGCTCCAAGGACACCAAAACGCCGCACCGTTCAGCATTTCACGCATATTCATCCACTAACGGAGTTTAACAGCGTCGGTGACTTCAACTGCGACGGCTGCAAAACCTACGGCTCAGGCAAAACCTATCGATGCGAACCATGCAACTACGATCTCCACGAATACTGTGCCACGTGTCCACTCACCCTCCCGACCTTCATTCATCCCCAGCACGAGCTCAGCCTCGTCGTCCGTAAACAACAGTCCACGCGCCAAAACGAACGCGCGTGCGACATCTGCAACGAGTCTGTCGAGGGTTTGTTCTACAGATGCAAGCTATGTGAGTTCGACGTACACCCGCTCTGCACGCAGCTGCCTCAGCACGTGAGGCACGTGCTTCACCCTGCTCATCACTTGGAGTTTCGCCTCGGTGGAGCAAGCGCGTGTATGGTTTGTCGTGGCCCGTGCCAGTCTTGGAGATATAGGTGTGAGCTATGTAGGTTTGATATTCATATGGAGTGTATCTTAGCCGTGTGTAACACGTCACCTTCTGACCCGACAGATGAATCGGGTATTAAAAGCAGAGGGCTCAAGGCACATGGAGGACAACCATCTTCATCGGCGTCGTGGCAACAACCGCATGTTGGTTACCCTTATGGTTATGGACCGATGGGTCAACAACCGGCTTTTGGTTACCCTTATGCGTATGGTCACAGCCTTATCATCTCTAACCCTAATAACTTTAGTTACATGAACGGGTTCGATATGACCAGGGCCAAGTACCAGTGGCCGGAGCGGGTCAAAAGCCGAATCCGGGTAAGGGCTGGAGAATGTTTACCGTTGCGTCGAAGCTAACAATTGGGGTGGTTTCTAATGTACTGTTTGGGCTTTCCGTTGAAAGTCTTTTTGCGTGAGTTTTGAATTTTTACAAAGAAAACGCAAACATGTATTATTTTGTTGTTTTTTTTTTGTATTTTAATATTTTGTGCCAAAAATGCAGAAACTTTTTCAACAAATAAAAATCATTCTGGCCAAAGTAACCACTCAAAGTCTCAAACTTTATGCAAATCAGTTTGTATCAGGTTCTCTACTTTTCCTTTTTTTGCTACACAGTTGTGTAAAATAAAATCACAACACTGAAAATTATGTTAACTGTAATAAATAATCACCAATTTGTTCTTCCGAATAGATACTAGGAAAGATCGAAAACAATCATTTATCAACTATATATCATTTAAATAGAAAAACATTACAATTTAGATATATATTTTTGTAATAATTATGTTGTTTGGATAGTAGAAAAAATCCATTCATTTGAACGTATAAAAAAAAGTCAAGAGGCGATAAAACGTTAATCATGGGTTGATAAGGCTACCCAATCCAAGGCATGTCATGATGCTTTCAGGTTCTTGGAATGAGGTGCGATCATAACTTACAAAATACAAGCACATGGAGTATACATCGTGGGAGGAATAACCATGGAGTAAAAATCTGATTCTCAAACAACAGATTAAGCTATGGTTTACATCCAATCTGACTCAATAACAAAGGGAAATTATTTCTTGATATATCATGTTCTTCGACCATTGGAAAATATTCGAAAGAAATGAATATTTATTGTGTAGATTTATTTGTGAAAATCGACTAAAAAACTCATACGTTTTAAAAAAAATGAAAAAAAAAAAGAAATTGTGACGCGAATCAAAAGAGGCCAAATTCAGTCAACTAGCCAAAGTCAACTACACTACTTCACCACGTTCTCAAAATTTCTAAAGACCAAGTTAAAGTTATTGTTTTTGGCGTACAAGTGAACGAAAGCTAATATTTTTGTAAGGACAGCTATACAGAAACTATTATTTGTTTGATGGTCTAAAGACTCTAAACCAAAGTTTTAACTCAAGTAGTCAAGTTGCCAAAAAAAGTTTGTTTGAGAATGGTTCTAAAAACTAGTTCTTTTTAAACCACCCCACTCATTCTCTCAAATCTTAACCGTTCTCAAGAACAAACAAATAAGAACCACGAAATGTCTTCGTCAAGTCACGTAGTCCAACATTTCACCCATATGCATCCATTAACAAAGTTTGATGGATATGGCGAGTTCACATGCAATGGCTGCAAAACCTACGGTTTTGGGAAGACCTACCGTTGCTCCTGGTGCGACTACAATCTCCACGATCACTGCGCTACGTGTCCCCCTACCCTCCTCAGCTTCATGCATCCACAACACGAGCTACGACTAGTCTTTAGAGGACCAGAGCAGACGCACCATGACAAACGTATGTGCGACATCTGCGACGAATCAGCCGAAGGGCTCTTTTACCAATGCGAGCCTTGCGGCTTCGACGTCCATCCACTCTGCACGTGGCTGCCTCAGCACGTGAGGCACGTGCCCCATCAGGCCCATCTCTTAGACCTGAGTCATTGGGGAGCAAGCAGCGCGTGCATGGTTTGCCACGGGGCAATCCGGTCTTGGCGGTACAAGTGTGGTCCATGCCGGTTAGATGTTCACATGGAATGCGTTAATTCGTCAGCATCATCAGTCGCAGCGACGACGTTTCAGGAGAGGTGTTATGATGGGTCACAACCGTATTATCACCCTTCTCAGTATTACCAGCCTTATTACAATCACGGATATACAAATCATCAAGGTCATGTTCAAGAGTCGCGTCCAAGTATAGGAAGAAGAATGTTTGGCGTTTTGATGGCTCTAACGGTTGGTGTTGTTTGCAATATCATCGCTGCACCGGTCTCCGAAGCCTTTAGCGGCGGCTTTTGAAATGGCACGTCTCTAACATTAACTTCCTGCCATGCTATGTCTTGTTTCTCTATTCGTTATGTTTGTTTTCTTTTTCGTTTTTTTTTTTCGTTATGTTTGCTTTCTTTTTCGTTATATATGTTTGATTTCTTTTTCTTTTTATACAATAAATTTAGAAAATTTTAAAAAGTACGTGTTACCATATTAAGGCGACTCCGGTTGAGCACCCTGAAAAATACCATTTTTACTTTATTTATTTTTTCCAGATAAACCACCTAATTTACAGTGTCATCGGATTTTATTTATTTGGAATTGTTCAAAAGAGATGATCCACGTTCGTATTAACCGAATTCGTTGGAAAATTATTTTGAATCAACATGATCGGTGATAAATTCCAAATTTGTAAGAAAGAAAGATACTCAGGGTAATTGTTTCCTCCGCTTCCAAACTAAATTGGATAAAAAAGTTGATTCTATTAATTCATAAACTAGAATGTTTATACAAGTACGTAAATATAAACCCAATAGAAGAAATTGGTACTAAAGATAATGGACTAAGACTCTTCTGCACATCATTATCTCAATAACTCCACATGGACCACATCTCTGGCAAGTCTATTTGATCTCCATAATTTCGTATCATTTTTCTTTTGATGTTTCAAACTATTTACTATTGGATGTTTTGGAACAGTTTTGGTTGGACTATTTCCACCACTTCGGTCTACATTTCCGAGAATCTTCGTATTCCGTTGGACTCGTACGTGTATGCAAGGCTTTTCTCTTGGCCTTACGACCACCTTGTTCCACATGCATGTCCAAACAAAATGGGTACACGAGCGGATTCAGAAATTTATTTAATCTGGAACAAACATTTTTTGTTGTGTAAGTAATAAAATAATTTATCGAAAAATATAGTAACACTAGCATTAAAAAAAAGTCTATACCATCATAGATCTCAGCCTGTGCGAACTAGAGTTCCCCACAGTCCACCAAATAGACCTATTTCAAACATCTACAAGACATATAGACATAATAAAAATCTTTAATTGGAAGTAAAAAAAAAAAAACACTACAACTAAACTAAGAAATCAATTCCATACATAAAACATTAATCTCTTAACATATTTTTTGACTGATATGTTTTATTTATCGTCTTTTAAATGATAGTTCTAATTTTGAATAAAAATATTTTACTTTTGAGTTTAACATTTCACTGTAATCCAGTCCATTTTCTACTGTGAAAATTGGAGCGCAGTCCTTTATCATGAAGACAATGAAATGTTGATATGTGATTATGAGGAAGAGGCCACAATATTGATCGTTAAGTCATACATAGTCAGTCAACTAAATTACGGTACCACACATTTCTAGAGCACGTTAACCTTATCTAGACAAGTCAACAAAAGTACTATCTTTCAGTCTTTTGTAACCAGTCTAGCGAAAGTTCTTATTTATTTCCGAAACAATATTTGGAATCATCTCAAAAGTATTCGTTCTTATACCACCGTTTATTTTCTCAAATCCGAACCTTTTTTTAAAAAAACACACACACACACACCAAAAACGCTAAAGATGGCTTCAAAGACACCAAAACCGCGCGCCGTTCAGCATTTCACGCACAATCATCCACTAACGGAGTTGAACATCGCATGTGACTTTATCTGCGACGGCTGCAAAACCTACGGCTCAGACAAAACCTATAGATGCGAGCCATGCAACTACGATCTCCACGAATACTGCGCCACGTGTCCCTTCACCCTCCAAAACTTCACTCATCCCCAGCACGAGATCAGCCTCTTCCGTCAAAAGCAGTCCACGCGCCAGAACGAACGCGTGTGCGACATCTGCAACGAGTCCGTCGAGGGTTTGTTCTACAGATGCAAGCTATGTGAGTTCGACGTACATCCGCTCTGCACGCAGCTGCCGCAGCACGTGAGGCACGTGCTTCACCCTGCTCATCACTTGGAGTTTCGCCTCGGTGGAGAGAGCACGTGTATGGTTTGTCAAGGCTCGTGCCAATCTTGGAGGTATAGGTGTGAGCTCTGCAAGTTCGATATTCATATTGAGTGTATCTTAGCCGTGTGCAACACGTCACCTTCTAACCAGACCGATGAATCGGGTACTAAAAGCAGAGGGCTTAAGGCACAGGGAGGACAATCATCGTCATTGGCGTCGCGTCGTCCAAGTATAGGAAGAAGAATGTTTAGGGTTTTGAAGGCTCTAACGGTTGGGGTTGTTTGCAATCTCATCGCTGGACCGATCTCCGAAGCCCTTAAATAGCGGCAGCTTTTGAAATTAACATCCTGCCATTATATATTCGTGATGTTTGTTTTCTTTTTCGTTTTGAACAATAAATTAAATTAAAAAGTACCTTAAAAGACCATTAGGATTTGTTTTTTTTCAAATAAACCACATAACTTACGGTGTCATCGGATCAATTTGGGATTGTCCAAAAGAGATTCACGATCATACTAACCGAATTCGTTGGAAAATGATCTTGAATAAAAAAAGATGGGTGATAAATTCCAAATTTGTAAGAAAGAAAGATACTGAAGGGTAATTGTTTTCCTTCTCCGCTCCCAAACTAAATTGTATAAAAAAGTTGGTTGTATATTAATTCACAAACTAGAGAGTGTTTATACAAGTACGCAAAACATTAACCGAATAGAAATGGGAACTAAAGATAATGGTAAATCTAGATAAACTAAGATTCTCTACATCATTATCTCAATAGCGCCCCATATGAACCACTTCTCTGGCAAGTAGTATCAATATTTATACCTCATTCAACTTTAAAATATTTTTGCTCATCTACTCGTCTATCTTTGCTCATCTATTTGATCTCCATAATTTCCTCATCATTTTATTTTGATTTCTTTTGATGTTTCAAACTATTTACTACATTGGATGTTTTGGTACAGCTTTTGGTTGGACTATTAATTTCCACAATTTCCATTTTTCTCTTTTTAATTATTTATTTTTATGAATTCACCATTTCGGTCTACATTTCCGAGAATCTACGTATTCCGTTGGATTCGTACGTGTGTTTTTAAGGCTTTTCTCTTGGCCTTACAACTACCTTATTCCACATGCATGTCCAAATAAAATGGGGTACACAGCAGAGCGGATCCAGAAATTTATTTAATACGAAACACACATTCTTTTGTATGTAATAAAATAATTTATCGAAAAATATAGTAACAATAGCATCAAAAAAAGAGTCTAATGTCATAGATCTTTTCGAAGAAGAAGTAGAATTGCTCTTAACGAACAAATTATTAGCTCAGCCACAGTATAAAAATTGTTATAGACAACCAATTAGGAGAAAATATTGAGTCAACAAAATAGGGTTTTAGAAAAGTTATTAAGTTCATTAAAAATGATTTAGGCTGGAGAACTTTCTTTTGTTCTTAATTGAGTTGAGGCACATCTCTTTTATTTTTATGTTTGGCTGAATGATATTCATGAACTTAAATTACTAAAAAGAAGTATGTGGTATATGCCACACCTTTCTTTAATTTGCGTCCAAATAACTTTTTGAAGTGTTTAATGGAAATTCTTTGGAATGTTTATATGTTTTAGTAAACCTTTTATAAGTTTCTATTTAGAAACCATTAATAAAAAAATATACAAATTCTCTCAGCCTGTGCGCACTAGCTATAGAATTACCCCCAGTTCACCAAACAGAACTATTTCAAACTTCTACAAGATATATAGACAAAATAAAAATCTTTAACTGGAACAGAAAAAAACACAACAACTAAACTAAGAAATCAATTCCATACATAAAACATTAATCTCTTAACATATTTTTTAACTGATAGGTTTTATTTGTCGTCTTTTAGTTGATAGTTTTAAGTTTGTATAAAAATTTTTTACTTTTGAGATTAACATTTCACTTTAAGCCAGTCCATATTCTACTTGTGAATATTGAAGCGCAGTCCGTGATCATCAAGACAATGAAATGTGGATATGCATGTGATTATGAGGAAGAGGCCACATTGACCGTTAAGGCATACATAGTCAGTCAACTGAGTTACTCTACCACACATTTCTAGAGCATGTTAACCTTAGCTGGACAAGTCAACAAAAGTGTTCTCTTTTGTAAGCACGAGTAATCGAAAGTTCTTAGTTATGTCCGAAACAATGTTTGGATTCGTCTCAAAAAGTATTCGTTCTTATATATACCACCGTTTCTTCTCTCAAATCCTAACCATTCTAAAAAAAGAACACACACACACACACACACACCAAAAACGGTAAAGATGGCTCCAAAACATCGCGTCGTTCAGCATTTCACGCACAACCATCCACTAATGGAAACGAACATCGCCCGTGACTTCATCTGCGACGGCTGCGAAACCTACGGCTCAGACAAAACCTATCGATGCGAAACATGCGACTACGATCTCCACGAATACTGCGCCACGTGTCCCTTCACCCTCCAAAACTTCACTCATCCCCAGCACGAGCTCAGCCTCTTCCGTCAAAAGCAGTCCACGCGCCAGAACGAACGCGTGTGCGACATCTGCAACGAGTCCGTCGAGGGTTTGTTCTACAGATGCAAGCTATGTGAGTTCGACGTACACCCGCTCTGCACGCAGCTGCCTCAGCACGTGAGGCACGTGCTTCACCCTGCTCATCACTTGGAGTTTCGCCTCGGGGGAGCCAGCACGTGTATGGTTTGTCACGGCTCGTGCCAATCTTGGAGGTTTAGGTGTGAGCTCTGTAAGTTCGATATTCATACGGAGTGTATCTTAGCCGAGTCACCATCGTCATTGGCGTCCGGTTCGAGTACAGGAAGAAGAATCTTTAGGGTTTTGAAGAATGTAACGGTTGGTGTTGTTTGCAATATCATCGCTTCACCGATCACTGAATTCCTTAAATAGCGGCAGCTTTTGAAATGGCACGTCTCGAACATTTACATCCTGCCATTTTATATGTCTTATGATCTATTCGTGATGTTTCTTTTCTTTTTCGTTTTGAACAAGAAATTTACTAAATGTGAAGAAAAAAAAAAAATAAAGTACCCTGAAAAGTGAAAAACCATGTCATTTGTTTTTTTTTTCCAAATAATTAAACCACTTAGTCATCGGATCAATATGAAATTTTCCAAAAGAGATTCACGTTCGTATTAATCGAATTTGTTGGAAAATGATCTTGAATCAACAAGATCGGTGATAAAATCCAATTTTGTGAGAAAGAAAGATACTTAGTGTAGTTATTTTTTCCTCCACCGCTCCCAAACTAAATTGGATAAAAAAGGTTGGTTGTATTAATTAATTCACAAACTAGAGTGTTTATACAGGTACGTAAAACATTAACCCAATAGAAGTTGGTAAATCTAGATAAATTAAGATTCTCTATCTACATCATTAACTCAATAGCTCCACATGGACCACATCTCTGGCAAGTAGTATCAATATTTATTCCTTGTTCAACTTTAAAATATCTTTGCTCGTATATTTGATCTCCATAATTTCCTCATCATTTTATTTTGATTTTCTTTTGATGGTTCAAACTATATTTATTTACTACATTGGATGTTTTGGTACAGCTTTTGGTTGGACTATTAATTTCCACAATTACCATTTTTTCTTTTTAATTCTTTATTTTTATGATTTTTCACCATTTCGATCGGTCTACATTTCCGAGAATCTTTCCGTTGGACTCGTACTTGTGTGTAACTAATTCCATACATAAAACATTAATTTCTCAACATATTTTTTAATTGATAGTTTTAAGTTAGAATAAAAATATTTTACTTTTGAGATTAACAATGTCATTGTAACAGTCCATTTTCTATTGTGAAAATAGGAGCACTGTCCTTGATCATTAAGAAAATGAAATGTATTTATGAGGAAGAGGACGGATTGACCATTAAGGCATATATAGCCAGTCAACTAAACTACTCTACCACACATTATATGAGTTTCTAATTAACGAGCACGTTAAAGTTAGCCGTGTAAGTGAACACAAGATTTCTCTTTTGTAACCACAAGAAATCGAAAGTTCTTAGTTATTTTCGAAACAATGTTTGCAATGGTCTCAAATGTATTCGGTGTTTACCATCTTTAAATATACGCCACATCTTACAATAACTTGCATCTAAAGTTCTTTACTATAATGGATCCGGAATCCAATATAACTAGGGCAGCAGTGTTTTTTAAAGAAGACTTTGAAAACGTAGGAGGATCACTTTGAGAGAGTTTATTATGCGTAAAATGGTGTATCTTTCTCTAGGAAACAAGTTACAGTACTAATAAATAGATCTATGACAAATCCGTAATTGATTTGGCACATCCAATGATGAGTCTCATATCTCACCGTCCCAAAGTTGTTCAAGAGTCTTATAAGGACTAGTCTCATGAACAAATGACATGCCTCTCACCAATCTACCCTGCAGAGCATTGAAACACATCTTAAATTTTAGATAAGCGGAGTACATGAGCAAAAACAGAGAAAGCTTTTGACCTATTTGGAATGCAATCACTTGCCTGTTCAATCTCAGCAAACTTGGATAACATGTCATGTGGTATGGACCAATTGAAAACATCGAAATTCTGTTTGATTCTGTCTTCATGGGTGCTTTTTGGAAGAACACTTTGACCCATTTGGAGACCCCAGCGTAATGCAACTTGCGCAGGACTCTTGCCGAGCTTCTCAGCAACCGCAACTAGAATCGGGTTCTTTAGAACATCACTCTTAAGCCACGTTGTCCCTGGAGAACCCAACGGAGAGTATCCCTACAAAAAAATATCAACTAATGTTTAATATTTCCGAGATCTTTTGTCAGTTTTGCAAAAAGGTTATGGCAAATGTTTGTGCTACATACAGAGAGGTGAACGCCTTTAGATTTACAGAAATCCCTGAGCACAGTTTGTTGCCACGAAGGGTGACACTCCACCTGGTTAACAGCAGGAGGGACGCGAGCCACCTCCAAGAGATCTGCGAGTTTCTTTGAGGAAAAGTTGCTTACACCAATAGCTCGGGCCTTTCCCAAATCAAAGAGTGCTTCCATTGCTTTCCATGTGCTAGGAATATCAGTTGGCAGAATGTTCTCTGGCTTAAAACCAGTAGAACCTTTCTTGAGGCTAACAGGCCAGTGGATCTGCAAAAGGGTCACAAAAACTGTTGATCAGTTGAATTGGTTCCACAAAATGGCGCAAGATGTCAATTGAAAAAGGCTTAGATGTTCGACCAATATTTCACAAGAGTCCTAAGATTCTCAAATCTTAACAAATGCAGTAACATACACATAAATCAAACCACATCTAAAAGCACAACTCAGGTTCAGGAACCAATTTGGATCACTGCAAGTTATGTTGAAGAGAAACACACATGGATAATTCGTCGAAAGGAACAAGAAAAGGTTTCCTAATATATTACTTACGAGATACAAATCAACATAGTCAAGCTGTAGATCCTGTAGAGTTCTGTACAGAGCCTCTGGCACATCTTGAGGATCATGATAAGTACACCTTTCATATGAGCAAGTGACCAGGTTAGACGATCCACAGACTTGACAACTGATTACCGGAAAAAAGAAGAAATAATCTATAAGGTAATTAAAGCATAGTGATGCAGAATACCAGAGTTTCGATGTGATGAAAATTTCCTCACGCTTAACAACTCCATCATCGAACAATTTCTTCAGGACTAACCCAATCTGCAGTAGGAAGAAGTTGTCAGTGGCAAATAAATACAGGTGTGTTCTGTCAGTCATTAAATCAATCATTGTTGATTAACGACGAGCCTGTTATTTCTAGATTCAAAACAATAGCACAGTTTACAAACAACAGAGATCATGTCAATAAATTAACCCAAATATTAAGATATGTAGGCAAAATAATATTGTTCTAAGAGATTTCTTGGTCATCAAAACAGAGAGATACAGGATAATGAATACATATCTACAATCAAGATTGGAGCTTGAGGAAACGAGCAAAACATGATCAAACAAGGCAACTAAAGATGAGCAGTGTTAAGCAACCCATTGTGATACACAGCATACGCATAATCAAGAGCACAATGTTTTTGCATCAAGAAGCGAGATACAAGTATGAAACTAAAGACTGGAAATATTAACAATCATGAACCAATACAGCTTAACCTAAAACTTTCAAAACTTATACAAGGAACAGAACCATAATCTAAACGAAATATACAAAATCCTTGAAACCAAAGATGACTATGCTTACCTCCTTCTCGTTTCCATAGATTTGAGCACAATCAATGTGCCGATAGCCGATCTGCATAGTAGAAGAATCTTCAGTTTTTTTCGTTAGAAGTGTAAATCAATTTAGGTGAAAATGACTAACTCAATAAAGAAACAAAGAGGAACTAGCAATTCAGCTATACAGATTTGGCCATAAATCCTAAAACGCAACGATCAGTGACCAGTGACCACGAAGCCACAAAATCACAGACGAACCTTAACAGCGGCTTCGACGGCGTTTCCGACGAGACCAGGATCAGCCTGCCACGTTCCGAGACCGACTGATGGTATCTTCGCTCCGGTGTTGAGCTCGAATAATCCGATTTCCTCCGCCATTATCGGAGGTACGATATGTATCTCGTGAAAGCGACACTAAGTGAAATTGATCAAAAGAGGAGAAAAAAGGAAAATGATGAAATGAGTTGGGTATAATGGACTTGCTTAGCCCATAAAGGGTAATGACTTGGGCCTTAATATTTCGTTCAAATATATTTTCTATAGAGTGCTTTTATTAAAAAAAATAGGATATATTTTCTAAAAACATGTGTAAAAATAAAATAAATGTATAAAACTAAATAAAAAAATGTCGATTCAACAACCATTTAACCCCTTTTTTTTTACCGATTTTTTTAGGGATTTTCATTTTCTTCTGAAAATATTCAATTGTTAGCATCAAGGAATTATATATATGATAGTGGCCGGCTCAGTTTGTAATTGTTGTTTTTTCCTTTTTCTTATATACCACTAGTATTACTGTAATGGTTGAAAACTTGAAGACACGTCCTCAGTTGAAAACCAGACATGTAATAGAACATTTCAACGTAAATTCGTGTATAATATCAACAACTTGAAACAGAAAAATTATAACACAAGTGACATTTTCTTTGTATGATCGGTCAACTCCACCAAAGTCAACTAAATTTGTATTAATAACAGAAGAAGGCTATTGCAGATTTTGCAAACATTTCCACTGATAACTAGCACCAAGAAAATCAAAAGCTAGCATTACCTAAACCGTGCTCCAGTTCAACACCCAAAACGGCACGGGAGGATGTCAAAACCGAACACGATTCAACATTTCACGCATAACCATCCCTTGACCGAAGCTAACGTTGTAGGAACATACACATGCAATGGTTGCAAACTGTACGGAGACGGCAAGACATACCGGTGCAAGGACTGCGATTACGATCTCCACGAATATTGTGCCACTTGTCCTGCAACCCTCAGATACTCATGGCACGCGCCTGATCATGAGCTAAGCCTCATCACCGGTCCCACGCACATGGCCGAGCGTGGATGCTATGTTTGCCGAGTCTACATCCAAGGGATGTTCTACAAATGCAAGCACTGTAGTTTTGAATCTCACCCGCATTGCGCACACGGTCCGATGCATGCGGCCTCGTCTCCTCGTGCAACAACCATAGTGAAGCAGAGAAGCTTGCATGACCACGCGGGACAGGGACAACCATCGTCGCCGCACCATTATGGTCAAGGAATCCCTTTTGGTTATGGACATATGGATCCGTATGGGCCATTCCCTCATGTTGGTGGTCATCAACCTCAGCATCCGTACATGAACCCGAGTTCTCCAAAAGCAAATCCCAGTCCAGACTCAAGCAAGGGTAAGAAGAAACCGGGAGGATTTTTGGGTCCCCTCAAGGCTGCTTTAGCTGTAACTGCTACGGTAGCAGGCCAGGTGGCCTTTGCAACAATGACCGATGGATATACAGATACTACTGCATATGATACTACTGCATATGAGTATTCAGGCATGTGAGTATTAATAGTTTCTTTTCCGATGAAATTTTTTTAATTGTTGGTGTGTCGCAATTTCGGTGTTGTTTTCCGTTACATACATATATATGTATGTATGTTTATTTTGTTTTTGTTGCTCTCCTTATATATGTTTGTATGTGTCTCAATTTCACATAATCGCATGATTGTAAATTGCTCTTGAGTCATTGATGGCGTCGGTTTTGGTTTAAATAAACTTGAATACATCAAAGTTCAAATACTCTAATACGAAAAGAGCTCAACTACAAAGATATGTATACTTGTAAATCTAAGAATTGTTACAGAATCTCTTTGTCAGCATAAGATTGTAAGAAAATTGAGCATTTGAGCTCCATCTCAAAATCAGTTAGACAAAGAGAAGAATGATTTATGGTCCTTATAAATTTTGCATTATCTTAATTTTTTTTTTAATGCGAGATTCAGAAGCTGCCGTCTCAAAATTACAATTTGTTGACATATTCATTTTCGATTATAAATCCTTATTATTTTAGGTTTGATCACTCGTTTGGACATTTAGCTCTAATGCAATGTGAATGTAGGGTTTGATTGGTATGGTCACAACCATATGCAAGTTTCATTTTTTCGATTTTCGGTGACTAGTCTATAATACATTTCAATTGTAGAATTAGATCACTTATCTTTGTAGATGTTCAAAAAAAAAACACATATCTCTTTTACTTCAAAATTCAAAATTTAAAATATAAACAAATATGATCGTAAATTATCTCAGTGACAAGTCTTTTCTGTAACATTCATGAACAAACCAAAAACCACAGACAGAAAACAAATATATCGCTAGCTGATTATTATATCTCCCCATCCCATAATTCTTCGACAGACTTGTAAGGGCTCAGTGTCTCGTGAACAAAGAAGTAAGCATTCAATAACCTAGCCTGCATTTAATCCAAATACACACAAAACTCTTAATTCTAGATCAAACAGAGGAAAAACAGAGCAACAAAGTTTATTTGAAACCGACGTGTGGATTTAGCTGTACCTGCTCAATCTCAGAAAACTTGGCGAACAAGTCATCGGGTATTGACCAGTCGAAAATATCTAAGTTCTCTCTGATTCTTCCTTCATTGGTACTTTTGGGAAGTACACTGTTACCCATTTGGAGTCCCCAGCGAAGTGCAACTTGAGCAGCAGATTTTCCAAGCTTCTCCGCAACCATATTCAGTATTGGGTTCTTCAAAACATCGCTTTTAAGCCACGTTGTTCCTGGAGAACCCAATGGAAAGTACGCCTTGCATTGCAAGAATATTCAATCAATGTAGTATAAGGCATGTCACATATTGACAAATGGATAATAGTAAATCGATTGGTGAGATGAGTAATGCTTACACTAAGGTGAACTCCTTTGGATTTGCAGAACTCTCGTAGCTTAGTTTGTCGCCAAGAAGGATGACACTCGACCTGATTAACAGCAGGAGGAACACGACCTAACTCCAAGAGATCACCTAGTTTCTTGGTCGAGAAATTGCTTACACCTATGGCTCGTGCCTTTCCCGATTCATGGAGTGCTTCCATCGCTTTCCATGTTCTAGGAATGTCTACTGGCAAAAGGTTCTCGAGGTTAAGCTCTACAGAACCTTTTTTCATTCGTACAGGCCAGTGCATCTTCCAAAAAAAATAAACACAAAGAAACTGTTATGAAATAGTCTTCCCTCTATGAACAATCGATCCCCAAAAGCGGAAATGCTATTTAGATTAGGTTTAAGCGGAAATATAAACAAGTTTCAACACTTGTTGAAGAGATAGGTTAGGACACTCACATCTGAAAATAAATAATATGAGATCTAAAGTAATATGGGTCAATATATGTGCTCATTATCAATTGGTTTTTAGTGAAAAACTAATTCAACTTAAAATTTTATCACATAACATTTCCATCCAAGTGATGCTTAGTTGCTTACCAAATACAAATCGAGGTAGTCAAGCTGCAAATCCTGTAGAGTTCTGTCTAATGCCTCAGGCACATCTTGAGGGTCATGATCAGCACACCTTGGATGATACACAAATTGAAAATGCAAGATTAGGGCTACACATTAGTCACAGAATGTTCATTAATCATTGGATAAACACAATACAACGCAAGATACCAGAGTTTGGAGGTGATGAACAACTCCTCGCGTTTCACTACACTGTCTTCAAACAGTTTTTTCAAAACTGCCCCAATCTGCACAGGAGGAAAGATCTTTCAGTATCCTCATTGGAGACACAACCAGACAGAAACAAGAAAGCAACAAGCTTCAAGAGATTGGGAATATAACATAATTAAGCAGACCATTGACCAAGAAAAATACACATTTTATCACTGGGACTAAACAAGCAGTTGAGATATTATTCCTATGATAAATATATACATTATATATGTAAAGATTATAACATGGTCCATAGATACTAAAGTTTAGATATTTCAAAAATAAAAACTTTAAAATTTTAAGAGGAACAAACATTTGACAGAAATATTAGCCAATAATACTCAAATACGAAATATCAAATTATTGATGAGATTAGGCCTCCATAAGATAATTATCAAATCAAATTCAGATTTTGATCAAATCACTCTCATAATTACGTAGTTGTAAATCATAAATTTAACTATACATAACTAAAAATTGAAATACTTGACCAAAAAAAGGAATAATTTTTTTCATTGATTAACGACTACTTAAGGCTGGCTAATTTCAAATCAATGCCTAGCTAGAGATAATACACAAAGCACAAGGAAAACATATAAAATAAGTAAGCTTGGCTAAATCAAGCATCAATGTTTCTAATTACCTCATTTTCGTTGCCATACATCTGAGCGCAATCAATATGACGATAGCCAATCTGCAATAAGAATTCAAGAATAAATAACTTCAGTTTCACAGCTACTTACGATGAAAACTAACTCAACGATCAAACATAGATAGAGAGGCGTCGTGACATCTCTGAATAAAGTGTGGAATCCGAAGCAAACACGACACGATGAACCGAAAGACGAACCTTAACAGCGGTGGCGACGGCATCGCCGACGAGGCCAGGAGAGGCCTGCCATGTTCCGAGACCTACCGACGGGATCTTAGCGCCGGTATTGAGCTCGAAGAATCTCATCGCATTTGCCATTATCAAAGATTGGAGTGTTGAGATTCTCTGCTGTTGGCTCAACACGTACACTAATCCAAGAAAATAAAAGGCGTATTATTGACCATTACGTGTGGAGAAGTGAGAGCCACAGAGCCGGGAACTTTTTTGAAATTTTTGGTATTGTCACGTCAGATATTGACCCTTACGTGGAAGTATCTAGTTCGTGGTTTTTAGATTTCATCATTGATCTCTCGAATATGATCGGTCCACGTGGTACCTTTTGGGGTCCACGCATACATTGCGCCGACCGCAATTCATTAACACAATTTCAGTTCATCTACTTCCTATATAACCAACTCAGTTAAAATTGGTATCTGAATTGCTCATTTATATGTATTTTTTGAAGTTTAATTTCTTTTTGCCAATTATCCAAAACTTTATGTTGATTACTTGAAATACTCGTCTCATTGTTGAGTTTTACTTAAAAGTGTGAGAGTTTGGTTAATGATGTTTTAGCTGCAAGAATATTCTCGTATCGGATCCATTGCAAATGTATAATTGGATCCATTGTTAAAATTCAAAATAATAAGAAGCTGTAAATTATTTGAGTGGCATTCCTTTTCTGTAACATTCAGGAGCAAACTGAAAAGTTCAACACAGAGAGAAACCTCCCATTTATTGACAAAACAAAATAGATCAGCTGAATATAATAATCATATCTCCCCATCCCAAATTTCTTCAAGAGACTTGTAAGGGCTCAGTGTCTCGTGAACAAAGAAGGAAGCAGTCAATAACCTAGCCTGCATTTTAATCCAAAACACATAAACTCTGATTCTAGATCAAACCAATGAAAAAGCAGAGCAACTAATCTTATGTAATGAAATGTACAAGAACGAAGTGGTGATGTAGCCACTGTACCTGTTCAATCTCTGAAAACTTAGCGAACAGGTCATCAGGTATTGACCACTCGAAAACTTCAAAGTTCTCTTTGATTCTACCTTCATTAGTACTTTTTGGAAGTACACTATTACCCATTTGGAGTCCCCAGCGAAGCGCAACTTGCGCAGGAGACTTTCCAAGCTTCTCCGCAACATTAATCAGTACAGGGTTCTTCAGAACATCGCTCTTGAGCCACGTTGTTCCTGGAGAGCCCAATGGCGAGTATGCCTTGCAAGAATATCCAATCAAATGCATAAGGTGAATGCACATTTATTCACAAGGCAGAGGAAGTAACAACGATTGGTGAGATGAGTGATGCTTACAGTGAGATGAACTCCTTTGGATTTGCAGAACTCTCTTAGCTTAGTTTGTCGCCAAGAAGGATGACACTCGACCTGATTAACAGCTGGAGGAACACGAGCTGACTCCAAGAGATCACTTAGTTTCTTGGTCGAGAAGTTGCTTACACCTATGGCTCGTGCCTTGCCCGAATCATAGAGTGCTTCCATTGCTTTCCATGTGCTAGGAATATCTACAGGTAAAAGGTTCTCTGGCTTAGCTCCAACAGAACCTTTCTTCATCCGTACAGGCCAGTGCATCTTCAAGAAAAATGCTATACGGATTATGCTTAAGCAAAAATATAAATTGTGCAACTGTTGCAACGAAAAGTGATGCTTACCAGATACAGATCGACGTAGTCAAGCTGCAGATCTTGTAGAGTTCTGTTTAGTGCCTCTGGCACATCTTGAGGGTCATGATCAGTACACCTTTGATGGAACACAAAATGAAAAATGCAAGATTAAAGCTACACTTAAATTCATAGAATAATGCATTCTAATAAACACAGTATAACACAAGATACCAGAGTTTGGAAGTGATGAACAACTCCTCGCGTTTCACTACACTATCTTCAAACAGTTTTTTCAAGACTGTCCCAATCTGAACAGGAAAGCAACAAGCTTTATGAGGATTCAACAAATAAAACAGATCATTGAAATTCAAAATGCACATGTTTGTCATTACTCATTGCAATCAACACAATAAAGGTATAGTCAAGAGGAAAAACACACTGTTAATATTTGATCGTTAAATGTAAGACCGACCAATTCAAGACACACTAAAATGACTAAATCCATATGAAAGAAGAATCATCAATGTTATTCAATTGGGCTAAATCAAGCATCTATGTGTTATCTTTCTACCTCTTTTTCGTTGCCGTAGATCTGAGCGCAATCAATATGACGATATCCGAGCTGCAACCAAAAAAAAAAGAAGATTAAATATCTTCACTTGCACAGTTACATACAAAGACTTGAACGATCAATAAACATTAATCATTAAAAAAACAAAAATCCAATTGAAACAGAGAACTAATCTCTCTAAAACATTATGTATGGAATTATGTTAGGAGATCTTGGAGATTAGCATATTGTTATTAGGAAAAGTTAACATTTTGTATATTCAAAAACTAAGAAATTATAAGAGATCGACAGAAAAATACGATGAAACCATGGAATCGCGTTAACCAAAAGACGAACCTTTACAGCGGCGGCGACGGCATCGCCGACGAGGCCCGGAGAGGCTTGCCATGTTCCGAGACCCACCGACGGGATCTTAGCGCCGGTGTTAAGCTCGAAGAATCTGATCGCGTTCGCCATTATCGGAGATTAAAGATCGATAGCGTTGGTTCAAAAGCATACACAGCGCACTTCTCAACGTCCACTAATCAATAGAACAAATATAAAAAACATTCTTTTCTTGGGTAATAAATTTAACATTTTAATAAATTAAAAAAGAACCCAAAAAAAAAGGGAAGAAGTGAAAGCGACAAAGGCGGGAGAGTCGTGGCCAAAATTGATTTCTTTCTTGCGTTAGTATTGTCACGTCAGATATTGACTATGACGTGGATGTATCTTATCCGTTCATTTAGATGTCCTCTTTTGCTAATGTCGAATGTGATCATAATTTTGGGCCCACACATATATTTGTCCAATGGAAAATGGTAATCGACGGCTGATTTGAGCTCCTGTACATTTTGCACGGTCGGTGTCTTTTTTTTTTGTCGGCCGGTGTCATTTCCCTGTGAAGTTTGAACATAATAAATTTGAGAATAATATGGGAGAATTTATTAAATATGTATACAGAAAATTTTCTTTTAACTTATAAAAATAGTTTATTTGTTCTACACAATTTTTTTTAAAAGACGTTAATGTAATTTTTGATGAAAGACTCAAGACCCCCGGAGTCAATAAGAAGATTCCTTACCGGCCGTAAAAAAGATCACTTGGTTAACAGTGCAATCACTAAGATACAAAGGAGTATTTGTATGATCACTTGGTTATTATCAATAGAAAACTATTACTTGAGGTTGGAGCCGCATTCAGCTTTGTCTCTTATGTGAAGAGCGGAATGAAATTTGTGACCATTTATTTTTCTTTTTTTGTGACCATTTATTTTTCGTTTACCCATATTCATATATAGTATGGTTTGATGTTATGTGTAACGTTTTAAAACTATCGGCTGATCCAGATTGGACGGAAATGTTGCATCGAATTACACCACTAATTTGATAGAGATAGTTTTCTCCTTTTTGTGTATATGTTTCAGACTACTATATCTTATATCTTGAGGGAGAATAATAATAGGCGACAGAAGGAATATTGTCATCCGACAATCCATAATGACAATGTCCTGCTTATCGACTATCCACAATAGAGTCTTTTCCTTGCTCTCACGGCCTCACGTCCTCATCTCGTTATGAACTTCTTCTCCAACATTGGTTTCAAGTGAAAGAGATCCATTGAAGACCAATAGTATTTTCTTCCCATATTCTTTAGCTACTTCATAAAGGAAAGTTCATCCAAAAATTTGTAAAAGTCCATTATTCTTTTATTAATAAATTTTAAAATTTTTAACAATCTAGATACTTGTATCATTAATTATCCACATTTTATACATCTTTTCAATGTTACGTTTAACTTTTAATTTCGGATCATATATACTTATTGAGGTTTGTAGAAAATTTACAAAGCGAGCTAAGGATATATTTGTATGTTCGACTACAGTTGTTATATTGAATTTGTAATACTAGTTGAAAACATTTTATTGATTAAAGACTGATGAGGAAACAGTTGCCAAACCTTATTTCATGTGATAGTGGTTTTTAACTGAGAACAAACTTAAAGGGTTATATAAACAAAAGACAATTCAATGTCCTTAGCTCATCAATGGTGTTATAAACTGCTCGTCTCATACGTGAAATCAGCACCTCTGACTAACCAGCACAATAGGTTAAATAGATACACATATCTAAAACTGTATACAATTATGAAATAATCAACTCCTTCTGCAAGAATAATTTGCTAAAAATTGATCTTCAATAAATACACATGCTATTCATTCGCTTAATAAGAAGAGAATAAATTGGAGAATAATATTATTTTATTTTTAAAATATTGCAAAATAAATGAAAAAAAAATCTCAAAACAGAGTACACACTAAGAGCATCTCCAATGGTTTCTTCATTTTTTCCTTCAAAAATGAATTGGAGCAAACTTTCTTCATTTTTTTCTTCAAAAAGAATATTTCATGCATATTTTATCTCTATTTTTTTATTAATTGCTAACAAGGTCCTATACTTTTCAGTTTTACAAATTTTCACCTATTTATTTACGTAAAATAATTATTCAACCAAATTATAATTTTTATATAATTTAAAAATTTATGACATAAAGAAAATTACAATACATAATATATAATGTAAATAAGAACAAATCATGCATAATTTTATGATGTACTAGAAGGCACATATTTTTCTCATAGATGATCAATTAATGCATTTCGAAGAGAGAAATGAACTTCTTTATCCTTGATTTTTTTATAACGAGCCAAAAATTCTTGGAACCGGATACTTTCATTCGCTTCTATTTTAACCTCTAGAGGTGGAACTTTTCTTCTTACTTCAATTGGTGCACTGAGATCACGCTCATCTTCAATTATCATATTATGTAAAATTATACAAATGGTCATTATGTCATGTAACACATTCTTATCCCAAAAACGAGCTGGCCCTTTCACAATTGCGAAACGTGATTGAAGAACACCAAATGCCCGTTCTACATCTTTCTTGCTAGCTTCTTGTTGTGTAGCAAAATATTTTTTTTTAACATATGTTCAAGCTGAACAAGCACGGATTTTACAGAAAATGGCTGAACAACAACAAAATCAGCAAACTCCTCCTTCAGCATCAACTTCATTTGGACAGTATTTTAATCATCTTGATGGACCTGGAAGTGATTTTCCAAATTATTAAGTTGTTAGTTTATGTTATGTTAAGTTTATTATTTATAAATAATTTAGTATTAATTATGCATTTTTGATTTCTATGTTCTTGTATTTTCTATATAATATATGTTATTGTATATTTTTACTGTGCTTATTGTATTTTTATTTTATAATTTAATTAAAAAAATTAACAGTTTTAAAATTAATTGGATTAAAAACATATAAATTTTGTTTGTGTATAAAACAAAGCATGTAAAAAGTCAAAGATACATTTTATAAATAAAAAAGTTTACCTTCAAAAAATGAAGAAATGAACAGTATTCCTTTAAATTTGAAGGAACACTGTTTATTTTTTCATTTTGAAGATGAATTTGAAATACCATTGGAGAACATTTCTTCATTTTTATCTTCAAAATAAAAGAAAAAAATGAAAAATGAAAGACCATTGGAGATGCTTTCACGGAAGCAAATAAAAAAAAAAACAGAATATTGAAAACGGATAGGATCCAACACTACACATCAATGTAGCATTCCTCATTTCCTCTGCTCCACGAGCAACATACGACGAAAGGCGAAGGTAGAAAAATATTCAGATTTGCAATTAATAGAGATGGAAACGCATTTGTAAGATCAAATAATATAGTTTTCTAACGGTCAGGGTTTGGATTTCGATTTCAGATCATACATAAGTTTTGCGGATTACACAAGATTTTCAACGCTAAAATATGAAGGATATATTCGCAGGTTGGACTAAAGCAGTTATGATGAATTCGTAGTACACAGTCTATTGTTTGAAGACTGAACTAAGTAAACAGTTTCCAAAGCTTGGGAAGTTTCATGTAGTGTTTCTAACCGATAACAAACATGAAGGATTTATTAAACAGAAAATAATTCGATGTCCTTAACGTCTAGATGAAGCTTTTCAGATTTCACCGTCCCATAGCTCATCAATGGTCTTATAGAAGCCATTCGTCTCATGCACGAAATCAGCACCTGGGACTAACTTCTCCTGCAAGATTTAAAGGAAACGTGAAAACCAAGATTCGATGATCTAAATAATCAACAATGAAGGGTGTTCTTAGAGTTATGTGGGATGATTTTTCCCAGAATCTGACTTAATAATCTCCCGTAAAAAGAATGGAAAAACAGGAAAGAACTTGCCTGAGGAATGTTGGAGAACTTGACAAGCAGATCTTCAGGTATGGACCAGTCAAAAACATCAAGATTCTCCTGGAGTCTAGCCTCGCTCGAGCTCTTTGGTAGGACACTATGACCCATTTGGAGTCCCCAACGAAGAGCCACTTGAGCGGTGGTCTTTCCAAGTTTCTCTGCAACCTCGGCGACAATCTGGTTCTGAAGAACCTTTAACCTGACTTCTCCCTTAGATTGTGAACCCAATGGAGAGTAACCCTATCATCAAAGCCGAAACCAATGATGGTGTCTTCGTTAATTCATACCAGCAAGAAACATAGTCAAATCAGAATGTGTATACTCACGGATAAGTGAACTCCTTTGGATTTGCATAGTTCATGAAGACTTTGTTGCTGCCACACTGGGTGGCATTCCACTTGGTTAACAGCAGGGACTACGTGTGCCACGTTTAGAAGATCAACGAGCTTCTTGGAAGAGAAGTTGCTCACACCGATGGCCCGAGCTTTTCCAGAGTGATAGAGAGCTTCCATTGCTTTCCATGTACTTGGTAAGTCAGGTTTTGTGAGTGTTTCAGGTGTTGGCACACGTGATTCCTTCTTCAAGCTCACTGGCCAATGTATCTTCAACAAAAAAAGCAAAACACACATTCAAAATAGAAACAATTATATAAAACATTTTAAAGATGCAATCTTTGAGGTTATGTTGTACCAGATATAAATCAACGTAGTCAATTTGTAAGTCATGCAATGTTTTGTCCAGTGCTTTAGGGACATCTTCAGGCAAATGATCATTGCACCTGCAGAACAATGAACATATGTGTGTGCAAACCAAAAAAAAAAAAGCATGTCCACAAGAGAAAAGATGGTAGGAAAAGAAGGCAAACCAGAGTTTCGAAGTGATGAATAACTCCTCACGCTTCACGAAACCATCATCTATGAGCTTCTTCAATACACTACCAATCTTAGCATAAATGCAATCATAGCGTGAGAACAAAGAAACAAAGAGGCAGGACACTTCAACCCCCCAAAACTAAACATTCATATAACTCTTTCAATGGAAGCAAAGATGTTACACATAATGTGAGCTCAATTGAACCTATTTTGACAACAATGAGCCCACAAAGTTTTAACTTTCACTCTAGATTCGAATACCAGTAAAAAATTCAAAGGAAACAAAAAAAAAATTTGGTTCCATTGCCAAATGATTAAGATCACAGTTCAAAATGGAAATAGCTAAAAAAGATATAATTTTTTTCAGACATTAGAGAGATTGTTAATGTAAATTAGCAATATTACCTCTTTCTCGTTACCGTATATGGAAGCACAGTCGATATGTCTGTATCCAATCTAAAACCGACAAGACAAGTATATGTGAGTGAAATCTCTATATTCAAAGACACAAGCTTGAAATTCGAACCGGAGCGACGGGTAATAATACCTTAATCGCCTGTTCGATCGTTGCCGGGACCAAGGCGTATGTTCCGAGACCGACCGAAGGTAATTTGGCACCAGTGTTCAGCTCGAAGGATCGAATCGGAGCTGCCATGTTTTTAATCTGGATAATTCTATGGAATACAAGAAAAATTATCGAGAGGGTGATGAATAAACAAAAAAAGGAGGACAAATGAGATGCAGAAGAAAAGAGAAAGACGTAACTCAGACAAATCTAAAGCTTTTTGCAATGCAATGGCCGATGACACGTTTCACTTTAGGCTTACTCTGTATTGTCACTGTAGTGCGTCTTTACCTCTCTTTTTTTTTACAACCTATGTATAATTGTATATTACGAAAACATAACTAGTAAAAAATTGATTAATTTTCCTTTTAGAGGTATTATTGTTCTTCTTCAACTTGTAAACAATCCTTTGCCAATATGTTTGGACGATTTGGCCTCTGTCATTCAAATGGTAGAGACGGATGATTTTTTTTTTTTTAAACATTGAAATGTTGCAAAACGCATAATTTTGCTGAATTTAGGTATCTAATATATAGAATGAATTTGTATTATTAATTTTAAAAACGTGTGATATGTTAATCTTAGACTATCTATATCATATTTAGCGTGTTAAATATTTAGTTTATCCATCTAAAAATATATTTTCATGTTCATTTAAAAAAAATCTACAAAAGAAGGCTTATATTGCTCATTTTTATTACATTTTCACCAAACATTTGTATGAGAACTTGTTTTCCTATTTTCTAGCAACTCTACCAATAATCACTTACCTAAATGAATTTTCATATTTCTTGCAATTTACCTAATTCATTCTATAGTTTACGTTCTAAAATTTTATTGATTAACAAAAAATCTAACAACTCTGTAAGTAAAAAAGAAAAAAATTCATATAACTTATATACAATTAAAAGCATACACAAAAGCCACAAGACTACCCATTTTGGGTTAAAAGCCCACGCTTAGAGAATTAATCTGCCACCCCGACTATTACATCAGGTTTATTCGACCGGTCCAAGCCTATATAACTCATTAAGATTTATCCGACACTAAGCCTAACCAGTAATCACAAAATCACGAAACCCTTTCTCTCACGCGCATCTTCAGGTTTCCTTCAGCAGCGCGTGTGATTCACGGCATGACATGACGAGAAACCGGTGAGTGGACCCCATTAGAAACACCAAACGTGGTGGTCGTGGTCTTCGACGTCGCCGTATTGGATGAAGATACTTGACCCGACATCTCAAAATCGGATCTCCCGAACCGGCCTGAATCGCCCGGAAGACGAACGTAGTAAGAAGAAGAAGAAGAAAGCGGCGACTCGTCACCATAACGGATTTGCATGACGGCTTTGTAAACAAACGGGATAAGACCTTCCATTTTTGTGTGTTATTATTGTTGCTATAGCAAGCCAAAGAAACAGAGCCGTTTGGTTTTATAGAGAGATCGGAATTGCCACACGGCGTTTCCTGATTTGTTGCTGTATCTACAAGTTTTCCAACGTCATTTTCTATATTTAAAATATTATGATTTCTTGAAGGTTAAAAGGAGAAGCAATCTTTGAATGTGAAATTAGCTACAGGAAGAATCTGAAAATTACATTCAAACTAATATGAAACCACGGCTGGTCCAACGGATTTATCTTCAAAACTAATATATTCATATAAAAATATTAATTATCCACATCCAATGTTAATAATGTTTTGCAGCTGGACTATTGGAGAGTTGTAATTTTGCATTTCTTCTCCCTAAAATTCTTCTACTGTATTTTTAGAAAGACAGGATTATAAATTATTCAATTTTTTGCAGACTTTTTTCGAATGATGTTATTACAATCTATTATACCTGTTCCACTCTAATATTAGTATCTAATATTTTCTTGGACAAAACAAAATCCTTTATCTTTCTGTATCTGTGAGGTTTATAAGAAACATTGAAGCAAAATATTATATTTTTAAAAAACTAATACTGTAAAATATTATCAAATAATTTTTGGCAATTTTTTCTTATTTATATATATTCCGTTATAAAAAGGATAAAATGTCTTCAAGACTCAAATAGTTCTGCTTGCCAAAAACGTGATTTTTTTGGTTATAAGAGATGGTTCAGATTTCTGTCGTGATGGTCTCAGTTTTTGTTGTCGGAATGTGACATATCAAGCAATCCAATATATAGTTACGTGATTTCTTTTGTTATAACAGGAGATTCTAATCCATTACATATATAAATTTCTTGGATGTACAGTTGCTAATTTATGGAAAATGTGATATAAAATCTCCAAATAATGGAAACATATCAAAATATCTTTATAAAAGTGGTAGATGTGTTTGGATTATTATAGTAAAGAAAATGTGAACTGTGATGTCAATAGATTTGTTAAAATATGACGTTTTTGGGGGTAAAATATAATAAGCGAGGCTTACAAAAGTTGTGGCCACGGTGTAATTGGCCTAGTCAAATACTCAAATGTTAAATGCTATTGAGGAATTAATTAATCCGTTGGTACTGATTACGTACTGACGAAGATGATTGAGTATGATTGACTATTGTTTTGATTTAATGTTTATCTTCATCAGGTTGATGACTGTGATTTATATCCTACAATCCTTAATTTGATTGAACTTGAAGACTTTTAGGTTAACAAAAAAAGTATAGTTATATACGAAGAAGACATTTTTTATTATTTTAATACTAATTAAACATTATCTTCTAGAATTTAATAGACAAAATTAAAACATGCGTGATTCTCTTAATTGTTACAAATGAAGTTTAAGTATCTATCAATATCCTGTCAACGAATCTCATTTGGTCGTTTAATTTTACGAGTTACAAATTTTGTATTTCCTCTAAAATTAGAGATCATCAACTTTTTCTAATGAGACGATGATAATAGTTCAACAAGAAAATATTAAATATTAAAATTTACAATATTAATATCTGTGACATCCTGACCCGCCCTCCTTTTGGGAACCAGGCGTGGACCGGCGATATCAATCCTAACTCCCTATAACCGTCCCTCCCAGTGAACCCAACGCTCTCTCTAGGCTTGTGAGTCCAACGTCTTCTCTATAGACCCGTCGGCCCGACATCCTCTATAAGCCCGTTGGCCCACCACTGTCCGACAGTCGGGAGTCGTTAGTCTGGAAGGCTCGTAAGATTTGTTTACTGTCCCTGCAATCACCACATGATATTTCCCCGTGCTTTGTCCTCACTCGCACAGTACCGCAGAGAACTTCTCGGTAAGTCATCCATCCTGAGACTACTCCAGCATCAGCACGCTTAACTCTGGAGTTTTTTCAGCACACTTGACTGGAAAAGATAAGTACACTTTGTTGACATAGGTAGCCAAATCAATTCTTATAAGCCTTTCCGACTACCCAGAAATTGGGATGTTACAATATCAATCACTTAATTCTCTTAATTTGGGTCGAAAATTGAATGTAGATAACTTGAACAAACTGGATAAATGAAGATTGCTAGCAATCTCACACCCTATGTGTTGCCTTTCGAGTATCGAAACCTAAGATCTCCACTTTTACACTCACTATCGAATTGCCTTTCGTTAGTTTACCCGTGCTTAGATTTAACCCCCAAAAAAAATTTACAATCAACCATTGAGAGTTAAGTCTATCTGTTCTCAGAATTCCACATCTCCATTTTGTATTCGTATGGGGCTTTGACCAGTTAAAGCCCAAAACCTTGTTTGGTCCTTTTGATCTCATTTCACGTCCTGAAAAAACATAACAGGAACAAAATATTCTTGTACCTCAAATTCTTTCGTGAATTGTGTTCTATTTTACTATTTTCTATTGAGTTTGATCATAAATATAGTTTTATAATATGTCCAGAAAAAAAATCTTATTTACCAATTAAATTCTTGTAAGTTAACAAGAGACAGTAAAGTACTATTAGTATATTTTTGATAATAAATGTACACAAAATTATTATATGTTTTACACACACCATGATCTGTACATCCATTTAAACACCTTTAAATACCAGAAATATAAAGCCATTTGATAAATAAAAAAATAGCATGATAAATAAGCATGTTTATAGAGCATTTAATGATATGAATAGATCGAACCTTATAAAATTTCATATCTACATAGAAAAATAACATGCTACAGGAGTAATTAAACCAATCATTCTATTTTCTATACCAGTCAAGTCATAACTGAAAAAGGATAACATTATATTTACTCTTGTTTGTTCGGCAATAAAAACACCTTCTATTTTCTTAAATAACACACGTAGTTAAGTTTTTATAAAAGAAAAACCATACTCAACTCAAAGAAAACGCATACATGTAGGTGTGTATAGCATGTATACAATATACAAATTACTATAAGTACTATTGATTCACAAGAATAATCCAATTAAAAATATATATAAACGATACAAAAGTAAAATTAATAGAAAATCTTAAACACTAACTACGTTACTTGTGGGCAGCCATACGTTACTTGTGGGTAGCCACTTGGAACATGGAAAAATAAAAGATTTTAGATCAGTCAGCTAACTCTTACTAAAATCCAAAGTTCGTATAGTCGTTTGCGTTCACAAACTCCCTACGGTCCGATTAATCACAAATATAATAAACAATTACCCTTGATCGTTTAAAAATACTCCACTCGTTTTGGTTTAAATTTCTTTTTAATGCATCTTGACCTCCATTATTGTCATTAAACCATTTCGTGATCTTTTTCCGTAATCGTCCACCTAATATTAATCATCTAGGGTTCCTCTAACCACCCAGAAAAAAAGGAAAAATAAAGTTTCTTCTAGGGTTTTCCGTCAACTTTTAATTGTCCCTTTAGAATGGAGAATTCCGGTAGCCTCTGGATCCCCAAGAAAAGCAACAAAGAATCATCTTGGGAAGAGCTGGCCTTCGCAGAAGACGATGCGGCCGGATCTATGTGGCCTCCGAGATCTTACGCGTGTAGCTTTTGCCGGAGAGAGTTTAGATCGGCTCAAGCCCTTGGTGGCCACATGAACGTTCATCGAAGAGACAGAGCTCGGCTTAAGCAATCCGACGACCAATACTTATTCTCCAAGACTTCTTCGTCTCCGGAAGATCCATCTCATAACAATAGCGATGATATTCATGAAACCTCTTGCTATACTTTGGTTTTTAACTCCAACCCTAATCGTTTTAAGTCTCAACACTCTTGTGTTATTGATCTTTCCTCTTCTCCTTCTACTTTACCGAATTTGAATCCTTCTAGGGTTTCTTCCGGTGTGCCTAGAAAACAAGATACTTCTTCCCCCTCTCCTTCTTTTTCTGTAGAACCTTCCAAGAATTCTGAAAATATTCTCTCTTCTTCCCCATGGTCCTGCCCGGATACTTTTGTGGAGCATAAGCGTTGTGATCTTTATGAAATTCCGGTTATGGAAGGAAGCAAGAAGAGAAAACCCGAGAGAGATGTACCAAAAAACGGGGTTAAAGCAAAAATTAAGCTTGGAAGCACCACTGATCTCTCGGTGAGCATGAATCTTGTGATCCACCAGGGTCTTCCGATTACTGCTCGAGGGGGCGATGAAGAGAGTGGGAGGGGTGGTATCCTTAAGAGAAGACGTATGCGTGAGAGTTCATCGGAGCCATCGATTTTCATTTCAAGTTTATCTTGTAAGAGTGCCAGGATTACAAGAAACGAGGAGATTATACGCAAGGATGATCACTTTGAGGATTTAGATCTTGAGCTTAGGCTAGGGACCGATCCACCAAAGGAAAATGGATTGATGGACGATCATCCATGAATTTCGACCAAAAAGAATGAGGTAAGGAAATATTTATATATATAATACAAAATTTTATTTGGGACTGTGTGTCTGTGTGTTACTTGGGTTTATCTTTCCTTGGTTTTGCGTGTCTAAAATGTATCGATATATAAGTTTTTTTTTTTTAGGAGAAATGTATGAAAATAACAGTTCATAAAAATGGAAATTTTAAAGGAAGTATCTAAACCACTAGAGGCTTGAGAAACTTTATATATATATACCATTTTCTCGTACGTAATATATTTTCTTGGCATTTTCGTTGTTATTGGGACCCTAATCATCCTGTTGGCTGTTACTATTATTATTACAACTCAAGATATTTTTACCCGCTAATGAATCATATACAATACTTATACTAAGATATGAAATTCAGGGAACTCTAGCTACTAAATATATGCGTTTATAACAACGTCGTTATATATCTATTAGTCGTTGAAAAGATAATGTATATACGTTATGGGCTATCCAAATTACTGGTCAGGCGTTTTCTTTTGAAGTATGCTGATATAAAAAAAGAGCAAAGGCTTTGTAATTGACTATATCTATATTCTTTTATGTGATTATCTGAAGCATGTTGTGTAACCACATTCAAAATAAAGTCACATGATGAAGGAATATTTTCTGTCACAATTTCAGAGAAAGAGAGAGAATGATGAATAATTGTCCCATAGATCTTAGTTGCTTATTCTATTAATATAGGGTTTTCGATGGCTTTAATATAAATTAATGTGCATTATGTATTACATGTATTCTGGATTATCTGATTAAAAAAAATAATAATTTGGTTTATAAATTGTAGTACAAGTACTACATTCATATTAAATTAGTTCACTCACGCACACACATACACACGCACATATAACATATATCCAAACACGCACATATATGAAAATATGATATATAAATATTTATTCACGAAAATGTTATAGACATGTTCTAGTCTCCAATAATGCATAAATCAAGAAGAGGCGTGTATCACTGATTTAGAAAGTAACAAAAACTGAACAGTTGATGATGCTTATTTAATTTTGCATCAACTTACCGTCAATATTGCGATCAAAGTAACTTCGGATCAGTTATGTAGCCACGGTAATCGTGAGTTATAATTTATCCGAATTTTAAAAAGGGTATTTTGTTAGACTATAGTACAACTACACATACATGCTATATATGTTTGGAAAGATCAATTTCTATTACCAAAATTTTGATCCGACCTCTTATCCTGAAATGTATATACAGAGCCATGCTTAGAGTTTTGGTGACTAAGACTAAGACGAATGAAAAAAAAATGGAAATTTTTATAAGTTATATTTAAATAAAATTACGTTAATTATGAATTTATTTATTATTTTGGGTAATTTTGTTTTTTAATCTATGATGGCAAAAAATATCTCTAAAACACATATATTACCAATTTACCCGATGTAATTTTAAAAATTTGGGATTCCAAAACTTGTATAATATTAAGAGAAGTTCTGACAAAAAAAAAGGGGGAGGAAGGTAATTTTTATTAATATTTTTCATTAGACACGAAAGAAACCAATGTTTTTTCTAATATAGCTAGAGCCGGTAAGTTTAAAAAAAAAACAAAAAAAAAAAGATAACGAACGGTGTTTTTTTTTTTTTAACAATAAGTCAATGACGAAATATCTAATAACTTTCAATAGTTTAAAATGTTTAATAATTATATTCCTCATTTGTGAAACGTCGTAATAAGCTCGTTTCCACATACACTCGCATCTCAGTACGTAACATGATATTCTGTCATAATCATAAAAATAAGCATAAGAAAGAGCACAAAAATCCAAATATGTCACAACACATATTCCCTTTCCTTTGTTCTGTCTCAACAAATAATTAATAAAATTGATCTAAATTAATAAACTATACGTTTATAATACTCCAACTGCTTACCGTCTCTACCCTAACTTTTTAGCCCCACGGGTCACCAACTTTTTCATAAATTTTTTAAATCGTATATGTAAACTAGGTTTCCACCATATCTATTAACCACCTACAATGCATTGAAAAAATCTGCTTATATCCAACTATTTCATTAATGAAAGTATAAGCTGAAATTTTCAACAAATGAAGACATGAGTGGGAACTCGTGTCTCGTGACATAAAATAAACAGCATCATCCCAATTAACTGTTCGTACCGGCGGGTGCAAGGCCATTCAAGGATTTCTAGATATATATAAAATAAGTTGGTATGGTGGTGGTGCATTAATATATAAGTTATAGAAGAACTATAGATGTATCTACTTGTAGATTCAGTGTATGATATTCTACTTGTCTAGAGAGCTTCGCAACTAATCTATCAATGAACTTTCAATTTCTCACTAGAAGTATAAAAGTGCAATATTGAAGAGTTTTTTAATGGTTTGGTTTAATTTTACAATGTAAATCATCCACTAGCTAATATTTTCATTATAAAAAAAATAAATATCAATGGTCTAGTCTTAAAAAATCGTTTTTGATCATTTAAAACATCTATAATTATGGTTGACGTCAACCATAATTGATATTGCAGTAAAATTGCTTAAATCCTGGTCCATCAACTTTCAAATCGATCGACCCTTTGTTTAAGTCAACTGGTTATCAGAATTTAACACAGTATTTGAGGTGCAACACATCAGCATAAACTTAAAATCTATCAACTAATTTTGTTTTAACTCGGTTTTGGGGATCAGTTATATACACGCTTTAGATTTCCATAATATAATAAAATGGTCCTCTTTGTATACTATAACATAACAATGCATAGGTGGAAGTGAAGTCTTCGAATAGGGGCAGAGATTTCACATGGGGAATGAATCTCATTCTCTGTAACTCACTTATCTGAATAGTTTATTATTCAAATATAACAAATTGACATACTCAATATCTATACAATATGTGAAGAGAATTTCTGTGTGGATTATAAGAATCAAGAGTCACGGAATCTTGGTCGATTCTTAAATAATAATATAATCCAATATATAGTAGAAGAAACTCAAAACACAATAGTTATCAAATTTCTAATATACAACAAACTTAGCGTATATCTTAATTCATTTTACATATATTCCTTTTGAGTTGGATGAAAAAAAATTCCACACGGTAGAACCAAAAGTCGTGGCACGTGGAAATAAAAATCAAGTTAACCTCCTTCATTTAAAAGTAGATTAATGATTTAGGGTCTGATTTTTTTTTTTTTAGAAAAGGTTTTTTAGGGTCCGATTATTTCAAATACAACTTTCGTGTTTAATAATTAAAAAATGTTGTTGCGTCAGAAAGCGCTGATCCTTTTAGTATGACAACTAGAGTCTAGATATCCTTAAGATTTGCAGAACAATTTGACCTTCACATCTTTGATTCTTTGGGTTTCTCTGAATAAAATGGTAACAGAAGTAGTGTATGCAACCGATTTACTTATGCATCTACATGGCACATCCAGTTCCAGTCTTCGACATTTTCCTCTGACATCAAAGATTAGGAACTTACAAAGACCAATTAATACAATTAAAAAGAAAGCGTCCAATTCAATTATGCACCTAAATGAAACTAACCGGATATTCAATTCGAATATTAACTAAAAAATATACACACAAGTACATATGTAAGCGAAAGTTCCATAGAGGATCCTGACAACAAGAAAAGACCAAAAATTCTTGGTTGGTCCGCTTTATCAATCTGGTTTATATTATTTTATTCTCAATTATAAATAACAGTTGTCCACGAGTGAGATAATGCAAGTATAATATAACATCCATGTCTCATTCATCATTGTATTTATAAAATACAATTTACATGTTACGGATGTTTCCCTTTTCACAATTATTTTTCTACCGGTATAAAAGATTTCAAGACAACTCTAGCTAGACAAGATAATAATAAACACCGAGATATGGTTTTGATTTTTTTTTTTTTTCTTAAAAAGGTGCAAACTTCTCTTCCATGAGGATCTTGAACCTATTGTTGCGAGAACAGCTATTGCCTGAAGGTGAGTGAAACATATAAAACTTATAGGTCTCGCCAACAACCACAAATATAGCTTAAGATTGTTTTACCTCGTAAAGGTAGGTAAAACTGTTACAACATCATTGTTTCCGGACCATGTGTTTCATGCAAGTCAAGCTAACATGTCCATTCACATTAATTTTGTAAAGTTAACGTACAAATCTTACTTCATTTAATAAATAACATGCAAGTATCAACTAACTAACTAACATTTTAACATTTAGACAAAAAAAAGTATTAACTAACATTTTTCATCTATATAACATTAAAGTCTCTCTTATAAATCTTTTTGTATTTTATAAGCTTAGTATCTGACAGTATTTATTATAAATCATTCTTGGCGAAACGATTTCTAATTTGAATTCAATATGACGACTGTGCGAAAATTTAGAAAGTTTTACACCGTGGCGATTAGACATTAAGCGGCGGGTTTAGGCAGGTGAAGTCGTCTAAATTCATATTACGTTTTAACGTATAAACGTTTAGCTTTGAATCGCAGTGTGCAGATTGCTTATAGCGTGTACGTATAACACTCTTTTGAATAATGCTAACTGCTAAGTATCAAGTATCAACTATATAAAATATTCCTATCTGGATAAATTAGTTTAAACCAAAAAAAAACCGTGGCTTTTTTATTTTGGGTTCTCTCCTTATATGGAAATGTCTTCCATTTGAATTGATTCTGAACAATGCTTAACAAAGCTTTCAGTTAATACTCAACCTCGCATTGGCCCAATAGAATAAGATAGATGTGCAACAGCTTAGGGTCCATCACTTTATCTTTTTGTGGACAACAAAGGTCCATCACTCATATAACCATATTATTACAACCGTTCAATGAAATATGTAAAACACATTTTTGACAAACAACCAAAGAATCGAATTCTATACTACATTACCACCTTCCCAAATTTCATAAAACTTATCTTGAAAATATTTTAGAGAAAGATTCGCTAGAATCTATTACCACAAATGGTAATGAGATTTAGGTACAGGAGTACTTTGAGAAAAAAAGCATAAAATTTCGAAATTTTCCTAAATTTTGAGAATGAATTTCTAACTCTGTTGTAGCAAGAACTTTAAACTTTAAAGTAAATGAAGTTTCCTACAAATAAGCTGTTTTTTATACGTTTAGAACGAATTATACGGCTATCATATTCATATTCGTACCATTTAAAAAAATAAATAAATCATAATTTTAGAAGCTAGTATTAGATCTTTCGAATTCAAAGAATAAAAATAATATTGATGACTGCATCTTAACTAACAAGATTTGTTTTCTCGAAATCATATATTTCACTAACTAAAATAAAGGAGTAGGAATATTCGTTGAATATAGACTTTCTCGATTTGTATCGCAACAGATAAACATAAATTCTGATATTTTTCACTAAACCCTATTAGTACAGTCGTATTGAAATTTGTATAGATTAAAAGTAAGATTCAATCCCGCATAATAACATCAAAACACACACAAAAACATTCATACACAAAAATAAGTTATACGCCAAAAAAAAAAAAAAATGGCCATCTTCGATCCCTTTAAGCTCCGCCACAAACCGCCGTCAATTTTCCCGACGACGACTGTTAAACCAGGCAACGTTTTTTCCGTCGTCGCCAAGCTCCTTTTCCCTATATGCATCTTCATCTCCTTTGCTATGATCTTCTTATACACCACCTTCTCCAGTTGCTCCGATTGCCACCTCATCGCCGGCCACCGTCGCTTTGGCCGTGAAAATGTAACATCCACCACCAATTCCTCCTCCTCGGAGATTCTCCGTCAGAACCAGTCCTCGGAAGCCACTGATGTCTCACACATAGTTTTTGGGATTGGTGGCTCAATACAAACGTGGAGAGATCGCAGCCGTTACTCCGAACTCTGGTGGCGTCCCAACAATACTCGCGGCTTCGTCTGGCTTGACGAGGAACCGCCTCTTAATATGACGTGGCTCCCTACTTCTCCACCGTACCAAGTCTCAGCCAACACCTCCCGTTTCAATTACACTTGCTGGTAATAAACTATTTCAACTATTCATCTAAATATATTGTGACATTAATGTCTTATAATGGATATGAATCGATATTTTTCTTCTTTGGTTTAAAAGGTATGGTTCAAGATCGGCCATACGAATGGCGAGGATCATCAAGGAAAGTTTTGAGCTAGGGTTAACGAACGTGAGATGGTTCGTGATGGGTGACGACGACACCGTTTTCTTTGTTGACAATCTAGTAACGGTTCTAAACAAGTACGATCACAATCAAATGTATTACATCGGAGGAAACTCGGAGAGTGTTGAACAAGATATAGTTCACTCTTACGCCATGGCTTATGGTGGCGGAGGAATAGCAATTAGCTATCCATTGGCCGCTGAGTTAGTAAAGATACTCGATGGTTGTATTGATCGATATGCATCGTTGTATGGATCTGATCAGAAGATTGAAGCTTGTATTAGCGAGATTGGAGTTCCTGTCACCAAGGAACTAGGGTTTCATCAGGTATATTCGCAATTTCCTTTTTTTTTTTTCATTACTGGAAATATACTTATCAACCTAATAAAATAAATGGAAATTCACTTCTTTACTTATCTAACGTTTAGCTAGGAAAACTATAAGCTTTCCCGTCAAATACTACTGGTTTTTTCTTGATTTGAATATTAAGTTTCGAATTTCAAAACGTTCCGATATCTTAGTTGCTTGCCAGTTTTTAAACTACAAAATAACCAGCCAAAGATATTTAAAACTCGAAAATTATCCTAATTCACGATATTGTGTTATTTACTTACTTTTTTTAAAAAAAATTATGGAAGTAAATAAGATACTGATCATTTTAATTCCATAATAATAGCTTGTGGCATATATTGGTGTAACTATTTAAGTAAAGTTTCTAAGAAATTGAAACAATAGATTTGATGATTTTCTTTGCATGGTCAAATCCACCAGATTGACATACGTGGCAACCCGTACGGGTTACTGGCTGCGCATCCGGTGGCTCCACTGGTATCGCTACACCACCTCGACTACGTTGACCCGATTTTCCCAGCGACGACTCAACTCGACGCCCTAAGAAGACTTATATCGGCCTACAAAACGGATCCAAGCCGGATCCTCCAGCACAGTTTCTGCCATGACCCGACCCGGAACTGGTCTGTCTCCGTTTCTTGGGGCTACACCATTCAGATTTATCCGTCCTTAGTCACGGCTAAGGAGCTTGAGACGCTGTTCCTTACGTTCAAGTCGTGGAGGACGTCTAGCTCCGAGCCTTTCTCGTTGGATACACGACCCATTAGCGAGGATCCTTGTGAGAGACCCATTTTTTATTTCCTGGACCGGGTTTATGAAGTCGGGTCGGGTCAGACTCTTACGACTTATCGGAAGCATGTTGAAGTGAGCGACACGCAATGTGACTCGTCCGAATATTCTCGCGCCAGTTCTGTCGAGTTCATCGACGTCTCCGTTACTAAATGGATGCCGGAGATCTGGAAAATGGTAAGTAAAGTTATCCGAAAATATATGAAATTTAATTTTTTTTTTCCTGCAATATAATAAATCCATTATAGATATGAAAAATCGTGACAGAATAAACAGCGTGTTTTAATAAATGAAATAACTGATCAACATCATTTTCATAGATTTGGTATGATGAATATCTTGATTTATATATATAACCTTCTAATGTTGATTTTTGTTTGTTATTGAAAACATAGTTGACTATATTCAAATTTTTGTTTAAAATGGGGTTTACAGGCACCACGTAGACAGTGTTGTGAAATTGTCAACAGTGAAGAAGAATCAGAAAACGTAATCAATGTCAAGATACGGCATTGTAATCCTTTCGAAAGTGTAACTACTCCTCATGAGTCATAGCATCCGACCCAAAAATGACCGAATGGTTTCGAAGTGGATCGACTCCGTTCTGCCTATATTAGGTAATGAGTAACAGTTTTCCCTTTGTTTTCTGTAAATATCAACTAACCAAAACTCGGAACTTGGACAAAGTCAAAAATTATACAGATTGTTAGTTTTTCTTTTAGCATTTCATTTTATATATAGTTTTCTTTAGTTATGTAACACATTTTTTTTTTTTGTTGCAAAAATGTATTTATTTATATAGTCCGAACTGCCTCTCTTTCTAAACAAAGACTAGAAGAGAAGTTTTGGCTTGAAAAATAATATCTTAGGTAGAGGTAGACAAATGATTAAATTTTTCAATTTTTGATGTCGACAAATAATTGAATTAATTGGTGCAGCATATGTTTTTTGGCTGGTGACCTTAAAATATCCAGGGATTGACTCTTTTTGTAGCGATGTCGTCTTGTCTTATTCGTTTTAATCATGATTCATGTAGCTATATGTCCAATGCAACTTGCAAGTAAAAGAAAAAGAAGGTAAGGACGAAGGAGAGACATATATAGTGTATACACTTATTGCATAACTTATTAAAGAGTTTGTCCTTTTGCTTCCACTACACTATTGCAACAAGTTAGCTCCTCACTGCCTCTTCCTATGAAAACGCCTATATCATTTCTTAAAATCCACTATTAAATTTCCTGTAATTCGAATGTGTATGGGTAACAGACTCGGCAAAATTACATTCAACCTAACCGTGTAGAAGAATATTTCAGATGACTCGCTAATAGACGTGGTTCATACTTCTACTACACAGAGAATTGTTTGACATTTGGGTCGAAATAATCGAACTATATGGTTTGAAGAGTGCAACCAAAATGAAATGTAAACGGAATCACCAATACTTGAATAAGAGAGAAGACATTTTTTTCCTCAACTAATTTTTTTCAAAAACATCTTTTGATCTATATGGTAAGACGTTTCGTTTCTCCATTTCCAACTTCTGAACACATGACGTGACAAACTCTTCGTCTTGAACCACATACAGGAGCGAGGAGAGAAGACTAGTAAATACGGACAATCTCACGCAAAACTCCCCAAGACCAAAAGAGAATATTCATATAGTTGACTTAAAAAAATCAACGATTATCCAGTCGGAAGCTTCCAAGACTAGAATGTGGACCCCCTTTTAGTCTACGAGTTTTGACCAGTTGTGCATTTGCCACGTGGGTCCCATTTTCTCATTAATAAGATCATTTCCATCCCACATAATTATTCATTATTCACGCTAAAAAGTAAAATGCCACTCGAATTCCTTCGTACTATTTTGGTTGGAAAATATAGAAAACAAATTCACGTGGTACCATGGTTTCTAAACAATGCTTTTTTTGTTGTTAAATATGTTTTCTAAAAAATGCTCGCAAAAGGTTGGCAATTTTATACATATAATAATTGAAGAATTATCTTAATAAGTTTACAAGGTTACGTTCCACATAATTTTTTTTTGTTTGTTAAAGGTTCAATATAATCGTATTATATTTTCTCAAAAGAAATATATATATATATATATATATATAATCGTATTATATCTTATTACCAATTGTCAAAAACATATATAGCACTGTTAATGCAAACTAAACTACTGAAATATACGCACGTATACGTATGTATACATGTATTCAAATTATTTCGGTTTTCCTCTGCAATAATACATGTAAAAGTAAGTCATTTGTTTCATACATGAGCCTTTCGTTACCACAAAAAAGGTACGGAGTTATGTGGTCGGCAGGAAATTTGATAACTATCTTTGTGTCCACATATATACTCGAGTATAACGCTATCTGCCTAAATACAGTCTTACGCTTATTGGTACGACGTGTGTTCCAATAATCTCTTTCACATTAGAACTTCAGGAAACGTTGAAGTATTTGGCATATTAGACGACTGTGAGTCTTTTCTCCAAAAAAAGAAAGAGAGAAAAAAATAAAAAAGACGACTTGTGAGTCTGTGATAACAACAAAAATCATAAAGGCAGTATAGTGTAGCCAAAACCAAATCAATTAATTTAATTATAGTGAACTCAATTACTCCAAAAACTTCCCTTGGTAACGTGCTAGCTTAATTCTGATGTCATTCTTATATAATCTATCATTGTATGTTTATGTTACACATTACTACGAGATCTAGTTAAAGAGCAAATTTGAATTAGCACATAATGATTCAAAAAAAAAATTGATCTTCACATGACCGTACAACTAGAAACTAAAAAAAAAAAAGAACGGATCACTCTAACAGTTACCATCGAATCTTCCATCACGACCAATAAATATTAGTTGATATATATATACTAGTATCTAATATGTTCGATAAATTAAACAAAAATCCTTATGGTTACAGCATCATGAGCGTGATAGATGGCAGATTTTAAAATTGGTATATAAACTTCAAATGGTTAACTAACATTTTAATCTTGGAAGTTGGAACACATATCACCTACTTTGATTAAATTTCCCAATCACGAGCTATCCCCACAAAGAAAAAAATAACCTTTTTTTCTAGAAAGAAGAAGAAATAATGAAAAAAAAAAATAAACCTTCCTGAGACGACTTTTCCACTCTCTCCACACCATAAATTGTCTCTCTTTCTTCAAAAATAAAAAATATCCAAAAGGAATCTAAAACAGAGCAGAGAAAAAATAGGAAGCCATGTTCTTGAAGCTCTTCACCATCTTCTTCTTCAACCTCCTCTTTCAATCCCAAATATCTTCTTCCCAAAACCTCAGTTTCACTTACAATGGCTTTACTCCACTCACTGATATATCACTCCAAGGGATCACCACCGTCACACCAAACGGTCTCTTGAAGCTAACCAACTACACCGTCCAAAAAACCGGTCACGCCTTCCACACCAAACCAATCCGGTTCAAAGATTCTCAAAACGGCACCGCTTCGTCCTTCTCCACAACTTTCGTCTTCGCTATTCACTCCCAGATCCCGATACTCAGTGGCCATGGCATCGCCTTCGTCATCGCTCCTCAGCCAAGCCTCCCTAACGCAACGGCAAGTCAGTACATCGGTCTCTTCAACATCCAAAACAACGGTAATAGCTCAAATCATGTTTTCGCTGTCGAATTGGATACGATCCGGAGTACAGAGTTCAATGATACCGACGATAACCATGTCGGAATCAATATCAATAGTTTGAAGTCTGAGAGAGCTTCATATGCTGGGTGGTGGAACGAGAAAGACCAATTCAAGAATCTGAGTTTGATCAGTCGTAAGCCGATGCAAGTTTGGGTCGATTACGATGGTCTTTCTCATAAAATCGATGTGACGATGGCTCCGTTCAACGAGGATAAACCTAGAAAGGTGCTTGTTTCGGCTGTAAAAGATCTATCTTCGGTTCTTCGGCAAGATATGTTCGTGGGTTTCTCTTCCGCGACTGGTTCTGTTCTGTCGGAACATTTTGTTCTCGGGTGGAGTTTTGGTCTGAACGTAAAGGCTCCGCCTTTGGCTTTATCGAAGCTCCCAAAGCTTCCTCGGTTCGAGCCCAGGAGAATCTCCGATTTTTTCAAGATCGGTATGCCTTTGATTTCTCTATTTTTGATTTTCTCTTTGATCTTCCTCATCTGTTTCATCGTGAGGAGGAGGAGGAAATTCGCGGAGGAGCTCGACGATTGGGAGAAAGAGTTTGGCAAGAACAGATTCAGGTTCAAGGATTTGTATTATGCGACCAAAGGGTTCAAGGAGAAGGACCTTCTCGGATCTGGCGGGTTCGGGAGCGTTTACAAAGGTGTGATGCCTGGGACGAAGCTGGAGATCGCCGTTAAAAAAATCTCTCACGAGTCACGACAAGGGATGAAAGAGTTCGTGGCGGAGATCGTGAGTATTGGTCGGATGAGTCATCGGAATCTAGTGCCTCTCTTGGGTTATTGTCGTCGAAGAGGAGAGCTTCTTCTGGTCTACGATTTCATGCCTAATGGAAGCTTGGACAAGTACTTGTACAACAATCCGGAGGTAACACTTAACTGGAAACAGAGGATCAAAGTCATTCTTGGTGTTGCCTCTGGTTTATTCTACCTTCACGAGGAATGGGAACAAGTGGTGATTCACCGAGACGTTAAAGCCAGCAACGTTTTGTTAGATGGAGAGCTTAACGGGAGACTCGGTGATTTCGGTTTGGCTCGGTTGTATGATCACGGGTCGGATCCTCAGACAACGCACGTTGTTGGAACGTTGGGATACTTAGCCCCTGAACACACTCGGACAGGACGTGCCACGACTGCGACCGATGTTTTCGCGTTTGGAGCGTTCTTGCTAGAAGTCGCGTGTGGTAGACGTCCTATTGAGATCCAGCATGATACTGATGAGACGTTCTTGCTTGTGGATTGGGTTTTCGCGTTATGGAACAAGGGAAACATATTGGATGCTAAAGATGCTAATATGGGTTATGAGTGTGACCATAAAGAGGTCGAGATGGTTTTGAAGCTAGGTCTCTTGTGCTCTCACCCTGACCCAAGGGGTAGACCAAGTATGAGACAAGTGTTACAGTATCTAAGAGGAGATGCAAAGTTACCGGATTTGTCTCCGTTGGATTTTTCCGGGAGTGGGATGATGTTAGGGTTCCAAGATGGGTTTAGCGAATTGGGTATGTCGTATTCTTCCTCCGTCTTTAGAGGGTTTACCGGTGGATCTTCTATAGCTGATTCTCTACTCTCCGGTGGGAGGTGAATGTTTTGAATATTAGAACGGTTTTGTGTATTTGCATTTCATATGTAGAGACTATTTCGACTATATGTGACCATGTAATTATATTTCAGTGTATGTTGAGGTAAAATAGTTGAAACTATTGTCTAAAGAATATTATGGTCAAGGTTTTTGAAGTTGTACATAGGTGAATTATATTAGTACAATTTAAAAAAAAAATATTCGATCCAGTGACCACCTGGTTTAGGCGCTGTGCTGCTTCTATAGCTAGTTTTAACTATTTATGGACCTCATCGTTCGGTTCGAAACGTTTAAGAAAGTCCTCACTGTTCTATAGTAAATATGAGGGAAACTGAGGAATGGTTAAATATTTGCAAGACAGGCAGATTTTGTTCAAACCTGGTACTTAACTCCCTGGAAGCCCTCTCAATCATTGTAGTACTTAAGACATAAGTACTTTTGCAAACTTTTCTACAGAATGACAACTTTTTTTGTTTTTTGTTTTTTGTTTTTGTAAATCATGTGGGAGTTTGATTAGAATGATAACTGAGGAATGTACCTTACTATTAAATAGGGGAATTCATATTTCAGACGAATTTTAATTTAAGTTTATTTGTGATTAGTTGTAATTCACAATTATGCCTGAATAGAATCCATTTATGACTACATCTAAGTGTATAAATAGCATGGGAGTTATAACTTATGATTGCAGTTTAATGAATAAATATGAAAAAAATTGTGATAGATTTTTTTTTTATTACTAAAGAAGAGACATCAAGTGGACCGATATGGTGAGAGCAAAAAGTTTTTTTATATTATAGATGACAGTAACATTATATGATTCAGTCAGTACAATTTATGTTTTTCTTAAGAATTCAAATCATAACTGATTCGGTAGGTTTGGAATTTTGATTCGTCAAGCTCTCTTCGCCATTTTCTCCTTCAACATCCTCCTTCAATCTTTCAAATAATAAATTATCATGTTCTGTGATTCGTTCCTACTGACATATCTATCCAAGCGATCACACCGCCACACGGCCCATACCCAACAGTCTCTTGGACTTGAAGCTATATCCAACACGACCACATAGGCACATACTATGTATGTTTCTGTCGCCTAAATCATAATTTATGTTTATGGTGCTGATTCGCTGTTATTAAATAAATTCACATTCACAACTTCTGAAGAGAATCCTTTAGTCATAAGTTTATAGAACCGCCACAAAATTGATTTAGTTTTACAGATTCAGCATAACCCACATGTAATTCTTTTTTTTTTTTGCTAAAACTTTTATGTAAAATATTAACAGTTGTTGGTTTATGATCTAGGTAGACTATGGAGTAAAAGTCTGATTTTTTTTTTTGTATTATTAGCCAAAAGTCATTTAATCGGAAATTGCTGTGCAGCTTTGGCCAATCAATTTTTACCTGAAAAGGCAGAAGATGCTACCAAAAGAGAGCTAGCTGAAGTGTGTTCACAAGCAACTATTCTCCACCCATATGCGTAAATACATTCGGCATTACTTGGCCAAAGCAAATACATATGGCATCAATGATCTAAAACTGTACAAAGCAAGTTACTTACTTATATCCCCATTCGGATTTAAATTCATATAATGCAGGTTGTTTGAAAAAGAAAAAAAAATGTTACATGCAGATTTGGTTGCTGAGAGATGATGCTCTTATCTCTCGATTTCCAACTAATGCAGATTTGGTTGCTGAGAGATGATGCATATAATGATTTGTATCCCCATTCGGATTTAAATTCTCTTGGCTATTATTTCTCGATTTCCAACTACCAATCTCCAAAGAGAATGTCTTAAACTATACTCAACTCAGCCCAAAACATTGATTACTGTGCGGTATATTTCAAATTCTATACAAATGTGTATACTATATATTAGTGCTATTAGTTTATCGTTGGTTCGTCCATCGTATTCATGCAGCAAACAGTTTAACTACTAAGTACTAACCTTAATATATATTGGCAATTAGTGATTCGCTTTTGCCTTTCGGCTGTTCCTCCTCTGGTGCCTGGTTTATCATTTCGAGCGCTGTGAAAAAGTATTAATATAGTATTTTATAATTTACAAAAAAAAAAAACATCCGACTTCTAGATATTTAGTCCTCTAATTAAAAATAGTTCACGAAGATATATTAAACAAAGACCCTCAATTTCGGTGGAAAAGTACGTAGCTCCTTTACTTTTCAACAAGAAAACTATTATTGAGACATGGGGACAAGACTCTTTACATGTAATACCGATTGCTCATGTAATTTGGGAATTGGGATTCTCATTTTAGTGAGAGACAACAAAACAAACATATAAAAATATACAGTATATACATTATATAAAACAGCAAGGAAATTTTCAAATAAAATATGTCAAGTTTGTGTAGTCAAATGAATAGCTTAGTATTGGGGAAGCGTGCAATTTCAAGGACATTTAATGAAGAATGTGGCCTCGTAACTCCTCACCAATAAAACGGGCTCTCTGATCTGTTAAATGCGGTTGGCTTAATTAGAATATTTTTGTAGACTTACGGAAAAAGGAACTCTCACATGTGCCTCACATATGCCCTCTATTTTATCTACGCATATATTTGTACATATATATATGTGGACACATCGCATACATAAACACAAAGAAGTCATCATCGACCATTTTACGAAGAAATAATGGCATCGAGACCAGGTCTTCTTACGGACTGGCCATGGACACCTCTCGGAAGCTTTAAGGTCTTTTTCAAAGCCCTTGTTGCTACATGACATCTTTACATATGCATTTTATAATCCGTACTGTTTATATCAACCATTTGTCACAATGTTTATATAAAATATGGATTAAATAATGCAGTACTTGGTGTTGACGCCACTGGTTATCGACGGCATCTACTCATATGCGACAATGAGAGATCACGATAAACTTATGGTAGTGGCGCTAATGATGTGGCGGATTGTTCATAGCCAGGTTTGGATAAGTTTTGCCCGTTACCAAGCTGCGAAAGGAACCAAACGGATCGTGAACAAGTCCATAGAGTTTGACCAAGTCGACCGAGAACGAACCTGGGACGATCAAATCATCTTCAACACCCTCATTTTTTACTTAGGTAAAGTGTTGGTCTTACCAACCAATACCGCTCCTTTTTGGCGACTCGATGGAGTGGTTCTAATCGCTCTCCTCCATGCGGGTCCTGTTGAGTTTTTCTACTACTGGTTTCACCGAGCCCTTCACCACCACTTCCTCTACTCTCGCTACCATTCACACCACCACTCCTCCATCGTCACCGAGCCGATCACTTGTACGTACACATATAACTTATATATTCTTCCTCACAAAAGTATTGATATCTAAATATATATAAATAGCTATTATTCTCTCCGTTTCAATATCTAACTTTTTCACAAAAATTAGAAAACACGTTAAGAATTCTATTATACTTCTATAGTTAGCTCTTGGATTATGTTTCTTAACTATATATTTCATTAGTTTTGACTTGAGGTTAAATGGAATTTTATGATATATCAACACCCATTTCTATAGTTAGCGCTTCATTTTTGCAAAATAAGTTTCTCAAAAAGTGCTACCTAATTAACTCTATTTTATATATTAAAAAAAAAAATAATGCATACTTGGTTTAAACCGGAAAGAAAATATAATATAAATAACATTATCGTATCTCATATATAACATTATCTAATATAGTGTATTTAATTAGTATAGATAAATCTTAAATAAATAAAAAGACTTAATACAAATGACAGATATATGATGCATGGGTTTTAATTGCAGCGGTGGTACATCCGTTTGCGGAGCACATTGTGTATACACTAATCTTGGGAATACCACTGGTAACGACTTTGCTGTGCGGCACAATCTCTATGGTCTCCGTTTTCCTCTACATAACTTACATAGATTTCATGAACAACTTGGGTCATTGCAACTTCGAGCTCATTCCAAAACCTTTCTTCTCTCTTTTCCCTCCTCTTAAGTTCTTTTGCTACACTCCCTCGTAAGTCTTTAAATCATGCATTATTAGGAATACCACATTACAACAATTTTTGAGACTAAATATATAGATAATGATTGCAGATTTCACTCGCTCCACCACACGCAATTCAGGACGAACTATTCTCTGTTCATGCCAATGTACGACTACATTTACGGGACCAACGATAAATGTAGTGACTCATTGTATGAAACATCGTTGGAGCAAGAAGAAGAGAAAACGGACGCGATTCATCTCACGCATCTAACATCACTAGACTCTATTTACCATCTCCGGCTTGGCTTTGCTTCCCTTTCCTCGCACCCGCTCACTTCCCGGTGTTACCTATTCCTCATGAGACCCTTCTCTCTAACACTCTCCTTCATTCTTACTTATTTTTCTCCTCAAACCTTTGTCTTCGAGAGAAACCGCTTCGGAGATCTCACCCTTCACTCCCACCTCCTTCCCAAGTTCTCCTCTCATGTTTGTCTCTACTCTCTCTTTTCTATAATCTTTTAACATTTTTGGCATATCAAACAGTTTTTACGTATTGTAATATGTTTTATTTGCCAATTATCAACAGTACATTTCGCAGCGGCACAAAGAACGTATCAACAAAATGATAGAAGCGGCTATTCTTGAAGCGGAGAAGAAGGGTGTGAGAGTAATGAGTTTAGGGCTATTGAACCAGGCATGCAATTAATATATTTATTGGTTATCCTTATGTTATTATAATTATTTTTAGTAGAGATAGGCGATCTACATATATATAAAACCAAATTAATAGTATCCTAAAATATTTAGGGAGAAGAATTAAATGGTTACGGAGAAATGTATGTAAGGAAGCATCCAAAGCTAAAAATAAGGATAGTAGACGGAAGCAGCCTTGCAGCTGAGGTGGTTGTTCATAGCGTTCCTGTTGGGACCAGAGAGGTTCTCTTTAGAGGCCAAATCACAAAGGTGGCTCGTGCCATTGTCTCTTCTCTTTGCCAAAATGGCATCAAGGTATCTTTCTATTTACAAAATTATATGTTTTTTTATATTCTCTAGTTTTGATCAATTGTTATAATATTTACAGAATCTTAATTGTGAATAGAGTCGAACGTACACGAAACGTGGTGTCGATTTAGTAACTTGAACATACATCATATCTTTGTAAAGTCAAAGAAGTTTCCTATAAACCTTTTGATACGTAAGCGATGTCACATGGCCTAATTGCCTAAAGTCCAAATCAGTTTAGCTCATTTTATGTTTTGGTTTCGTATATTTACAAAGTAGTATATTTATAATGTTTTCTACATTTGAAAGTATTATAATAGTTAGTTCATAGTTTTAGAGAAATTCGTATTGGCCATCCTTAATAAATGATTCCATAAATAGGTGCTGGTTTTACGTGAGGAAGAGCATCGCATGCTAGCCGAATTACTTGGTGGGGATTGTAAAGAAAATCTGGTGCTCACAAGGAATTACTCCCCAACGGTATGTGTAAATTGCAAATGACATTAAATAATAACATAATCATGTTTATTACATATAGAACGAAAAAAATTAAAACTTTGTTACATATGATGTTAGATATGGTTGGTGGGAGATGGGCTAAGCAAAGAAGAGCAGAAGATGGCAGGAAAAGGAACTCGTTTTCTTCCTTTCTCTCAATTTCCTCCTACCAAACTCCGAAAAGACTGCTTTTACCATACAACTCCGGCTATGATCATCCCGGACTCTGCCCAAAACATCGATTCTTGTGAGGTATCTATCTACATGTTTCAATCCTAGTAAAACTATATATATATATATATATATATATATAATCTGTATATATATTACTACTAATTAATGCCTCGATTCTTTAATTGCGTATGTGTTTACGAATATAAACCCACAACCTTAAGAATCTTGACCATAGTGTATTTGCTAAGTATAAACGTAAAGAAAAACTTCACGTTCACGTTTCACGCTTGTGTTAAAACACTAAAAATATACGGTGTTAACATAACACATGTGTATAATGTATATAGAATTGGCTGGGGAGGAGAGTGATGAGCGCGTGGAGAGTTGGAGGGATAGTACACGCGCTTGAAGGGTGGGAGGAACACGAGTGCGGTCTCCACAACTCAATCCTTAACCCTCCCAAAGTTTGGGAAGCTGCTCTTCGAAATGGTTTCAAACCTCTGGTTTTGCCATCTTTAGAGACCAAGGGATTCGATAATTCCTACTAGTAATAGTTATTGTACTCTCTTCTATGGAAATGAAATTATTGAAACCAATTTTAATTTGTTTTGTTCGTTTGTGATGTTGAAATACACAAGTGATAGAATATGAACTGAGTCTGATATTTCAGCAAAAAACCATGGCTAACTCATCGGTTAAACCGGTTCAATCAGGCAGCCTTTTGATTGTTAAAATTTACGGTTTTCATGGACATCTTTTGCAAAAACAGACTCAATTATATTTGACTTTCCAATTCATTATGCTTTTATCTTAAAGCGGATGGTAATGACAACAACAACAATAAGAACTGAGGCTAACTCTCAGATCACTCTTTTAACATCTTCTTTGCAGCAAAATCAATGACGATAGCAGTTTCCCGATGAGAGCTCTAACCAGCAACATTCACTGGTTCAAATATGATTCCCAACCTTGTGTCTCAAGTCTCTCTCCTTTAACCATGTTCTCATCTCTCATGTCTTCCTGGTACTGACTCATCCTGGCCAACCAAACAAAACCCATATTATATCACTTAGGTACCTCGTTCTTGTTCAATATAACTCCCATGTAACGAAAAGAAAAAAAAAAAAAAGATAAGAAAAGAAGAACCTTGAGACGAGATCAGAATCAGAGATTCCCAATATCCGGACAGCAAGCAAAGCTGCATTGGTCGCATTGTTTATAGCAACTGTTGCAACAGGAACACCTCTAGGCATCTTTGGTAACCAAAACAAAAAAATATCGATTCAAATGATGCAAACAATGAATAGCTCAAGTTACTTATGAAGCAATGAGAGTGTACCTGAACGATGGAGAGAAGTGAATCAACTCCATCCAAACGGGTAGCGCGTACAGGGACACCAATAACGGGCAAAGGAGTGAGTGAAGCAACCATACCTAATTTCCAAAAAATCCAATCCAATATGCTTTATGGTACAATCATATCATGTGGGAGGGACAAGATGGGGTCATGTTTAAGCCATACCTGGTAAGTGAGCAGCACCACCAGCACCTGCAATGATGACTTGGACGCCTCGACTATGAGCTGAGGCTGCATATGAAAACATCAGCTCTGGGGTGCGATGAGCTGAAACTATCTTTACCTGTAAACCAATGATGAGTCATTTCTATTAAATCAAAGAGGTTAAAGCAATGGTTTTTTTTTTGTGTGATAAACTTGAAGAAGAAACCCTTCAATTTGATAGGAGGGGCTTCTTAATATAATCTCCATGAGACGTGACAAGGCCTATATTTGAGCTTCTTCACAGTAAGTTTTACTAAACTACAAATTTTAGCTTTCCTTATATCTTTCTCCAGTGGATTATTGATTAAGTCTTGTCACACATTTATGACCCAATTTTTCGAGCAGATACTAATATTTACCTCATACGTCACACCAAACATGTCCAGAATTTTGGCAGCATCCTTCATAACAGGAAGATCCGAGTCTGAACCCATAATGATACCAACACGAGGTGGCTCTGCAACGTGTAAAGAACAAGCAACGAATATTGAAAATTCATTAACGTTTTAACAGTCAATAAAATGTAGGTGCATTATTTCACAAACTAGTTATACAGCAGATTTTAGTGAGATTAGTTTAAAGGCATTTGGAAACTAAAAAGCCATAGATACCAAATTATGCTATGGAAACTGACCATTTACTTGATGGCTTTTCTCACTTAATATACAATTCAACCGTTGCTCCAAAACACCCATTGACCGCCCAACAAGAGTGATGTGGCCCATCTTACGCTGCTTTCTCATTTCTAACAATCAGAGTTTAGTACAAGCTTTGTGAGTAATCATATAGTTCACAAAAACTGACAACATACCACAAGAAAACTGTAAGAGAACGAAAATCTAACCTGGCTTGTCATACCAATGAACAGATGCACCTGGAACACATAAAGCCCTTGCAATAAGTTGATGAGCCAATTTAAAACCAGCTTCTCCCTGAAATTTGAAAATTGAAACCAAAACACCGCTGCATGTTTCATTAAACTGATAAGAAGATGATAATGCAATGTGTATTCTTATCAAGACACTTGAGACAATAAAGTAAAGGAAAAATATTCATTACATCATCTTCTCCCAGAATGTTGTACATGATGGACGCTGGAGTTCTCATTGACGGATCACCAAGTGGAAGACCAACCACAGCCCGCAAGTGTTGTTCAAACTGTGAAGTATAGCAGGACTCGATCGTTTGATGGCCACTGTTGTGTGGTCTAGGTGCAACTTCGTTTAACAGGATCTGGGAGGGACTAAAACTCTGATAAGTTAAAAAAATAAAAATCAAGGAAAAGTAGGTAGAGTGCCTAAAATGTATGAGAATACCTGACCATCCTCTGTCAAGAACAGCTCGACTGCAAAAACACCAGCGCCTTCTAAAGAACCAACAGCCTTTTGGGCAACATCAGTGGCAAGTTTGTTAGTCTTCCAAGGCACATCTGCAGGTGCTTTAACTATATGGCAGATGTTATCCCTAGAGTGCATTTCATGGTGTATTAGTAGAGAGGTAAAACCATATCTTTTAAGAAAACATTTAGTCGAATTTTTGTATTACCTGTGAACAGTTTCAACAACGGGATAACAAACCATGGAACCATCTCTTCCCCTAGCCACAATAACCGCCAACTCCTAAAATTTTATATGTAAATGATAAAAACATCAGAGCCAAATAAGTTTCTATAGCAAATAGAATTTTTATCATCATTTTCATTTACCTTGACAAAGGGTGCCCATTTCTCAACGTACAAACTACGACTGAAACCTCCAAGAGCTGTTAAAAAACCAAAGCAAAAGCAAGAAAACAAAGGTTATATATCAATTATGACATTGTACCAAACGAAACTAGATGAGCTGCTACTATAAACTGTGAAACCACATTACAGATCGTTATAAAGGGATTACCCGTTACAGCAGAAGAAAGCCCATCTTGGCTGTTGGCAACTGCATTTCCGCGTCCATCATAAGCCAATCGCTTGCTCTTGATCATAAGTGGGTAGCCGAAAATTTCACCTGCTCTTTCCGCTCCTTCAATATCACTTATCTGTCGTGGCAAGGCTTAGGGGTTAAAATGTTTTACAAAACTCTTCATAATTCATGGAGAACTTAGTGAGTAATTCTTTATCAAAAAAGCATAAATGAAGGCATTACCTCCATAAATTCAGGAAGTGGGATGCCATGCTGAGAGAAATGAACTTTTTGCCTGTATTTATCCTGAAATATCAAACTGTCTAATATAATCTAATCTACATTGCTTCACAAGCTTAGATTGTTCATAATGTACATATTTCATTTACTCTATAAGAAAATACACTCAATTTGATGAAACAGTTTGAGGGGTTAACCTGTATTATCCTGATAGTAGAGGCTTTTGGTTGGCAATCCACTCCTTGTTTCTCAAGCTTCTCTAATGTTTCGACATCAACATGTTCAATTTCCACAGTCAAGACTCCACATCTAACTACGACAGTAAACAAAAACAACCATCAACATTGTTACAGGCAATAGGAATAGAGAACCTAAAGCATTCAAGAAACAGAACAAAAGAAGGGACCTTTTTGCAAATTCTTCTACTGTAGCACTGTCGTCAAAGCTATCAACCATGTGGCCGTAAGACAACGAACTTGCTGAGCAATTCTCTGAAGGATCTAAAATCATCACCTTGATAGCCATTTGAGAAGCAGCTTGGCAAAGCATACGACCCAATTGTCCACCCCCTAACACTCCCACGATCAGCTCAGAAACTCCGTGGACATGTTTCTTCTCGTTATTCTCACTTACAAAGAGAAAAGAAAAACAACATTAGAACATAGTTCCTTCCCCAACCTTACTGATTTCAAAAGAACAACAAAACGCACTGTGCCCAAATTCAAAATCACAGGGGAGACATAGGTACCTGATAGGAGAAGCCTCATGAGAGCTACAGGGCACTGCTGAAGCGCTGCAGGCCAAAACCGGATTAAGTTTCCCAGACGAAGACGTGGGAAGCTTGTGCAGATTTGCCATGGTGAAACTCTGGGAGGAGTACGTTCTGCTCACCGGAAGAGATCCAGCTCTGTAAGTGAAGCGAGAATTGTGAAGGACTGGACTTGTATTCCCAGCGACAAGAAGAGTAGCTGAGCTCTGTTTCAGAAGCAACATCTAGAATATAGCTCAATATTAGCATTCCAGCATGAAATACAAAAACTTTGGAGCAATTACATTCATAACATACTGTATTTGTTTTGTATTCAATTCCATTCTTAAGTATCAAGAAGAAGATAGAGGAGGAGCTCAAGCAAACCTAAGTCAGTGTCATCCAAACCAATGACTCTTAGTTAAAAAAAAAACTAATGTGAATTTGCCAATTGAGAAGAAGACTAACCAGGTTTTGAACTGTGACTGTAGCAGCTAGACAAGGAGAGAGGATTCGAGAAGTGAGCTCCAAAGGTTCGATTTTTATAATGGGAATCCGATAACAACAATAGGCTGAGAATTCGTAAGGATATTAATTCATCTTCAAAAAATAAATATTTAAACAAAAAGCATGAATTCACCAAATCAGAGATAAGAAAAAAAGTGAAACTCTGCTGAAAAGCTAAGCGAAGAATAACAAGAAGTTAAAAGTTGAGACGGAGCAGAGTAGGCGAAGGCGAGGAGGAAGAAAGAAGGGTTTTGTGAAAGTCTTGAGATTTTTCAGGAATCGTAATCGGTTTACAGAGTACCACCCTTAATTACTCGGCTCAAAAGATTTGCCGGTCTAATTACTTATTCGACAACCGAACCGGAGATGATGTGGTTTTTTGGGCTCGAGCCCATTTAACTGTGATTTCATCGGGAAACGAAGGAGGAGATCAGACGGCAACGGGGGAGAAGAAAATGCCGGTGAGAGTTGAGGAGAGCAACGCGCCTGCCCAGGTTTCAGGTTTTGAAATTAGTTTTTCCGGTTTGGTCTATTGAATTCTTTTCTCGTTAGATCTTCTCTCATTCATTGGATTGTTAACCATATCAGGAACTGATCCTGGGAATCGATCACCACTTCCGCCTAGCTCACTTCTCGGCGCCGGCCAGGTGAAACGATTAATGAATGAACATAAAAATCTCGTTTTTCATAAATCTTGTTAAAAAATTATAATTTTCTTTCTAGGATTGGTATGTCTTAATACTTGGATTCACAAGTGTTTTTCTGTTCGTTTAACAAATCGAATTGATGTAGTAATTGAATTCATAAATCTCTGACCATAGATGTTGTGAGAATATTTTAGGACTAGCAGGGAAACTCTATTCTTGTGATTATGCTTGTGCACACTCTTTATATGAACATGTGTAAGCAGCATCTAAGTAATTCCTCTGATGTTTAGCTACTTAGGAAATCAAAAGTAAACTTAACATCATTTCATAGGCAGGCACCAAACATCATGGGCCTATATACATTAGATCTCAATGTTCTAGTTACTTAAAAAATCTGTAGTAATGCTGATTTCTTTTTATACGAAGTAGAAGTTGGCTTTGTCTGCTCTAACTGGGTTGATATCTATTTCATGTCGACCTGTATGTATGCTAAATCCAAGTGGACTTACTTATATCTAGTAAAGAATTGTACAACAATCATTGGCTCCAAGAGATTGTTTATTCATAATGAAAAATAAAGATGAGGGCTTTTGAGTTGTGAGCATACGCACATGTTTTTTATGCTGCAGGCATTTTCTGGTACGCAAAATGTCTCTAATCAGCAGAAAGAGGAAGCTTGGAGAGTTAACGTCCAGATACAGGGAATTGACCTTGAGCATGGCTATCTTTGTGGAACCATGGAAGCTCTTAACGTTCCCATGGCAGACACTCCTGTAAGGACCCCTTACACTCTTTTACTCGTTTGTTGTCTTCATGATTACTTCCCCTTGGAATACTATTACAGGATTGATTCTCGACTATTGTTTATGCGCGTGTCAGGTCATAACATTCTGGGAAGGAGAGATTGTGGATGGAAAGAATTATACTTTCTACACTGGAAAATGGGAAGCCACGTATGTCCCAACCCCCTTTTTTCTTGAAGATTTTTAACCTGATGATTTCTTATGGGTGAATAAATTCTGTCACAGGAGAGAAGATGATATGAGACACTGGTCAAAGTTTCCGTCTTTTTCGCCTCTTCAGGTAACGATCAGAGCAACTTTACTTAAAGAGTCGGTAACATTTTCCTAAGCGACGTTATGGACTTTAATCCTGCAGGGACAAGTTGAGTCTGACGGTGGCAGGCAACTGGATCTTAACAATTACCCTTATATATTCATGGTAAAACTCTTAGTTTTTTTTCTTAACGATTCTGATCATCATTTTCTCTTCAAGTATCCCATAATTCTTACAATTCGGTTTATTTCTGGTGGTGGCGCAGAGATGGAAAGAGCAATACTTTGTAAATGTTGGCACAGATTGTGGACTAACAATAGCTGGATTTTACTACGTATGCTTCTCCTGCAGCGATGGATCCATCAGCGGTTTCTATTACGATCCAAACAGCAGGTTAGTGCAAGATCTTCCATCATGACACAAACTATAATTTGCTGTTTCTTTGTTGTTTGGGTATAGAAAAAAAAAAAGTTGATTAATAATGCTCCTACGATCGATTGTTTTGGCCAGTCCGTTTCAGAAGCTGGAGCTGAAAACAGTTAACGAAGGAAGATCTGGTTTCAGCTTTTCTTCTTACGAGTTGCAATGATGAACCGCCAAAAATCAAAAATCATCAGACAAGCCTTTGGTCCAAAAAAAAAAAAAAAAAAGAAGATCATCAGACAGCGCCATATGATGCTCACGTGTGCACATGCAAGGCACGTGATCCATTTACATTATGACGTGTAACTAATAAATTATTATTATTATTTGGATATTTTTTGTGTAGTTAGCGGCAGACAAGTCCAGTAAAACTAAACTACTATTTTGTCATATGGTACGAGACTAGGAGTTAGCATTGTTGTAATACATACATACTACATATTGTCTCCTTTCTTAAATGGCTAAAAACAATACCAAAAAATATAATAAGTTTTTCTTAATTTTTAAAGAGGCTGGCTAATCAGTTGTAGGAATGCTTCATAAATCAGTTGTACATTGCAGATTAGCTGTATGAAGTTTTTCTGAAATGATTCTCATAAAAATGCTGGCAAGGAAAGAAAAGTAGTTGTGGTTTTTTTAGAAGAATAAAAAGCTATTTTAGAATAATGAAAAAAAATTCTGGTTGAATAACAAATAAATATAGATAGATTTTTTTTGGCAGCTAGTGAAATGATAAGTATTTATTCATATTCCATAGCTATGTAAATAAAAAAAAATTGTTAAAACCTCATCCAAATCCCATAAAGATCGTTATGGGACTACTGTAAAAAAAAAAAAGGAATTACAAAATCGTAATGGAGCGAACGCTAAAAACAGAGTCCCGTCCCGTGAAAGGAGATGGGTCACCTCTCCAGCGCCTAGATTCTTCTCGTGGTGGAATACACGCGCCAATCAAACACCGTATAAACGAGATCAACGGATTAAAACTGGTCCGTAGGATGCACGCTTCTTCGTCGAGTGTCGAGTTATTCATGATTACTTTCATATTTTAAGACTTTCCAGTTCCAGATAATTCGACCCTCCGAAAAGGGAAAGAGCATTTTTTCTCGTCATTTAAAAATTAACGAAGAAAAGAACAATATATCTTTGAACTCTCTATAAGCGATCTATGCCTGAAGTGGAAGTGGATAACAAGAAGCCATCTGAGATTAACAGGTTTCAGTTTCTGAATCAAACCCTCTTATTATTATTTTGTAATACTTTAATATGCGAGTCTCAGGTATTTGAGCGCCTCAAATATTAGATCTGTATGTAATATAATCACACAATGGAAAATTAGCGTTTACTTTGTAGATTAATTTTTATTTTCCTCTTTTCAGTTCTTAAAGAAACACTGATACATAGAATGATTAATCTGTTACCTGTATGGATTCATTTCAATGGTTGACCAAAATCACAGCTTCAGAGGATGATTGACAATACTATCTTGATTTTAGCTTATTAATAATTCTGAATTTAGCTTAGTTGATTTATCAAGTTCAAGATCAATAAACTCGATTTAATTATTAGATGATTAAGATCCACTATATGTTTATCTCTGTAGTGAAAAACTAATATGTGCTTCATTTGTTGTTGTCTGGTTTCTTGCAGTTTCCATCACATGATCAGTAGTAAAAATGTGTTGAAAATGGAAGCAGTGGAGATGAGCAAGAAGAGGAAATTTCAGACAGATCAATCAGAGTTATCATTACTACCTCTGTCGAAGCATGCTTGTTTTGACAATGCCACTTGTTCTGACAATACCAACGGCAGATCAGAGCTTGCTTCAGAGTGTTCAACGTCTTATGTGAACTCAAGTTCAATGGAATGTGACAATGCGATTGTGATGAAAGAAGAATCATCTGGATCATGTAGTGAAGACAAGATGATCACTTTCGAAAGCCATCTTGATTTCATCTATAGCACCCAAAAACTTGAGGATTTTTCAGAGAAAGACATTAAAAACATTCTCTACCTCGATGAAGAAGATGAAGAAGAAGCTAATGGATGTAGTAATGCTGCTAATTATGTTCTGTCCTCTGGGAGATGGACTGTTAACCAAGGTAAAACCTGATTTTTGGTTTTTGTCCATACCGATCCCCTGAACCGGGGATTCATTAACTTGGTTTCATTTGTGCAGATTCTACTCGGCAGGGCACAAAGAAGCCTACGATTGATCAAGAATTTGAGCAATATTTCTCAACGCTAATGTTGTGACGAAATGATATTAGGCACAAAACATATATAAAAATGTACATAGAGCTGTACTAATGTGTAATCTCTTATCATTTTGATTCTTGTAAACAATAAAACCTTCATCTCAAAGTGATTAGAGAGGTTCTTTGTAATGTTTTTAAACAAGACACAGAGATAATTGTAGTGGGAGATTTATGAATCTTGTAAGAACAGAACCGTATACTCTCATACTATCTAGAGAATTAAACTTGCTAGATCAAACTTGTTTAGATAAAAAGTTAAAATCACAAAATCCCGCGATCTTGAAGGTTTGATCCTTCGTGTAAACCAAAATCTTTAATAAGTTTTTTTTGTTTGTGTAACAAGGAGTAGTTCTTTGATAAGTTTGTTCAGGTAATTTCCTTTTCTTTCCTTGTTTAGTATTTTGTTGGCTTGAAACTTTTTGATGTTGAAGCCTACAAAATTATATTCACTTAATGTTTGGTTTCTTACACTCGGCCTGCAGAATAAATTATGCTCTCCAATTACCTGATAAAATAAACCTTTTGAAAAAAAATATAATAATATTAATCTAGAATCTCTTTTAAACATGGTCAAAATATTTTGAAAAAATCTTAAGTTTTTCTTGTTATGGTCAAAAGACTCAAAAGTCCTCTTTAATTTCGTAATTGTCTTCATGTTAAGTCGGAACCTTTTTTTCTCTTCATGTAACTTTCATTAACCCAACAACTAATAAAAAGATGATAGTTTAGTAAACCATTCTTCCTAATGAAAACGTGTTGGCATGATGGTCGAGACTAGGTCGAATCGTTGCTAGAATATGGTTCCCTAGGACCCTAGCATATCGGTCTTCTTGTCCAATGCAGCCTAAACCCAAGATATATGCAAGTAAAAAGACATTATAATCACAGAATTCGTATTTAAAAAATGTTAAAAATAAAATTTTAAATCTTGTGATAAAGAAAGAAAATGAACCTAAAAATAGTCATCTCTAGATTTTTTTTTGTTTTTATTTTTACACGTAAAGTGGAACATATGATTTGTTCATACTAGAGTCGAACCAAACGTAAATTAGACTTTGAAGTATGACGAGAGGCAAAGACCTTTCCCAAGTAGTGCAAAACATGCTTCCACGATTTTTTGGTTGAATCGTGTTTTCTTTTCAAGAGTCATTAAAAATCATAAATCATAAAATTAAATATTGATTTAGAGATTAAAAAAAGGAACGTGACGAGTTGTCTTTCAAAGAGAAACACGTCTTTGACACTTTTCCCCATAATTCCCGATTTGCCCATCCTTCCATAACGGTGCTGCTGAAGAATGATCGATCATCATCATCATCTCGTCTTCTCTCCCTGACAAATTCACCGGCGAGAGAGAGAGGCACAATTTTTTGAAATTTCTCTTCAATTTCGTATGCGATTCCAATTAGTTTTCGCGAGACTTTGGATCCGTGGAGGAGGAGGAGGAGGAGATGGAGAATGGGGAAAACAGGTTGGATCGGAAGAGGACGATGACGATGAACTGGGAAGGATTGGGGGATTTCGAAGACGACGACGATAGATTCTTCGAAACTCATGATCGTCTCTCTTCCGCTCTTACTTTCGACATGGACGGCTCTTCTTCCGACGAGGACGACGGTTTCGACGACTGTCGAATCTCGTTTTCCTCCGCCGTCTCTTCCTTAACCTCCGTTTCCAACGCCTCCCGGAAATTCCGTACTCCGGCTATGTCGCCTGATTACGATATCTGGATGGCTGCTCCGGGCTCGATCTCCGAGCGCCGTCGTCGTCTCCTCCACGGAATGGGCCTCGTCAGCAATAAAGATATGGTCTCGATTCGCCGCGTGGTCTCTAACGCGACCATTGTTAGCAACGGCGAAGATAAGAAGAAGAAGAAGAACGGTGAAGTGGAGGCTAAAGATGATGTTCCCGGTGAATCGGAGCCTCTCGATAACGACCACGCTCCTCTCGTCCCGGTTATGTTTGCTCGGTCGAGATCGGAATCTGACATCGAGAGGTTTCTGATTGAGAAATGGAGGAAAGAGGAGCTTCTCGGGAAAATCTCGAAGCAGCGTCTCACAAGAACCTTTTCGACAATCGGAGTTACACGGACCAGAATTTGCCAGTACCAAACACCAATCAGACAATCCCCTGCGAAGGCCTCTCGTGGTGGCTCAGATTCATTGACATCGGTTATGTCGTCGAAAGCCAGGCTCGGTGCGTTTTTCTTGATAAAGAATCTTGACACTGGAAAGGAATTCATAGTGAATGAGTATGATGAAGATGGAATGTGGAACAGGCTTAGTGATTTGCAGACGGGGAAGCAGTTAACTTTGGAGGAATTTGAGAAATGCGTTGGGTATTCTCCTGTGGTTAAAGAGCTTATGCGTAGAGAGAATGTGAACAGGATTAACTACGAACCTTTGATGGATCTTAGGAAATTCAATTCGTATTTGTCAAAGAGCGTGAGGCTGAGCAAGAGAAGAGGAGCTGCATTGTTGAAGAACATAAAAGGTGTTGCTCATTCTATGAGTTTAAGAGTTGCAGATAAAGATGTAAGCGATGGAAGCACCGATAGTCCTAAGAAAGGGAAAGATCATAAACATGGCAAAGCTAATGAGTGGGTGAAAGTGAGGCCAACAGGGAAGTCTTACAAGGAATTGAGCGCTTTGCATATGTGTCAAGAGATTCAAGCTCACGAGGGTGCGATTTGGACTATCAAGTTTAGTCCAGATGCTCATTATCTTGCGAGCGGAGGACATGATAAAGTCATTCATGTTTGGGAAGTGCAAGAATGTGAACTAATGTCTATGAATGAAGGGAGTCTCACTCCGATTCATCCTTCGCTTTGTGACTCTGTGGAAAGATCATTTGCTGGTAATGAGATAACTGTGGTGGAAAAGAAAAAGAAGGGAAAAGGCTCATCAGGAAGAAGAAGCAATCATATTCCTGAATATGTACATGTTCCTGAAACCGTCTTCTCCTTTTCAGAGAAACCTGTTTGCTCTTTAAAGGGTCATTTGGATCAGATTTTGGATTTGTCATGGTCCAAATCTCAGCTTCTCCTTTCGTCTTCCATGGACAAAACAGTCAGGTTATGGGATCTAGAAACCAGAACATGTCTCAAAATGTTTGCCCACAATGACTACGGTCAGAGTCTGACACATCTTTTTGTCCCTCTTTCCCCACATATAAATATTTTTCTGCATTCACTTTTGACAATTGTCCCTTTTGATTCAACAGTTACATGTATTCAGTTCAACCCAGTAGATGAAAATTACTTCATAAGTGGGTCACTTGACGCTAAGATAAGGATATGGAGCATACAGGATCGACATGTTGTAGAATGGAGTGATCTTCATGAAATGGTCACTGCTGCTTGCTATACCCCAGACGGTCAGGTATTGCTCTGTTTCTTGAAGTAGTCTACAACAATCATGTTCAGTACGGTTTTTTAAAAATAATGGAATTTCGGGTTTCTTGATTGAAGGGTGCGCTTATTGGATCACATAAAGGAATGTGCCGTGCTTACGATACAGAAGGTTCTTCCCGAGTTCATTCTGATTCGAACATCATTTCCCAGTTGAATACTCTTTTTCACTGCTACGCGTTTCTTTCTTCTGTAGAACAGATTGTAAGCTGAACCAAACTAATCAAATTGATGTCCAGAGCCATAAGAAATCGCATGCGAAAAGGAAGATCACTAGTTTTCAGGTATATCTCTTTTAAAACCAACATTAGCCGTTAAGACTTTGAGTAAAAACCATTTGATGCAAGTAAGTTCATACATTTTAGTTCTCCCCGGTGAATCCATCTGAAGTTCTTGTCACATCAGCTGATTCACGGATAAGAATTTTAGACGGTTCCGAAGTTATTCACAAGTTCAAAGGTAAAAAAACTCTAACAAGCACAGGAAAACAGAACTCGTTTGATTGGTCTTTACAGTAACAAAAACAAAAACAACAAAAAAAAATGACCCCTTTTTGGTGACAGGCTTTACAAACACATGCAGCCAAATCTCGGCTTCGTACAGCCAAGACGGGAAATACGTAATCTGTGCGAGTGAAGACTCTCAGGTTTACCTGTGGAAAAGCGACAGTCATCGAACATCATCAGAGACAGGAAAAAGATCAGCAGTCATGACACAATCACACGAACATTTTCATTGCAAAAATGTCTCAGCCGCTGTCCCTTGGCACGGTCATGTTAGAGGCGAACCACCACCGGTTCAGATTCACTCAAAGCGCCACTCAAAACGCATATCCACTTCGAGCCAGCCTGCGTCCGCTACAGGCTCACCAACAAAAGACGAAACACCGGCTGCACCAACTACATCTAACCGGAACAAGAAACCGGGATTACCTCCTATACCAAAGAAAACCGCTACGCAGAGTCCACAGCAACAACCGGAGGAAGAGTTGGGACCGGAGATAGGAAGCAGCGAGTCGTTTGGGTCGAGCATGAACGGTTTGGAGCAGCCTTCGTCGAGGTTTGGGGAATCTCCGTCCATAAACACGTCGTCTAGGTTATCCTCGTGGTCGTGGTTCGATAGTGGAGGCCACGGTCCACAAACTATACAGCCGACGGCTTGGGGGATGGTGATTGTGACGGCTACAATCCATGGTGAAATCCGTTCTTATCAAAATTTTGGGTTACCGAGAAGAATCGGTCGCCAAACCACTCTGTTTTGATAGTAATGTTTATTTTTCTTGATGATTTGTTGTGGTTGCTTGTAGAGTACGTAAAGAAGCCTACTTACTGAAACAACCGTCATTAGTGTTGAGAACCTCTCTCGACGTTTATATTATTGAGTTGTATTGTATCGAGTCCCCAAGAAAATTGTGTAGCTCTCCAAATAGAAATCAAAACAATTTACCCGCCTTTTTTACCCTCTAATTTTAAATCTCATTTATATGTATCAATGTATTGTACTTTGAAAATCAAGAAGAAAAAACAAAAGGACGAAAATAAATTGGATATTGAAAGCTGTAAAACAATCAACGTTCCTAATTTATATTAGTAATTTTATAATATATTCTGCCATTTAAAAAAAAAATATATATCCAATCACAGAATTATCCATTAAATTCATTCTGTAAATTATTCATCAAATGTGGTTTGCAGATTTCACTTCATTACGCAGTTGGTTTTTACTCTCCGCTATTTCATAGTTCTGCAAGTACTCTTGAGTTTGAGAAACGGATCAATCATTTGTCTAAGGTCATAAACGAAGAGTTTTTTTAAAAACTGCCAATTTTGCACCGCTTCAGAATCTAAGGCCAATTTTGAACTTTGGAGGCTTAGCGGATGTGGCCTATGAGTACGGAGATGGGTTCTTCTATGCTGAAGAGAAGACCAAAGATTACATCACCTCTTTGAATGTCGATCTCATCAACCTTTAACAGTCTTCAGAGAGTGTTTGGAATTTACGTCGTAAGAGCGATTTAGCTCACAATAGGAGTTGAATTCATGTGCTATAACCAATGTCAAAGGGGTGTAACCGTAATTATATTTTCTTAGGTCCTGATCACTGCCCCTGCGCCGACGATAAAATGCATTTTTTTCTAGTCTAAAATGTATTGTCATGGTTCTAATATATATTTTTTTGTATTTTGCCTGACTTTTGTAGCTTGCTTATTTGGTTTAGGAAGCATGTTGTCGCTGTTCCAAAAAAAAAAAGAAAAAAAAAAAAGGAAGCATGTTGTCATACGTTCCTTTTCATCAATCACGCGGAAGTCACCACAGTTCACAGGTAAAAAACAAAAATTTGAAATCATTGACGCGAAAGGGACACACAGGTCAGTTTCGAGTAACGTAAATCACACATACACGACGTACTCGTGTACTTGCGAGTTATGATAACAATGATGATAAATATTACTTCGTCCCGCGTGTAACCAAAAACTTCGAAATGATATATGATAAGTTGTAGCTACATGCTGTCACACACCCACGCACAAAAATATGTATATAAAAAAGAGTTCTAGCTACATATTAGCGGTGAAAATAGCTCGAGTATCTTTTTATTTTTTATTTATAACAAGATTGAGTATCTTGAAATTAATTTTTTGGATCTAAGTCAACTATTTGAATCTGAATCCATGACATTCATATATCTAGATTTCAGAAATCCGAGAATATGTATCGTATTTATTTTTTACAAAAGGAAACAAATACAAATCCGTATACACAGTACAACGTAAAAATCTTAAAAGTATATAGAAATTAAATTTTTATAAAATATTTTTGAAAATTGAATATAAAATACGGTTACTTACTAATATATTACTATATGTATCAATGTACACAGTCCTATAATAGAGCTAAACCCCTTTTTATAAAAGAATTTTTTTACGCATCATACATATCCGGATATTCAAACTTTAAAATATGGGAATCCAATAAATATTAACGGTGCTTAACTTATTGAGACTGAGTGATGAATGTGATATATTGATAATCTATTATATTCAAACAGAATCACATTTAGTACTTGCTTCCAAACATTCCTAATTTTTTTAAGTGTTTAAAATAATTTTAATAATTATTTATATTTAATTTCGAAAATTAATTATTAATTTAAATATTTTTAGGATTCCTTAAATATAAGTAATTTAGATTTGATTTGATTTGATTAAAAATAATAAATCATATATTAGTTTAGATTTGATTTAAAGATTCTAATTTAAATAATTTCTATACTATTAAACATTTTTATCAAAAATATCTAGAATTTTTTAAAAAAAAAATTCACATATGAAAATAATGGTCATATTTGAAATATAAAAATTTATAATGATGTAAATGATATGATATTTATGTTGCTTATATAATATATTTACGATTATGATTTATTTACAAATGAATAATAAAATAATAGATAAAATTCAAATGTATAATTTAAATATTAAAAATATATTTTTAAAAATTCATAGAACTAAATATATATATATAAAAACCGGGTTAAAAATATTTTGGTAATTAAAATCACCAATTTGAATTATACATATATATAGAAAATATATTTTTCATACAAAATAAAAACATAAAAAATTAAAAATTATTGCATACACTATAATGTGGTTTGAAAAACCAGTTGTACACTCCCTTCGTTGATTAAATTTTAAAAAACTATAATGCTAAATAATATTGTTAATACATCTCAATCTTTTAACAAATATTTATATTATACAGTACGGAAAAGTTAGAATTATGTTTTTATAATAGTTCATTTTGAATTAATATTAGCGGACGGGTTAAAATTATATTTTTATAATCATAATTAATTTTAATACTATAAAAATATATCTAAACACAAAATCAATATTTTCACTTATTAAAAAATATATTTATAAAAATAATTATATCTAAACTCAAAAACACAAATTATATTACAAAATTCGTTAAACAATAAAAATATTTCCGTGAGGATGCACGGGGTTAGAATCTAGTTTAAGTTTTATAAAAGAAACTTATCATAGGTAACAAAACCGTGTGGTACAAGTCTTCTTATCGATCAATTATCTTTTGATAGCATTGTTGATCAATTATTGAAGGGTTTGTTCGAAAACAAAACACAAATAATACTACCACTAATCAAGAATAATAGAAAATGAGAAGGTGACAGCTCATCGTCTTAACTATTTGTGTTGGTCGCTCATCAATCATCACATGTTTCTTTAGTTCGAAATTGGTCGTAAATCAATCAATAGCTGTATTCACTACATTCACGTTTTACACCACCACCACGCATGCCTCGGGTCGAATAAAAAATCGTGTAAGCCTTTGGATTTTTGTGTACAATTCCCAATTCCTATACTTAGAAAACTATTAAATGAACTTGTAACAGTAGTTAGTTTTGCATCTTATTTCATCTTCTAGATAAAGTTTATATATTATATTTGACAAATAGATGATAAAGCTAAATATTACAGTCAGAAAAAGTGCACCGTTTAGTTTCGGTTTCAGTTTGAAGTTTGAACACGTAACGTAATTCTATTATATAAAACATTATTTTAATTAGTGGTATATGTATAGAAATTTACAAGAAAAAACAAAAGAGAAGCATTTTTTAATTCAAAAGAAAACAAAAAGCATGAAACAAATTACCAGAAAGAAAAATAAAAAATGGAAAGCACGTAACATATCAGTTATCAGACGTGAAAAAAGTCGGAAACCCGCATTGGCTTTGTCCTCTATATAAACACCTTTGGCCTCTAACCTTTCTCCTTCCCTTTCTTCTTCCTTATTTGGCTCTCACCACTTGTCTATCTGCGTTTTCACTAGCTGTGTCTATTTGCTTGGCTCAGGTCCGATGATATATATGCTTACTTCCTTTCCTTTTCTTTTGGTCGCTTTTCTTATGAATTGAATATGTTTTCTTCTTTTTCTTAATGGTTAAATAATATTCTTAACAACCAAACAACGTTTTTGTACAGAGCCAGTGGATAATAGTAACACAAAAGAGGGGAAACAAAACACATATTAATGAAGCAAAAGAGTTGCATATGATTTTTCTAAAATTTTGGAAGCTATAGGTTATATCCATTTATTCAAGCTTGAAGAAATTATTGTTTCTAGTTGTCTTCATAGTTCATATGAAAAAAATAATAAGTACTGTGTAACTAGCCTTTGGCAATCGTTACATAAGTTCTTAACCACGTTAAGATTGATATATTATCAAATTTAAACAACTTTTAGTTTTGACTATTTCATTATGTTTTGATTATTTCTATTATTCAATCTTTATTTTTTCCTGATGTCAAACCATATCATAAAAACAATTATAACTTTTCGTTAAATATATTATTCCTTTTCTTCTACTTAAATGTTTTTTACTTTGTTGCAAACCTTTTAAATATATTTTCTAAATTATTTGATCTAATATTGGAATCCAGTCGTTTGTTTTTTAAATATCGAAGGGTCAGCATCGGCTGGTCAGTGGTCGATTTGATCAGTGGTCGTCTGGTTGGTGTGAAATAAGCCAATCAAAACATAATCCTTAATTATCTCTAGACACATGGAGAATTAAACTTGCACACTTAGGCTGTTTTTGTTCCCACCATTTTTGTCTGAATCTCTATTTCCTCCTCTTCTTTAATTAAGCATGATATCACTGATACAAGATTCTCGGTATATAAAGGTTCTCGAGTAGTGGGTGAAACCAGCGATTCATCAACTTACAATGGAGATTGAGTACCCAAGATATGACACCCTTTTATTTGGTTAGTGGCCAAATTGCTCTGTTTTTATTTTTCTCCGGCAAATTACTCTGTTTTACTCTTCAAAAATCTATAACTTTTTGTGGGAATTTTACAGATCTTGATGATACCCTTTATCCATTGAGCTCTGGGATTGCTAAAGAATGTGGACAGAACATCAAAGGTGCATTTCTCCATTTCCAAAATAATTATCTTGGTCTCCAAGTCATTAGATTTCTGTAAAATCATGTGAGCATTAAGACTTTGGATTGAGTGTTTCTTTTTTTTTTTGGGTAGATTACATGGTGGAGAAGCTTCGAATTGACAAGAGTAAGATCTTGGAGTTGTCTAATTCACTATACAAGAATTATGGAACTACCATGGCCGGTCTCCGAGTAAATTCACCTCTTTATTTTACTTCAACTAAACCACTTCAATTATCCATAGGTTAATTCTTGATCGTGTTTGATCATATTTATTTTCAGGCCATCGGTTATGACTTCGACTACGACGACTATCACAAGTATATATAACAAAAACTCTTTGAATATTACAGAAAAACCTTAGGATAAATCTGAAATATTGTCTTATATCTTTTAACAGTTTCGTACATGGGAGATTACCTTACGAGAACATCAAGCCAGATTCGATTTTAAGAAGTCTATTACTTAGCCTGCCTCTTCGCAAGATCGTAATGCTTCTTCTCAATCTAATCATGCCCTCAAAAAACACATCTTTGGTTTTTTCTCATATGAATCTGTGACAATATTGCAGATCTTCACGAACGCAGATAAGTTACACGCAGCTAGAGCCTTAGAGAGGCTAGGATTAGAGGACTGTTTCGAAGGAATCATCTGCTTTGAATCATTAAATTCTACTAATCGCGACAACATTAATGATAATGATGAGATCTTCGACATAATCAGATACTTATCCGACCATGAAAATCCAGTTTCCGGTTTGCCTAAGACACCTATTGTCTGCAAACCATCTGAAACCGCCATCTTAAAGGCTCTTGAAATCGCCAATATTGACCCTCAAAGAACCGTGAGTGTCAATTTCACAACTTTGTAGTCCCATTACTGTTTACTTCCATCTCTGGATTAACTATAACTTAACTAGTTTTTTTTGTCTTGTAGCTGTTCTTCGATGACAGTGTTCGAAACATTCAGGCCGGTAAACGCATTGGTCTGAACACCGTTCTGGTGAGTTGAAAACGTTTATTTTCTCCCGGAGAGTGAACGTTGGAGAAATGATTTTTACCGTAGAGAATGATTTTGTTTTGTTTGGTGATAGGTGGGGACTTCACAGAGAGTGAAATTTGCAGATTATGCGGTAGAGAACATTCATAACCTGAAGGAGGCTTTGCCGGAGCTCTGGGATTCGGAGGCTAAGCCTGAAAATGTTAGGTATTCCGGCAAGATTTCCGTGGAAACTCCGGTGATAGCGTAATTAGCCTTCCTTGGTTAGTTGGAAGATTCCGGCAGAGAATTGATGATTGTTTAAGAAACTCTGCTTTGTAATTTCTGAATACTTTCCCTGAGTTAATTAATAAATAATCTCCTTTGCAATCCTAAAGATGAAAAATCTAAATTACAAAATTACATAGCCGCTCGTTTATAAATGGATTGTATCTGGCCCAAGGCCCATTTGAAGCAATTTAAAAAAAAAAATCAAATACAATAGTTCAAACGATAAGGTGACGTGGTGAAAATCGGAGAAACGCGATAAGGTGCGTCTCTCTCACTCTCTCGTGATCGTCTGATTTTACCAAACTTCAGTCAATGGCGATGACGACGACGACGACGACACTCTTCCATCCACTACTTCCTACTAGCAGCTACAAATCCGGAGCTGTGACTTCTTCCATTGTCTCATTTCCTCGTTCCCAATTTCCGTCTTCTTCGTCGTCTCTCCAATTTCACTCGCTTGTCTCGGATTCGACATCGATTTTTGGTCGGAGGAAGTTTACCGGGAATCTCAGAAGAGTTTCCGTTATCGTTTCCGCCGCGGGAACTACTGAACCTCTCACCGTCCTCGTTACCGGTGCCGGTGGAAGAACAGGTTCTCTCTCTCTCTCCGATCATTTCGTATTCGGCTCCTTCTAAAATCCAACATAAATAGCTCTGTTCGTGTTCTCTAACGCTAAGAAGTTTCTTTTCTACAATGTGGTATTTTGAGATTCCATAAGATGATTAGTCAGTGTTGATGAGTTAACTTTGTGATTGTCCTCTGCATCTACCATTTGAAACAATGGCAGGGCAAATTGTGTACAAGAAACTGAAGGAGAGGTCGGATCAGTTTGTGGCAAAGGGTTTAGTGAGGACAAAGGAAAGCAAAGAGAAGATCGGTGGAGAGGACGAAGTGTTCATTGGAGATATCCGAGACCCTGCAGCCATTGCTTCTGCTGTTCAAGGAATCGATGCTTTGGTCATTCTTACGAGCGCTGTACCACAAATGAAACCTGGCTTTGATCCTAGCAAAGGAGGGAGACCTGAGTTCTTCTTTGAAGAAGGAGCTTATCCAGAACAGGTGTGAGAAACAACTACTACTTAAGTACTGTGTGTGTTCTTGTGGTTTTTTCCATTCTCGTTTTGGTTTTGATTTATTTTTCTTTCTTTTGCAGGTTGATTGGATTGGTCAGAAGAATCAGATAGATGCTGGTTTGTTATTCATCTCTATGAGTTTTTTTTTTTTTTTGTATGTATGTTTAGCTTAAGTGCTCATGATCTCGTCTTTGTTGATACAGCTAAAGCTGCAGGAGTTAAGCAGATTGTTTTGGTCGGGTCGATGGGAGGAACAAACATTAATCACCCTTTGAATAGTATTGGCAATGCCAACATTCTGGTGATTCCTCGTTCTTTGTTTTCTTTAACAGAGAGATGAGTTTCACAGCAAAATGTTCACAAACTTTAATCATCCTTCGTTCTTTGTTTTCTTTAACAGAGAGATGAGTTTCACAGCAAAATGTTCACAAACTTTAATCATCCTTCTGTTGTAGGTTTGGAAGAGGAAAGCCGAGCAGTACTTGGCTGATTCCGGGATTCCGTACACCATCATCAGGTATTTTTGTAGTTAGACTTGCATATGATATGGTACAAATCGCAATGGTGGAATCTCATCTTACAATTTTCATCTTGGAATCAGGGCGGGCGGTCTGCAAGACAAGGAAGGTGGCATCCGAGAACTACTCGTGGGAAAAGATGACGAGCTTCTCGAGACAGACACAAGAACAATCGCAAGGGCTGATGTTGCAGAAGTCTGCGTTCAGGTGTGTTCATTATGACAAGAAAAGGATTCATATACTGAATAATTCCATCAAGCGTATCCATTCCAAACCAGTTTTGCCTCTCCTAATCCATTGTATGTCTTAATCGAGCAGGCGTTGCAGCTTGAGGAGGCAAAATTCAAAGCCCTTGACCTGGCCTCAAAGCCCGAGGGAACAGGCACCCCAACAAAGGATTTCAAGGCACTTTTCGCTCAAGTAACCACTAAGTTCTGATCTTCCGTTTAGTGCTTTTTCCCATCTTTGTCAATGTAGCAGAGTCATAGGATTAGACGCTGAGAGGGATGAGTAATTAATGTTTAGATACACATGTCTAAATCGGCTCTTTCTATTTCTCAAGGGGTCTTCCCCTATATTTAAGTAACATCAACAAAAGCCTTTGAAATATATTTAGAGATCATCAAAACTAGAAATAGCAATGAGGGACCACAACTAATGACTAGAAGCTCAGATTCCAAGCTAAAGAGTTTTCCAGAAGTAGTAGTATAGCAAATATAAAGGAGTAAAAACATCTTATTTCAATGTAGCATTGGTCCTCGTGTGTACATTGGAGAAGTAAAAACCTCCTTTCAAAACCACAGTTTCCTCTATGCTTCCTCTATATATGTGTTATACAACCTAGATAAGTTAACTCAGCTAGCAAAATATACAAACTCTCTGATCATCCCTAGCTACAAAAATAACGTTAGGAGAACCTAGCTGAGAAAATCATAAAACGTGGCATATTATCATCTATTAAGAAATTCTTCGGACGCAGCACTCTCGTCTTTCATCTGCAAAAGAAATGACACTGTCTCAGTACAATATCTAGATAGACTTAGATGGCATTTCAAAAGTAAGTATGAATATGAATCCAACCCTGTACCTGTAATTCTGTGTCTGGAAATAACAGGAGAGACAAAAAGGAGATACAGACTCGCGTATGCTATCATTAGCAATCAAGCCTTGGAAGCTGATTTCCAAACAGAAAGAGCCATGACGGTTCTTCCCTTCCAGCCTTGCAAGAGCCACCGGTTATCTTGATCGATCACAAAATCCTTGTGGTAGAAAGTGTTGACCTTTTGCAGCGCTGTCTTCATAATACTCGGGTCAAATGAAACTTGCACCAACCCTGACCTCATAGCTCTGACATGCCACTGCTTATACGTCTCAGGCCTCTCCACTCTCTCCCAGCCTTCGCAGGCAATCACATTCAGTGCCTCTCTCCCAAAGACCTCCATCTCAAGAAACATCCTCTCTTCGTCTTCCCGTGGGACAATTGTCTCAAGCATGTCGAAAATCGAGGAGAAATGAAATAGAGCCTCACGAAACCTCGTCACGAAGAACGGTGCGTTGTAGGCACCATTCACAATGCCAAATACAAAAAGATCAGGATTGATCTTCCCGATCAGATTGAGAACAGCGTCTCTACAGCTTTCTACTTTGACCGACTCGTCATGCAAGTTCTCAGCTCTATACAGGCAATTAACAACGATAATCTCATCTTTATCGATATCAAGATCTTCAAGCTGAATGGCATCCCACTTCTTAGCGATTGCTTTATACTCAAATGGCACACCAAACTCCTTAGCATACGCTGCTAACCTCTGACCAGCTTCTTCAACCCTCTGAGCCGGACGAAACCCTGGCTGCGGAAACTCAATCCCTGTGATCCTAAGCCTCGGTGAACCATGTAACGAAAACCGGTGAATAAGAGTCGGCCATTGGAAACCATACAAGATACCAAAATCAATGACATGAACTCGCTGAGATTTCCCAACAAGTTCACGTATCGTCCTGTTGGTTATAAAGTAAGAGAGCTTCCTAAAAGGGCAACACGTGAGGTAAAGCTGGTGAGCCTTGAGCACGGCTGCAGCAGATCTCGGTTTACTCACAATCCCTTTGTAAATCTGGCTTCCTGTACCGGCTAAACGTGCCTCGAGACCATTAGCAAAACAATGAGCCAACCTCTGGTTCCCATCACCAAACGGCGTGGAATGTTGTCTAATCTGTTTCAGCAACTGACCAGCACACCTACGGTCATCAGCTGCAACAGCTTGAGCACAATGTATCAAAAGACTTCTCAAATCCACAACTTCTCTTTTCCCACTTTGCCCTCCTCCTCCTCCTCTTCCTCGTCCTCTTCCTCTAGCTCGCCTCTTCCCTTCTTGAGGCGCTGAAGTTTTCTTCTTTTCCACTCCTTTCTTCAGGACTTCACGCAACGCATCAAACTCGATCATGCTCTCTCCTCCTGGGATATGAACCAAGATCTTATCCACCACATCTGATCTCGAAATGGTTTCAGGGAACACTGCTGGTAGTTTGCTACATCTCTCTTCTTCCACACCAATCTCATCGCGGTTAGGGTTTTTCCGCCCTTTGCTCCTACTGTTCTCCTCTCTGAAACTCACAATCAACTCGTTTTGCTCTGGAAGAAACCTACTAGCTTCTTCAATCCCACGCCTAAACAGCCAAACGGATTGATTATCCCCAGAAGGGTACAAAGTGTTGGACGATTCCTCAAATCCATCTCCATTGATGGTGACTAAGCCATTGGATGCGCTATACGAAGATTGCGGAACACTTAGAACCGAGGAACGATTCTGAGGATTCCGAAAATCCAAGGTGAAACCACTCAGAGGCTTGATAAACCCGCCTGAGCCAACACGATGACCGGTGTAGTTCCCGGGGACAACGTGGTCAAGATTCTCGGTGTTTCGATCAACGAAAGCTAAATTTGGTTCCGGAGAAGGAGGATACTTCTTACCGATAGCTTCGTAGAGCGATCTCTCTGCGGCTTCGAGATCGAGAGACTCCTGTAGCATACAGGCTTTATCCTCCATGTCTTCCTCCATCAACATCTGGCTAATGTACCCTAATACGGCATCGGAGAAGTCGAAATCGTCGGCCGGATCATCTTCTTCTCGAGTGAAAACGAAATTATCCGGAGCTGACGTCACGACGGTGTTTCTGTGATCGGAGAGATGATTGTAATTGAAGCCGTCGAATAGTGGTACCGGAGTGAAGCTATGATTCGGGAGTGACGATGCGGATTGGTCGGGTAATCGGGTCCGATTGATCGTACCCGAAAGCCCGTTTAGACCTTGTTCAGTAATCATATGGATTCTTCCAAAACCAAATTTGAATCCGAATGAGAAGTTGAAGAAGATGACTCAGGAAGAAGGAGAAGAGAGTAGTAAACGACGGGCTAGAGAGAGGGAGGACCAGAGAGAGAAAAGAGAAGGAATCGGAATAAATGCGTTTTTTATATTTAAAATTAAAATTGTCTTTCTCCAAGGTAGGGAAAAGCAATCGTAGCCGTTGATCTTATTGCAATGTTTATTTTACATTTTAATTTAAAGAGGTTTTTGTGGGGACCTGTCGTCGTGCTTCATTTGACATTAGCGAAAATGTGCTTTTCTTATCGATAATTGTTTGACACGTGTCGACATTACAGCAAATTAAAGCTTACAAATCTCTTTTAAATTGCAGTTAGTACACATTTAATGGCAGTATTCATTGGATTTTATTAGTTTTTTCTCCAACTTACGATGAACTAAACATATTTTTTTCCCCCAACTACGTTGTACTAAAGCTTAAACCTTACTTTAAAACAAAAACTCTCTAAACTTAACCTGATTTTCTTAGCTAATTAATATATATACGTCATTCTTCTGTTTCATAATTAAAATAGTATTGAAAATTGTATACAACTCCATAAATTTTGTAAGTTAATTAGTAATTTGATTTAAGTAGTTAGTTGTTTTCTTTATTTTAACTAGAGTGAAATAAATAGTTTTGGTGCCAACTTTCGTCTTTTCTTGTGCGTTTTTGATGCTCAACCAGGTATATCAAGTCAACTAATGTTAGTTAGATTAAGCATCGGCGGATATACAAACCGGTTCTACACTCCGGCCGGTTCTACACTGAAGACAAAAGCCCACACAAGAGGAGCCAAAAGCCCAAAGGATAGAAAATTTCAAAGCAAACTCTCCGTTACCTCCACGGTATCCTTTCTAACAACATAGTTCACAGTATTTCAAACTTCACAGCTCTTTAATCTCATTATAATGTATTGTATCTTTTTAAGCTCTTCTCTATATCGCAGCATGTTGATGTTTTTCTTTCGTCTCTTGCTGGACTGTATTGAAAATCTGTAACATGCATGAATGATGAATGTTTTAAATGAATGGAAGTATAAAAGTTTTTTAAAAAATCTTGATATATCTACCCAAAGGCCCAGATCACTAAAGAAAACGAGAGAACCTAAAAATGAGAACTTTTTAATATCCATTAATTAATGTATTTAACACTACAATTTTAGATGTGAAAGAAAGAAAAAAGGTAGGTCAAGCATAAAAGACACTTTACACACCTTAGCAATGGGCGCTTGTACATCATTAATCATTTGCATATATGATTATATACCTTGCTAAGTCAATTAATTTAATATTTGCTTCTGCGATGATTTTATATGAATGTTGTTTTACTTTTTCACACATTTCACCATATCACGTTGTAGTCATGTGTACTTTTTTTGGAGCGTACTCAGAAAAGTGACCTCAATTATTGAAACAGTAACACAGAGCTGCTCTAAAACTATATATACTCGGACCCTTAAACTTACAACTCACATGGAAAATAGAAGTTCTGTAACAATAATAATCATAGACAACTCCACATGCTCGTGTAATACGATAACTCAAAGAAGCTTGTCATTCAACTTTTGCGGCCCTATCTCATCCATTTAATTCAACTTTTATTATTGCTCAGAAATAAACAATATAGAGTGTATGCTGCAAAACTAATATATTTATTTGTATGTCGATCTCAGACCACCCACACGCTCTTAATGTGATGCTTGATTCGTTTGGCTCATTTGTAAGATATGTTCGCAACAAATATACAGGAAAATTCCATTTATATATGTTAACATGCGCTGCGACTAAACAACTATAAACATGCGTTCATGCGGAGATAATGGCAAATAAAAATATAAGCTATGCTTAGTAAAAATAAGAACAGACAATATAGACAAAGCGAGAAAAGCATACGTTACAGTATTTGGTTGGTTTAATACTTTAATTCAATTTAATTTGTTCGCTTTTTCGGTTTTGAACTATATATACCGAGCCAGGTTTTCTAAATTTTGGTGTAGATTTGATTGAATTTTGGACAACAAAAATGAAGTAAAGCTATGTTAAGTATTCTAATCAAAAATATGGTCTTAGTAGTATTGAGTTTTCGCTTTATTATATTTATATTTTCGCTTCAGCAAAAAGGAAATAATAATAATAATTTTAGCTAGATTATTTTGATAGGAAGACAAGAAATTATCACCGTTTGGGTTACAAGAGAAATTTGACTTGGTTTAGTCTGAGTAGTTCGTTCGGTTTGGTTTTTAATGGCACAGTTGAGATGAGCTTAATCTTTCAGACCCTGTAAATGTGGAGAATTACAGGAAAAGAAACAGAGACATTTTACGGTCCAACCAGCATCAGACATCAGGCCCCATAAATACCATTCCACCTTCCCGCTTTCTCTCTGCTCTATCGAATACACACTTCTCTCTCTTTCTTTCTCACTTTCTCTCTCTCTCTCTCTCTCTCTCTCTCTCTCTCTCTCTCTCTCTCTCACTGTCTCGATGGCGGCGACTGCGTTTGGGATTCGCTTCTTGTGGTTGGCCGTTACGATTTCCTTTCTGTTAGCCGCTACAAACGCCAAAATCCCCGGCGTTTACACCGGCGGCCCATGGCAAAACGCACACGCCACTTTCTACGGCGGCAGCGATGCTTCCGGCACCATGGGTACGTATCTACTCTGCCTTACCAAAAATCCATCATTATCAATACACAATACGATTCCTAATACAAATATGTTTTCTTCTCTCTCTCTGTTTTGTTGTATTCTGCGCGTGGGGTTTTGAAAGGCGGCGCGTGTGGTTACGGGAATTTATACAGCCAAGGATACGGTGTGAACACGGCGGCGCTGAGTACCGCTCTGTTCAACAACGGCTTTAGCTGCGGTGCTTGCTTCGAGATTAAGTGTACGGACGACCCGAGGTGGTGTGTCCCGGGAAACCCGTCGATTTTCGTGACGGCGACCAACTTTTGTCCGCCGAATTTCGCACAGCCGAGTGACGACGGAGGATGGTGCAATCCGCCGCGAGAGCACTTCGACCTCGCCATGCCGATGTTCCTCAAGATTGGTCTGTATCGCGCCGGCATTGTCCCCGTCTCTTACCGCAGGTCACTTGCTTCTTTCCTTTCTTCTTCCTCTTTCCGTTCTTTTCCAACCACCGTTTCTGTTTTGTCGGTTTCCATAAATAGCTGAATTAATAAGAAATTAGCTGTGTAGTTAAATCATATACTGTATTAATACGGTGAAAAAATTACACAAAGAAAGTTTAGTAAAAGGTGCATACCAACTTTTGTAGATTAAATTATGTTTAGGAGATAATATGAAGAATAGTTATGTGTTTATATAAATGGGATGTTTAATATCTAATTATTATGCTAAGAGACACTCGTTAAAAAAAAAATACAAGCCAGAAAAATAATATTTTATAAAATACGAGACATGTTATTATCCCTGAGTTTTTCATATAGTTATGTGTTTATACAAATGGGATGTTTAATATCTAATTATTATGCTAAGAGACACTCGTTAAAAAAAATACAAGACAGAAAAATAATATTTTATAAAATACGAGGACATGTTATTATCCCTGAGTTTGTTGTCCTCTAGGCTTCTGTCACTTTTGGAAAACGGCCTATGTTTTTCAGACTTCAGAAACTTAAAAACATCACACTCAACTTTTGTTTGTTCTCTCTTAGACAATTTAAATAATTTATTTTAGAAGGGAACTAATTTATTTTATTCCATTTATCTTTTCGGGAAAACAAGCAGGACATGTTCTCCAGTATCCCAGAGATGCATCTCTCTCTCTTCCGTCTCTTGTCTTTTTGTAAATAATTGTCTGATTCTGTTCGTGTCTTCTGTGTTCCTCTTCAGGGTACCTTGTCGGAAGCTAGGAGGGATAAGATTCACAGTAAACGGATTCAGATACTTCAATCTCGTTTTAATAACTAATGTCGCCGGCGCCGGAGACATTACCGGAGTGAGCGTCAAGGGTTCAAAGACGGATTGGGTGAGGATGAGCCGGAACTGGGGACAGAATTGGCAGTCCAATGCCGTACTCATCGGCCAATCTCTCTCTTTCCGAGTCACCGCCTCCGATCGCCGTTCCTCCACCTCCTGGAACGTCGCTCCTGCCACGTGGCAGTTTGGTCAGACTTTCTCCGGCAAAAACTTCCGAGTCTGAACTATAAGATCAACGGTCTCATTTAATGAAAACACCAATACTCAGATGTCATTGTTATTTCCTTTTTAAAACTTTTAATATGAGAGATAAAGGAAAAGCAATTTTCCCGCCCTGGGTTTTCTCTAAATTTTCTTGGGAAAATTTCTGGTGGCTTTGGGAAAATGTTTCCTTTTTTTTGTTTTAGGAAGAGGATTCCTTTTAATGTTTGTGATTGCGAATTTGCAAGTGATTTGTTTTGTTTGTTTGTTTTTTTATCGTTTTGTTGTTATGGCATCTCTGCTAATACAGATAGGACCGTTGTGTGCTCGACCAATATGTAACGGGCCATTGGGCCAAGTTAGGAATATTTTGTTTCTTCTTAAGGTTAGTAATTCTAAAAATTATATGTACTACAAATTTTCTGAAACTTGATGCAATATTAGTTTGGGACTAATGATGTGTGTGCTTACTTAGTGTAAGGAAAATGAAGTTATTTTCATCAAGGTTGTGATTTTTAAAAAGATCAAGCGAGTGATTATGTAGTGAAGAGGTAAAAAAACTTGGAATGGATTAATGAAAAGAAATGGATTTAAAAACAGAGTTGCGAGTCTCTAAGGTTGGTGTAATCACTGCATTTAACTGCATATTTTTTTGTGTTAAGATCGTCTCATTGTGAATGTGATTGTGATTTTTTTTAGTGCATGTGTTAATGTTGTGGATGTATGTTATGCTTTTTTTATGTAATATTAAATTATATTAAAAAAAAAGAAATAATGTTTTATAAATTTTGATTGTGCTGTTTTTTTAAAAACTAAAAAGAAAATATCAAAACAGCTTTTAATCATTATTATTTTTGCTTCTTACATTGTTACATTGTTTGTTAGTATCCACCTTTTCAAGACAAAGAGATTGGAAAATTGTAGAGAGAGTTGAAGGACGATGATTCTAGAGAAAGTTGAATGACGATGATTCTAGAGAGAGTTGAATGACGATGATTCTTTATGATTGCAAATATTGAAATCCAAACGATAAAATTAAGAAGAAATAAAATGAAAACATTTGTGTTTTTACTTTTTATAAATACATAGTTTTTTTTTTGTATTTTAATTTATGTTGTACAAGGTCTGTACAAACACGTTTTTATAACTTGTGTTTTCAAAAAACTTATATGTATCAAAGTACGTTCGTTAGCTAAACATTTCAGTCACAAGTATACTAGTGTTTTTTATTGCTTCCAAATTATTAATCTTCTCAATTTTCCAATAATGCATAGAAAGACGTCATAATTATTTGAGTTTTTCTACTTCATTTGCTCCATGATATATTAAAATGTAAGCTCCACCATATCTTGGTTTTATTGTCGAGTATCGAGTAGCATCATAGCTTGAATTTCCGCTGCCCCTTGCGCATCTTCTTACCAATATTCAGCTCAGGTCCACTTCAAAGTTACAATTGGGCCTGTTCAGGATTTAAATGGATGTTAATTTTATCAGATGTTTGGTAAAAGTATTTTTATTGCATTTTATTTGTCTAAATATGAATAAATTTTGGTAAAAAAATTGGACCTTGTGCATTTGCACCTTAGACACATACCCAGAACCAGTCCTGACTCAACCACAAGAATAACATTCTACCACAAATATCATGTGCCTTTCTATAGACAGGGTTTTCGCCGTATTCCTCATTATATACTTAATAAATTAGATCAACACTCATAGTTTATCTAAATTCTTTGCATGCGTATGTAATAGAGCAAACAGAAAATTCATATGTAGATCATAATACAAACCCCTGAGCGATATGGTATATAAGGAATTAGCAACTTGGTTCTGATACCAAACAATCACGTGCATTAGAAAAGTGATTTTCTACAGAACGTTGACTCGAAGATTTACCCTAAGAATTTCAGTTAGTTATAGTTAAATAAAACATTGAAACAAAACATACGTACTTGTGAAGTGAATAAGCTAGCATATGATGAGGTCAAAAAGAAAAACCAGCTCTCACGGCGAATAAATAAATAAATTTTACAAACACAAAAGACAAATTTTGTTTTTCAACCCATTTCCCGTAATGTAAGGATGTATCCAAATGGAAAATATTATTGTTGTTAAAAGAAGTTGCATGAAAAAAGTATCATAAATAGTAAAAAGAAAAAAAAATAAAGAGAGAGAGATAAGAAAAGAAGAAAAAAAGCCGGAAGGGATGGAGCACATGAGGTAAAAGGCAAGAGATGGCAGAGGGAAGGTCAGAGAAAGGATCTGCCTCAATTTGACAACTCAATATGTCATGTCTTTTCCCTCCTCCACTTTTTATTTTTCTATTTCTCTGATTCCATCTGCGTTCATTTACTTTTTTACTGTGTTTGCTCTGTTTCACATTCTACCTCTTAATTAAAATTCTAAGAATTTTGTTTGGAAATCATTGCTAGGCCTTCAGGGTCATGCAATAATCAATATATATATATAAATAAAGTAACGAATTGCTTTGACGTTATCATAGTAAAAATCCTGTTTTTAATTAGGTTATACAAATTTATCAAAATATGATGAAAGATTGGTGTATGTTAGTATGTCACTGTAATTCAGATACTGTTAAAGACCAAAAAAAAAATTACACTTAGGAGTGACTACTGAGGACAACTTTGAATGGTAGGGGCGATCATAGTGGATTAGTCCGCTTGCGAACAAGATTTTAACAATCACTGTTCGCAATTTTTTTTTCTTCTGCATTTGTGCACAAAGGAAAAAATCAATAGAAGAAACAATAGTTTGTCGGCTGCTATTGAATTTTATGTGAAAAGAATATTTATCCACGAATAAATCATAAAATAAAAAAAAATTAAAACATGTGAATTTATAATTTCTTTGAAAAAGGTCGACGTGAATGTTTGCCGGTATTTGAATTTTGTTGTGGTTCCAGAATGTTCGTGCATATGGATATTATAAAATGATTTGGATCTTATACAATACCTATAAAATTTAACTATCATGATGATTCAAAAAAAAAAAACTTATATATCATGATTTCCTGAATATTTCAGTTGTGTTTAATCTTGTACATGAATAAGACGAACAATGAACCACGAATCACGATTCAAAGTTATATTTGAAAGAGGAAAAACAATGAACCGGTTTCAATGAAAATAAAGACAACTCTAATGAGCAAAGAAACGTTCGAAGTAATTCATAGACAACGATGTAATATTTTCGATCTCTGAAAACGGAACGAAACAAAAAATCAGATTTCCCACGGTCGATCCTGCTGGTTAACACAGCAGGCCCATCCAAGGCCCACCACTAGGACTCCCCTATCAACCTGCTTTCCTTGTTTTGGTAAATTAACCTACCATGGTGGCTGTTTTCTTCTCTGTCTAAACTAAATTACACTACCGCATTATTTCGTGAACATCCTTTTGAGTGTAATCTATCTTCTCAACTGTTGGTTGTTAAAAGGTGAAATTGAAAAGCAATTTGAAAAAAAGAATATACAAAAACAGCCAATGTAGATTTGAAGTTAGCTAGTGTAGAAACTCATAACTCATTCGTTTCTAAACTCAGAATAAAATATCATTAAGTTAACTAACAATTTAGGTAACTTTTTCAAAACCAAATAATTTCGTAGTTAACATCCTAATTTTATGAAAACAACTTTTAATGTCGGGTCCTATCTCTTAAAAGTTTGCATGGAGAAACGAAACAATATAAAAATACATATATATTGACTTAATAATGAAGGTGTCTGTTACATTACATCTCTTACGAAATAATTCCTCCTTTCAACTATTAAATTTCAAGTCTGAATTGTCCGATGCATTATTAGTTTTACTATTAAAACAATAATTTTAATCATATAAAAAAATAATAATATAGAATAGCGGGAAAGTGACGTCATAGGTAAGACGTATATGTGGTTGCCTAATTTGTATATTGCTAAGATATTGGGGTCCGGGAGGTGGTAGAGAGTGACTAGAGTCAATCATAAAAGAGTGAAAGTTTTGTCTGCCTGATTATAGCGCGGGGAGATTCTAAAATACGCCGGGGAGAAAAAAAAAGAAGTATGGCGCATGGTAGCAAAATACAAGTAGTAGTGAGTAGTGGTAGTCGGATGTGATGGAACAAAGAAAAGGATTTTTTGGTAGGGCTTATGGAGGAAAGAGAGACAGGGGACCATTAATCTTTTACATGCTTTCCCAAAAGATACCGTTCCCCATTTTCTGACACGTGTCCGTCTCATCCCTCGATTATTTTTTAAAACGTCTAATTTTTTTTAATTTTAAAACAGCAAAATCAAAAAAAAAAAAAAAAAATTAGAGTAGTAAATTTGTTTTTAGATTATAACCATTTTGTTTTGACAGCTTAAGCAAATTTATGGCATCAATAATATGCATAAAAATTCATTAATAGAAAATTTATTTGAGATGACTGAATAGTTGTAACCCTTTTCAAAAATTAAATAATCACTTGCTTTAATTATTTATGTAAAAAACAATTATAAAAATTTTAAGTAGGTGCCGAACAAACAAAATTCTTATATACATCTGTTTCTTTTTGGTTCGATAATTGGTCAGATTTGGGTCAGCTAATCAGATTCATTGGAGACAGGGGTCCAAGGCAGTTGCAGATCCGTCTTGACGACACTGTTAATGCGGCTACTCATAATGGAGAATGGTGACTGCCTGCGGCTCGCTCTGATCAGGTACAACAATTACAAATTGCTCTTACCACCATCGCAGCTCCCTGTGAGTCCAGAGGTGGGGATATCTACTTGTGGCGTAATGCTGTGGGGAATTATACAACAAGCTTCTCCTCACGAGCTACTTGGGAGCAGATACGGGTTCCTTCTCCAACTGTTCCATGGCTCAATCTGGTTTGGTTTAAGGAAGCAATTCCAAAATGCTCCTTTATTTCCTGGTTGGTGATGCTCAAACGTCTTCCCACCAAAGATCGTCTTCAGCCTTAACGTCTCGGGACAAAGTGTTCTCTGCTCCGTGGTTGCTGAGTCTCATGAGCATTTGTTCTTCGACTGCCCATTCTCTGCTACAGTTTGGACTCATTTCACTGGTAGGTTATCCCTGAACCCCCCTTGTGTTGTTCAGGACGTCACGGACTGGCTCTCCTCTCGACGATTTTCCCCGCAGCTGAAAGCTCTCATAAAATTGGTTTCTCAAGTCATCGTCTATCAGCTTTGGAAAGAGAGGAACACTCGTATCTTCACTCCTACATCTTCCACCATTCCCGTCATTTGCCGCGTAGTCGACCGTCTTATGCGGGATCGCCTCCTCTCTTTTCCTTCTCGGTCACCTGCTTCTCCCTCCCTGCTTGAGCTCTATTTTCAGCACCTTGGTGCCCTTAGTTAGCTGCTGTATTGTAATATATCGCTTCATTATATTATGCTCGTTGTAAGTTAACCCTGTAACTCTTTCTTGAAATGAAATCTTAACATGTTACCAAAAAAAAAAAAATTTCTTATATACATTTGGAATTGAAATTTTGTTGTTCATGTAAGAATTGAGAAATTTACCCAAAAATAAGTATGCTCAAATACATCCACAAAATAAGTCTACATTATATTTGTGATGTGAACAATATTAAAAAAAAATATATATATTGATAAGTGTGCAATAACAAAGAATATGTCTCCTTCATATCACTCAATAAGTGAAAGACTTATTCAAAAAGTCTCCTTCATATCACTTAATAAGCGTAGGTGTCAACAAAAAAAAAATCACTCAACAAGCCTGTTAAGAGAAAAAAAAATATAAGTTAGTATTGAAAGTCAACAAAAAAAAAAGTTTTTATATGAAGTTTGCCAGCAGGTTTTGCTATTGGAAATTGAGTAATTGCACAATCTACCAACAGAAAGTTTGGAAATTAAGCCATAGAAAATTGATACTGTGCTATCATTCTGTTCACAATAGAAAGACAATTGAATCCCTATAATGAGTTTTTCGAATTCGCTGTTAGAATATGTTAAAGAAATAGATGGGTCCCTCAGTCAAGTTGTGTGTGTGTCAGTAGATCCGACAACAATATCTAAGTTTTTTGAAAAAGATTATTTAATTATTTTAGGGAGAGGAAAAAAAGAACAGAGATTAAGGTTTCTGACAAAAACCACCATTTGATATCAGTTATCTCTACAACTCAAAAGAGTTTCCAAATTTCGTTTTCGACGGCGAGCGACAATCTGGTGCATGATATCATTATTTTTTTTGAAGAAATCCGAAGTTTCTATTCGCAAACAAGGTAAATATGAGTTCTGTTTTCAATTTTCCGAGTTATCTGTTCTAGGTTAGTGGCATCTGATTTAAGGTAGCTAGTATCACATATATGCAGATGTCTGATAATGAGTTACCCAAGAGGATAATAGCCACTGGAGCTGAACCTTTGGGCTAGAGGGTTATTACATATCAGAAATTCAGCATTATACAAGCATCGTTCATGGTTTAGCCGCTCCAAACATCGTTCATGGTTTAGGCTAACTATATATATTTGTTAACATAGTTAACACTTACCCATTAGTGTCCCGTCTTCGCAGTTGGCAGTCGTACCATCCCCGGTCTCCACGTACCCAGCATTTGTAGAGTAGCATTCACCATTATCCGGCTAACAAAGTTATCTGGACATAATGTTATTTGAACATACTTCATTCTTCATTCGATCGTTGTTTATTTCCCAACATATATTAATATTTATTTGAACTTATCTGCAGTGTTTAGCCAGTTAACTTTGGAGTTGCCTCTAAATCAGAGTTATCTGTCAACACATCCGCTAATTTAGTTACACCGATAATAAGATAATAGTTGATAATTTTAAAAGTAAACTGGATCTCACCCTTCCTTTGGTTATTTCGCTTGTTGCCAGTTAAATTGGCTGATGCTATTAGGTTACCTGAATACATCAACACTACCATATTCAGTTTTTATTAAATAAAACATATATGTTATATCTACCGTTAAACACATTTAGTAAAATAACAAGTTATCAGTTACCTATTACTTCGTTCTTCGTCTGATCATTATATATTTCCTAACATATAAACTTACCTGCAGTATTTAGCCAATCAACTTTGAAAGTTGCCTATAAATCAGAGTTATCTGTCAACATATTCGCTAATTTAGTTACACCGATAATAAGATATTAGTTGATAACTTTAAAAGCAAACTGAATCTCATCCTTCTTATGATTATTTTGCCCGTTGAACTGGCCGCCGTTACTAGGTTACCTGAATACATCAACACTACCAACCTCTTTTTAAAAAAAAAAAATATATATATGTTATATCTACCATTGAACATATTTAGTAAAATAACAAGTTATCAGTTACCTGTTACCTTTACAAAGTATGAACGGCGAAAGATTTTCTTACAATATCTCAATTGTATTTTATTATATCTTGTCTCCTGAACTGTATAAGCATTAAATGTTCTCTGCAGAATTTGTTTCATTCAGTTGTAAGGGTAAACTTGTCTACAACGAAATAATATTATTGTATTTCCTTCATTTATAAACTTTGCTTCCCATTTCCTTAATAAATTAATCATTCGTTGGTATTCAGCCACTTAACTCTTGGAAATTATGCGAACACGAAAACATGTTAGGAATAAATCTGTTTTGAAACAACGTAAATTTGTTGAAAAGGTTTGCCAAAACATTATATATGCGGAACAAATGTACAAACTGTTTTACAAAAAAAAAAAAAAAAACTCTACAAACTAAATAAGTATAAGTTGAATCATCGCAAATTTGTCAGGAACTCAGCAGCTATATTTATGATTTTATGCAAAAAAAAGAATTGGTGGAAGTTTCATAAAGAAACAGAGCAATGTTTTTTTTTTCTCTAATAATGCGATGTTTTTAGAGGTTTAAGTGGAGTAATATTATTCTTTGCATGGTTATTCCCGTTTTACCTCTATCATTTGCTATTACAACAAAAATGAAATATCAAATTAACTACCTTATCTTAAAAAATACAAGTACATACAAATACAATTCACTTTTAGCTATTTTACTTTTAAATTATTTTCTTGGCCAAATACTAAGCATCAACATTGTTTTTTTCACGAATGGTTGAAATGAAATTTTGAGATCCCAATGCGAGGAAAAAACAAAAGATCCCAATGTAAAATCAATAAAAAACAAAATCACATATTGGCAACGAACTTATGGAATTTTCAACTTTTACCTCCACGCGCCGTTGTCAGAGAAATTTTTTTCCCCACTTGTGCGTAAAAAGGAAAAACGTCTGTGTCTCAGTCGGTAAACTTTTTTTTTTCTCATTTTCTCTCTCTCTTTGTATTTTTTTAAGTCTTTTTTTGTTTGCCGTATCTGTTGTCTAATCGTGTACTTCGTCTGGTTTTTTAAAAGCCTCTCCCTTTGGTCTTTTCGTTTTCTCTTCCATTTCGCCGACGAGAGAAAAAAAGTGAGAGATAAAATCTGTGTGATGGAAGAGGCTGCTCTTGAGTTTGTGATTTTACTTTTCAAGTTTATTTGGTGAGTAATTTTTTTTTTTTCAAGTCACTCTCTTATCTTAATAGAGTATGCTAATAGTGTTTTGGTGTCAGCATTTAATTTCCCCTGTTTGGTTTTCCTGGATGAAAATAAAAAAGACGATTACTTTTGTATAATTACGATAAGAAATCATTGCAAGTTTTGCTTAAAACCTTGTCAAGCTTTTGTCATTCTCATCTCTTGAAGATTCTTGAGTTTTGATATTCAATGAAAAGTTTTAGACTTTTCTTTCTTCTACACCTAATCCCAAAATTGAAAGCCTGAAATTGGCATTTCAAGTGTCAGATCTCTCATCACTGCAAACAATTGAAAAGATTGTAGATTGTTGGTCTTTGCGTTTCGATCTTGAATTGGAGAAAGTTTTGATCTTTCTTTTGGAAAATTGACGCAGATGAAGAAGGGATGGTGGTGAGATGGGAAGCAGTGATGTGTGGAGGAGCAGGAAATGAAGGAGAGGCAACGTTGGAGTGGTGAAGAAGATGCATTGTTACGCGCGTACGTGAGACAGTTTGGTCCAAGAGAATGGCATCTTGTCTCTGAGCGTATGAACAAACCTTTGAACCGTGACGCCAAGTCTTGTCTAGAGCGATGGAAGAACTATCTTAAGCCAGGGATCAAGAAAGGATCTTTGACCGAGGAAGAGCAGAGACTTGTGATCCGTCTCCAAGAGAAACACGGCAATAAGTGGAAGAAGATCGCTGCCGAGGTTCCCGGGAGGACGGCCAAACGGTTAGGGAAGTGGTGGGAAGTGTTTAAGGAGAAGCAACAGAGAGAAGAGAAAGAGAGTAACAAGAGAGTTGAGCCTATTGACGAGAGCAAGTACGATCGGATTCTCGAGAGTTTCGCTGAGAAGCTTGTGAAAGAACGTTCCAACGTTAACGTTGGCTCTGTTTCAGTTCCTGCTGCTGCGTCTATGGCTAGTACAAATGGAGGGTTTCTACATTCTGATCAAGCTCCTCCTCCTCCTAACCCTGTGATCCCGCCTTGGTTAGCTACTTCGAACAATGGGAACAATGTTGTTGTAAGACCTCCCTCCGTGACTCTCACCTTATCACCATCCTCCGTGGCTGCAGCTGCGCCTCAACCACCTATTCCATGGCTGCAGCAACAGCCCGAGAGAGGAGGAGTGGCAGAGAGCGGCCAGGCGGGTCTTGTGTTAGGGAGTATGATACCGTCTTGTAGCGGTAGTAGTGAGAATGTGTTCTTGTCAGAGCTTGTGGAGTGTTGTAGAGAGTTGGAGGAAGGGCATCGAGCTTGGGCGGAGCATAAGAAAGAGGCGGCGTGGAGGCTGAGGAGGTTGGAGCTTCAGCTAGAGTCTGAGAAGACTTGTAGACAAAGGGAGAAGATGGAGGAGATTGAGGCAAAGATGAAAGCTCTGAGGGAAGAGCAGAAGAACGCAATGGAGAAGATCGAAGGAGAGTATAGAGAACAGCTCGTTGGTTTGAGGAGAGACGCCGAGACCAAGGAACAGAAACTGGCTGATCAATGGACCTCTAAGCATATCAGGCTCACCAAGTTTCTTGAACAACACATGGGTTGCAGGTAGAGGCTTATAGACCGGCCCTTAACCAAACCATGAAAACACCTACTAAGATCTCCTCTCGAGTTTGTTGTATCGTGTAATGTAAGCTTTTTGTTTTGGCTTGTTTTTTTCTTTCTTTCTGTAATCATTTGGTGTCTCCCACGTTAATCAGACTTTTGGGTTCCTTTACTCAGCTTTTATTGAATGTGTTGTTGGTTTATCTTCTTTTATCATTTGGTGTCTCCAACGTTTTCTCAAGCTGGGTGTGAATTTAGGCATTGCTTCACAACTGAAAAGTTTCCATTGTTTATAACTTCAACTGATAGAAAGAAATGTACATGACATATAACTAGCGATAAAACAGAGAACTTGGATATATTTTAAAGAGAAAGAGGTCATTATTCACTCAAAACACAGATGAACTAAATAAAAAGAAGAATAAGAAACAAGATTTTTAACCATACTACAAACAGATCACCATAAATCCTTGAAAATGTCTTTGGCCAGAACCCCAAAATATAAAAGTAAGAAAAACATAGAGCAGCATAACGGAAGATTAAAACCCGGCTTGAGGAATGATCGGAATAACCCCGGCGGCGCTTCCTCTCAGAAAAATGATGAACTTTGAACTTAGAAGCATTTCCTGTGAACAATGGACGGTCCTGATTCGTCGTACTCTGCCTTTGCGATCCACATCTGCACAAGTTCAAGAATTATATTTAAACCGGTTTAGTTAAGCTGCAGGATAACTAGAGACTGATGAGAATTCAATTTATTAGGTTCACGCGAAGGAAAAGTTGAGACTTTTGTGTACCTGCTGGAAGGTACTGAGTGAGGCCAAGATGGACCCTCCAATCCAGACAGAGTATTTCCTCTCTGGAGGGGCAACAACTTTGATCTTCATGCTGCTTGGAGCCAAAGCAGTGATTTCCTTGCTCATTCTGTCGGCGATTCCAGGGAACATTGTGGTTCCACCACTGAGCACAATGTTACCATACAAGTCCTTTCTGATGTCGACATCACACTTCATTATGGAGTTATAGGTTGTTTCATGGATACCTGCATTCTCCATACCAATCATAGATGGCTGGTAAAGAACCTCAGGGCAACGGAACCTCTCAGATCCAATGGTGATCACTTGCCCATCAGGCAGCTCGTAGTTCTTCTCAACAGCTGAGCTGGTTTTCGCTGTCTCGAGCTCCTGCTCGTAGTCAAGAGCAATGTAGCAAAGCTTCTCCTTTATGTCTCTCACAATTTCACGCTCTGCTGTGGTGGTGAAAGAGTAACCACGCTCGGTTAGGATCTTCATAAGCGCGTCCGTGAGGTCACGACCCGCAAGATCAAGACGTAGGATCGCATGTGGAAGGGCATAACCCTCGTAGATAGGAACAGTGTGGCTCACACCATCTCCCGAGTCAAGCACGATACCTGCACACATTTAAATACTTTTACATACTGGAACATGTGCAAAGATTGAAGCTTTAAACCATAAGGATACAAAAGGGTTTCACTCACCGGTCGTACGACCACTAGCGTAAAGGGAGAGAACAGCCTGAATAGCCACATACATAGCTGGGGCATTGAAAGTCTCAAACATGATTTGAGTCATCTTCTCACGGTTAGCTTTCGGGTTGAGAGGTGCTTCAGTGAGTAGAATTGGATGCTCCTCGGGAGCAACACGGAGCTCGTTGTAGAAAGTGTGATGCCAGATTTTCTCCATGTCGTCCCAATTGTTGACAATACCGTGCTCAATAGGGTACTTGAGAGTTAGAATACCACGTTTCGATTGAGCTTCATCGCCAACATAAGCATCCTTTTGACCCATCCCAACCATCACTCCAGTGTGACGAGGACGACCCACAATGCTAGGAAACACAGCTCGTGGTGCATCATCCCCAGCAAAACCAGCCTATTCAATACAGAGACATAATCTTAGAGAGAAACCAAATGATACATTGTTCAAAGTATCAACAAACAAATCTAATGATTCTGGGTTTTGGCTCTACAGAGAGATCCGAAGGATTGATTTAAGAATAATACCTTAACCATTCCAGTTCCATTGTCGCAAACAAGAGGTTGAATGTCTTCACCGTCAGCCATTTTCTACCTTTCTGCAAACCAAAGGATTATTTTTTTATTACTTCAAAATCAATCTTGTATTCAGATATGAGAAATCATTTTGATGATGCATATAAATACAAAGAACAATACTAGAAAGACAAAATCAAACCTAAATGGAAGAAAAATGATATTATAGATCCAGAATCACTTAAACCAAAATTCCAATATTATAAAACTAAACGACATTTTCCAGAGAATAAAAGGAATTATTATTAAAAACAGTTGAAAAACATCAGTCGCGGTTGAAGATTGCTCGATTAAACAAATGACAATTGGTGAGGGCCAATACGATTATTAAATCGATAAACACAGATAGGATATTAGCTCATAGGATTTGAGGATAGAATCGAGTGAGGCAAATATGCCATCAATAGAGGAAGCAAGGATAACAAGACCCAGATCCACACAAAAAAACTCACATGATACGTACCAAATCAATTGAGAGAAACAACGTAAAATTGGGTATTCGAAAAGCAGTTTAAAGAGACTCAATATTACCTGAAATCGAGAGAAAAATAAACTGAAGGAAGCCCCAAGCGAAAATGATACGGCTTAAGGGAAGAAGAAGAAGAAGAAGAAGAAGAAGAAGAAGAAGAAGAAGAAGAAGAAGAAGAGAGAAACAATTGAAGGAGAAGCGGAAATGAGGCAGAAAAATGAATGGAGAGTAAATAAAAACGGGTCCAAAGGCTTCGAATTCGGCTCACCTCGTTTTTCCAGTTCTAAATTTATTATCATAAATGACCTTTTTAACCCTCTGCGGTTATCGCCAGTTTTGCAACTCGGTAAATGTATGATTTTCACGGGGTGATTCTGGATTTTAGTTTGGTTCGGTTTGGTTTTAGTTTAGATTTCGGTTTGTCCTTTGTGAACATTATAAGAAAACGCAGTGGCCATTGTTAAAGTGTTAAAGCCAATGAACAAGAAACAAATAAAAACAGAGTTCCATTTGTGAGATCAATGCGTTGGTTTTTGGAGTTTCTCTTTGGTTTGTGGCAGAGTTCTGTAAGATTGATTGAAGTCTAGGCTGATAGGTCTAAAAATTTCACATTATAGAACATAATCACATATCTATATATCAAGAAAGTTGCACTTGATTTATGCATTTGCAAATAAGTTATAGTTGCATTCTTATTTTAATAGATTTGTTTTTGGACGTGGTTCTGAGTTTAAAGGAAACTGAGCCTTGTTAACAAATCTCGTAGGTGTTTAGTTTATTTTACATTTTATGTTAGTGTTCTTTCTAATGGGGAAACTAATTGAATTTGGTTAAAAAAAAACAAAACCTTGGGTCTATTTGTGAGGTTGCTATCAGGTTTAAGGTTAAGTAAAAATATATAAATCCCACCGTTCACGGCAAGGTTTAGACATTCAAAAGTGCTTTGATCGGGCTGAGAAACTTGGTGACTCTTTGATCTTGAGATTCAACGGTGGGATTTGCATCCCAAATTGTTGGATACTTTATCTTGCCTTGCCAGATTTTTTATTAACTTCTTTATTCAATCGAAGACCAAATGGCGCAAGTGAAACTTCCCCATGCATGGGATTTCGTGGAAGAGATATTCTCTCGTGTTCCACTTCAATTTCTAGCTCGACATAGAACCGTTTGCAAACAATAGAACTTGCCCATCCTCAGTTCCTCATATGGACCAAATCCAAGTGGTAAACATCATCTCAATGATGATTTATAAAGTTAGATGTTTTCAGTTCTCTCTGTTTTTAAGAAAGGTCAACTTTCAGTGTTAAGTTGACTCATATAAGATGGAGATTATGGAGATTATGGTGACAAAAAATCAAAATTGCTGGGAATGGAGATAATGTGGTAAGGATGATGTTCATGACAGTTTATGTACGTATTGGTCATTGTTCTTATCCAAGTTACTTCATTAGTTAAAATAACTTCGAAAGGATCCTTCGAGTGTTGTAGTGATGAAAATCAAAAGCCTTGCATTTACATTGTGAGGGGCGATGCACTCAAGAAGATTCAATTAGATTTTGTTTGATAATCAGTTTAGACATAGTACCTATGAATAGTTGATCATCTAAGACTCCTTCTGATGTTTATATAAACATCATTAAAAATGGATAAATATGTAGTTCTGATTTCTTATAACTAATCATTTGCTACTATTTACATGAGATTTTTGTATTCTAAGTGAAACAAATACCAGAAAAATGGCCAGTAAAATATGAAACAAATAAGGAAGACAATTTTCGTTCATCAACTAATTTTTTTTCTTCTGAAATTTAGCTTTACCTTATTCCTACTCGGTCCTATATATCAGTATTTTATTTAATTTCCATTTACTTAAATACATTTTAAAGTAACATATATTCTATTATCAATTTTCACAATCATTATTTATATTATTTTTAATTTTGTAAAAACTATTTTATTTAATTTCCATTTACTTAGTAACTAGCTAATATACATAAATAATTTTTACAAAATAATATAAATAATGATTGTGAAAATTGATAATAGAATATATGTTACTTTAAAATTTATATAACCCAAATCAATGACAGAATATGTGTTGTACGTGTAATGTGTAAGAGACTTCATACTTTTACCATTTGTATTCTACAAACATGAATGTACCACTCCTCATTTAGTATGATAGAATCCAAAAAAATCTGTTTCTAACTATTATATTTTTAACCTTTTTTCTACTGACAAGAGAAAAGCTTATTCTACCAATGTTTCTTACATTTACCAATTCTGACTGAAAATTACAAACATGAATGTATATTTTATTAAAAATATTAGAGATAAATCAGGTAAATAGAAATGAGTATAAAAAGAGTAAATGACGATATAACGACATAAAGTTTGGATGTCATAGCAAAACTTCATTTTAAACCCAAAAATCCTCAACCACAACCTTCATTTAATAAATAAGACGGCGAAAAATAACATGTTACCAATATCTTTTTTCGTAACAGTTACATGAAAGGTAAGATAATCCAAAATCGCCAAGAAACACCAACAAACATTTTCTTTACCTGCAATCTATTCCCATTTTCTTAAATACCCATCAATTGTTTTGCTAATGGAGTACAAATACTTTAGTATATTTATCATTTAATATGAATATATGATAGAAACTAGAAAGAAAAACAAACAACTCTTACAATTCATAATCTTTAAATTTGTTATCTTGAAAATACTCTCATATAATTTAATATATAGTAGATATTTTTATATTCTCTTGAATATTATATATAGATATCTTACTAAAAAATAACAAAATATTCTATATAAGATATTATTTATTTCAGCTGAAATAATTATTTATTTAGATTGAATGCAACCATAAATTATAGAATCTTCAATAAGAGTTGGTCTTTCTATAAAAAAATATTGTGTTTAAAATTCGAGTGGTGACTTACAGTAATAATCCTAGACTAACATGAAATATTAGGTAGTAATAAACAAAACCAATCCTAAGCCTAAAAAAATATGATTGGGCTTGCGGTTTTAATTTTATATCTAATTAACCGACTATCAAAATTGGGCTTACGGTCTTAATTTTTATATCTAATTAATCGACTATTAAAATTGGGCTTACGATCTTAATTTTTATAGTAGTTAGTTTTCTACATTAGCACATCAAAGACATCAGCTTAAGTTAAGTTACTATTTCTTCGATATTTAGCAACTTAATTTTTTGTTTTTCAATGACCTTCCATCCTTCAGATTTTCAGGACCGGCTCAGGTAATAAATATGAGTTAGATGTGAAATTAAAGTCTAACGGCAACAATGTTTTTTTTTTTCAGGGGAAAAAAGGTTAGAATGCAAAAAGCGCACATGGCGTTTGGAAACGTAAAGGCAGACGTCAATTTGGTGCTTAACTTGCGAGAAGCAGAAAGGCATCGGCGATAATTTGTTTATTTTGTCGCCGAGATATTAACGATAAATTATATATCATAACGGTATTATGCCGCATGATGTCACATCGGGGTCTCCTTCTGAATTAATCAGAGGGTTTCAACTTTCAATACGTTATGTATGCCTTTAGACTCTCCTAGCCACAACCAACAAACTCGCTCAAATCTCCAATTCCTAACAAACCTGAAAAAATGCTTAAGTCAAAAAAATATACCCAAAAAACAATAAAAAAGAAAAGCTGACAATTTTCCTGATTAATATTCTTTACCACGTTGGATCTATCTATATACTTGGATCAATCATTAATTATCAATTCTTCTTCTTCTTCTTCTAATTATCTTTTCTCTCTATCTCTCTCTCTCTCTATCAAGAACAAGAGTTGTGTTTATTCTCTCTTTTTGGTGTCCTTTTTTTAGTTTCTCGAGTTTTGTAGATTTATTGATTATGTCGGAGATCACGAGCCTGAAGAAAGAAGAGGTAACGTTAGGTGATGAGGTTTCAGAGACGACGAAAGAAGACGCATTTTCAGACAGTAAACTCGTGGTTGAGATTTGTCGGAAAAGGAAGAGATCAGATGATGAAAAAGAAGAAGAAAAAGAAGAAGACGTGGAGGAAGAGAACGACGGATTTAAAACACCGACTCGTCCGGAGAATAGAATTGTGGTCAGAGAATGCCCACCGGCGCCGAGGAGAGGCCAAAATGAGTGTTCGGTGATGCACAGAGCTGGTAAAACAATGTCGTGCCGGAGACGGTTGAATTTCTCGCCGGAAGATGCCGCCAGCTCGTTTATAACGGATTTGCAGTGGAGGACGACGACAATGACGATCAAGAAATAAGTAAGAGATCAGAGAGAGACAGATGTTAACTTTTAGCTCTTATGATTTTATTATGAGTCACGTTTGGAAAATATCCGAACCTTTTTTTTTTTTTTTTGGCAAAAAGACAAAAACAAATTACTTGATTAAATTGGTATTGTGATTTTTAAGACTTCTTGATTCTCAAATATAGATTTCTGCAACCCTATACCCAAAAAGTTATAGATTTCTGTTTCGAGATGATGATTATTTGTCCATTGTTAGTTTTTTTTTTTACTTATGATCTCGATGACGTTTACTATATGTAATAGTTTCCACCCAGCTATTTGCTTCTATTGCTGATGTAGTGATGTTGTTCAGATCAATTTGGTTCTCAAATTCGAAATAACTTAAACATGTTTCTCACCTTTAATCTATACGATTGCTTATATATAGTCTTATGATCTTTTAAAACTTGAATTATTCGTATGATATTAGAGTTCGAAGTGCACAATCAGCTAATTTGCTTATATTGCTGATGTTGCTCAGATTAATTTGGTTCTCAAAGTCGAAATGACTTAAATATATATGTTTCTTATCTTTGTGTTAAGCCAGTATGGTTTGGCGATTGCTTATATAGTCTTGTGATCTTTTAAAACTTGAATTATTCGCATGAAATTAGAGTTCAAAGTGCACATTCAGTTAGTAGTACTTAGTCAACAATGTAACCAAACCAATAGGCAATAACCTTGAGATAGCGCGCGTAAGCTACGTTACATATTTTGTTGACAACTGTATTTTTATTTATATTCTTGTTTACCAATATTCACTCACAACGAAGATGATATGGTAAAGTTAAAGTAGGTAAAAGAAAGAGAGAGACAGATAGAGAAATAATGAAAGTAGAAAAGGGAGAGAAACATGAAGAAGAAGACAGGACAAGAAAAGAGAATGGATATAGAATTTTATAAACGCTTTAGAGGTCGAGGCCTTATTTAAGTTCCTTCGACTTCTAAAGTTGGAACATCCAATGCTAATTTTATCTAAAAAAGCCTACGACGAGAACTCTCAATCGTCTCATCATACCTTAAGCTTCTTCCTTTTCTTATGGATCTTCAAAATCTTTTTTGTTTAATATTTTCTTTCTTTTTTTCCATTTCTTTCTTTTATGGCCGTTATGTTCGTTTCGTCTACGTTACTCTCTTCTTTTGTGTAGCTTTCGGTTTTGTTGACCTGTCTCCTATTTTGTTAATTAATTGACCATTTAATAATTTGATTGCAGCTTGAATGAAACGTTATGGTGATCTCATTCCAAACAAACAAAAAAGAGAGAGAGAGATGGGAAAGGGAGATATATATCTTCACTCTGCCTAACAAATATAAAAGATTACTAAGTTAACATGAAAATATGTTTGATTATATAGCTCATACTACAAAATTTCACACAAACAATTACAAAATTTAATATCGTTTTGCTCTTCTTTAAAAAAAACAGATTCTTAATCAAGTTTAGATCGAATTCTATATTAATTCGTGAGATAATCCGTACACATCAAATTTTGTCAAAAATTAAACAATTTTAACTAATAGAAATACTCAGTGTTGGTCAAATGGGAAGATGCTTAAAGTTTCCAGCCATATTACTACTAAGGCGTCGGCCCAAATTTTCTATTTAACAATATATAATGATTAAAAAAGTGTTTCTTCCATTGAAAAGTTAAGAAACATGTTTTTCTTAGGAGATAGAACATGTTTATTTGTGAGTATTATATATATATAGTAGATAGAAAAACTAGCAAAATTTCGAGTAGAAATGTATGTAGGAACGAATGTTAAAGACTTAAAGTAGTGCATCTCACATTGATATTGGTATATGATCAGCTGGTTTTTACCAAAAAATATTATGATCAGCTGGTTTGGATAATTGATATTGGTGATAACCTTGCCATTTCCTGTTAGTTGTTCAAGAATTCTTTTTTTTTTTTTTTGGGCAAGTTTTAAGAATTCTTTTCTTAAATAGTCGTTTTTTAGTTTTAGTTTTCTCAAGATTCTGCACGACAGTACGAGGAGTATTTAAGGAGACTGTTGCATACATAGAAGAATATTGGGATAAGGTTTTGCTACCAACATTTTTCAATTAAATTTTACCACAACTTGGTTTCTCATCAATGACGCGTAACATAAAAAACAAAAAAAAATCTGATTGATTTACTAGAACTATGGTTACAGGTTCCTCTTAAGTCAATCAATACAGTGTAACAAATATGAAAAATTTCGCAAATTCTTCGCATATGGAACATATGGAACATACGTACATACGGCATTTGTTTTGGGATTTATGGCATATGAATTTGAAACTTGAAATATATCGTTAGTCCATCTATTACGAGAAAAGCATTCAAATCTTTACCCCCAAGTTATTGCTTTTAAATTTTGATTGCACATAACCAAAGTTGTCTTTTACGTCTACTATCTAACTTATCATGCTTTGTATATATATTGCAACTTTTTAGTAATAGGATGTATACATATATAATGTTTATGTGTACAAATAGGAATACAGACATTTACATGTGACCAGTGCTAACTAAGTAAGCATGTTTCTTTGTGTATGCGTGTCATAAAATACTACCAGAACACTAATCAACAGTAATGGCACATAAAATTCGATTCAACCGAACTTCACACATAAAAATATATTATCCAAATTCTTTGACCCAAAACCCTCGGCCACTTTAGAACATAAACTTTTTAGAAGCTCAGGAAAAAAAAACAATTAGTCTTGACTCTTTTCAGTTTGACAAAAACCATCATAGCTCGAATTAAGAAAAAAAAAAAAACTAATTATCAAACGAGATTGCTTTGGGCCTGTGCCTTATTCCATCAAATATAACTCGGTTCTAATTTTATTAAGTTTCCATAGGTTCAATCTAAAAGCCCAATAAATATTTAGCTAATAGGCCCAATTGGTAAAAAATCCTAGGGTTTTCCTTTTTGTCAATGTATACATATAAAACTCCTTTTTCTCAGTGATCGTTGTTTCGCAGCGGCTGCTTGTTGATCAGAGAAGAAGGTACGAGATCTGATCACTCCCTCCCTCTCTCTTTGATATCATTGTTTAAGTTCTCAAATCCATTTCTTCATTAGTTTCGTTAACGATTTGAGTTATTGCAGGTAAAAAAAATGGCAGCACCACAAGTGAAGACCGGTTTGTTCGTTGGATTGAACAAAGGCCACGTCGTCACCAGACGCGAATTGGCTCCTCGTCCTAATTCTCGCAAAGGGGTAATCAATCTAGCTTCCTTTAGACTTGAGAACTAATAGAGTCTTATAGATTGCTTGAATAGTGTTTCTGTGTTTGAGCTCTGTTTGACTGTATCTATCTTGGTTTCATGTTTTGTCTTCTTTGGAAGACGAGCTTAGAGATGGGAATATAACTTGCTTTAATTCTGCCACCATGTGAATTCATTAGGTTACTAGAGCTTGAAATGTTGGATTCTACATGTAATCTTGTTAATGTTGAGTTTCTGAGCTGAGAAATAGTGTTGTCTTGTGTGATTGCGTTGTTGACATTTTTGTTTTGGATTGGCTGCATCTTATTAGAAAACGAGCAAGAGGACATTGTTCATTAGAACATTGATAAGGGAGGTTTCTGGGTTTGCTCCTTATGAGAAGAGAATTCAGGAGCTTCTCAAGGTTGGCAAAGACAAGCGTGCTCTTAAGGTTGCTAAGAGAAAGTTGGGTACCCACAAGAGAGCCAAGAGGAAGAGAGAGGAGATGTCTGGTGTTCTCCGCAAGATGAGGTATCATGTTGATTTCATCTGCTTCAAAATCAGTTCTTTTTTTAACTTTTCTCTTCATTCCTCGAGATGTTCATCCATTGTTATGCATATTCATTTGCTAAAGATATGTGTCTTATTGTGTTTTATCGACAAAAGTAATGTTTACTGAATTTTGGTTTTTGTCTATCGACTTGCAGGTCTGGTGGTGGTGGTGTTTCCGAGAAGAAGAAGTGATCATATTAGTCTTCCTTTTGCGTTATGGGAGCTATGTTATTTTTGAAACTCTTAAGTTTTTGTTCGGTCTTGCTTGTACTTCCAAAAACCTCTCTTTGCTGTCTTTTGTTAGGAATGCGGATTAATGTTGTTGCACTCTGTTCCGTTTTATTAAAGCTTTTTAAACTTCTTTTATTGAGAGAATATGGCAAAAAATGCTCTTAACTCTTTTATTAGAAAACTACGATCGAATCCTTTTTCTTAAAGAGCCAAATTATGCAGTGTCAATGCTGTTCAACATTGGGAAACTTGTGTTATTTTGGGGTTTGTGATGGTCCTAGCTTAGATCTCTAATCTTTCTGATCCCCACTTATCTATTGGTTTTTTCAAGAACTGGAACCGAGCGGTGTTAGAAGCTTAATAATTGGCTTGATTAAAACTTGGGGATTTCCACAGGCACTCAGAAACATCTAGGGAACTCGGTAAAAACTTGATTAAAGAGTAAAGTTGGGGATTTTTAGAATTCTTCCAACCCAAATAACCTAAAGTTTAATAACATAGCTAAATGGCGTTAGTAGCACTAACTGACGCATTTCTTTTTACCATTTTTTCCTACTTATTATTGCTAAGGTTTTGAATTTGGTTCCCCTTTGTTCGTTTAGGAGATCCATTATCAAAGTAGGCCCCAATAATTGTAGCCCAATAACAACCAATACGGCTTTATTTGTAGTAATGAGCTACAAAAACAATCTATTTAGGGCCTCTTCAAGGAATTATAAACTCGTAGCTCAATCAAATATGTAATATAGTAGTGTCCCTAACAGCTTGCTGGTGATGGGTCTTCAGAGATTCCAAAGATTTAGTCGCTTTGAATCAGTACTAGTAGCTTATCTATTCGGTGGCTGAGAGTTTCCAAGCTCGCTTGGTTTTTTTCATTCCCTTTAGATGCTCACGCGTTGCAATGTATGATGTGAATTTACATGTTCAAAAGTTACTATAAGTTTCTATTTAAGACTTTTGATTGCCTAAAATACATCGTATCATTTAAAGATAAGAAAAAAATGGAATTGTACATACATATGTGCATGCACAATTATATAAATACAAATACGCTTGTGTACTTTTTAAAGTGTGGCTAATAAGGAATCTTTGGTCTGAAGATGAAGAACGTGTGTGGTTGATGACAACGTGAGGAAGAAACGTGACAAGGCAATACTACTAAGAGATTATAATCCCTTCTCCACTTTATCCACATGTATGATCCTTATATTTACATCGATCAATCACACCTAAAAGATGATAGAGACTCTGACTCTAGATCCTTTTATCTATTTTAAAAAAAAAACATGCACTTATTCACATATCCAATCATATTTCAATTATATATGATCAGAGGTCAAGAGAACCAATTAATTTGATTACAGTTTGGCTAAATGTGAATCTGTAACTACCAAGTCATGTTCAACTCTATGGTACGTATAGAGAATTAAATATAATTAAATTTAAAATGTCTTGCTCTTGGCAGAAAGAGATTATAATCATATTTTGTTGCAAAAAGAAAGTCCATGTTCAATTTAAATCCTTAGAATATCCATTGGAAACTTGTGGCATTTACATATGATAGATGTTACCGTCCAAGCCGCCACAATATCGTTATCTACACAAGACACAGGATATTTCCACTTCAAAGCGCGGGTACCAAAAAGATGCAGTTTTTGTTACAAGCAATTGCTAACGCAACGTAGGATTTTTGTTTTCTCAGATTCGGCAAAGATACGAAAATGGAATCTCAAATTTCATTGCCCTCTCATCAGGTATATACTTAGAGTTATACTGACCAGACTATTGTTGACCATAACACAATACAAAATCAATTTGCTGATGTGTCTGCATGGTTTGGACTTTGATCCGTCTTAGCGGAACTGGTCCTAGACACCTACAAGTCGGATCAAAACCTAGCCATATTATACTGATTTCTACATATTCTTTTACAACATATAGCATAGATGTTAATGTTGTCGTTACTCGTTACGAATAAGTAACAATATTGTAACTGCCTAACTGTCTGTAAAAAATGCAACTCTACATTTTTTCTGTTAACATCATGAAACCTAAATTATTTTTTAATATTTCCAAATAGATTGTGTCTTAATCAGGCGTTTAGGAACTCCTAGACGCCAATTTATATATCATCGATGTTCTTTTTCTGATTTTTATTTATTTTTATATATAATCTGTTATCAATGGGCTGTCTCGAGCCGATCGATTGATTTACTTCTTTTGGCCAAAATAGACGTGATTATGTATCCAAGCGACGTGGTCAATTAATGGCCAAGATCTACGGTTTTTTTATAACACATGGCATTATAGTAGCTAGTATCCAAAATTGGGAAGATCCTTGCAAGTGTTAGGATATTCAACTACAGTAACGCGATAGCATGATTCAGAATGTAGATATTCTTATTATAACACTTGTACCATTGCCATCAAAAAAATTTCAACACATATACTTATACTATTTGTATTTTACTTTACCATCGATAAATTTGAAATTTCAATTAACTTGCTTTAACAAGTATTTGTATATGTCAGAGGAACAAAAATAATTGCGAAATTATATATGTTTCTTTATTTATAGTCACAGGGAAACTAAGTTATCATTTACATGCTGTAAAAGTGAAAGCTGGTACACAAAAATGCTGGTCGTCGTCTATATATGCCTAGACCTTAGGCAGAAATCAATACATATGTGTGTATATAAATGCACAGAAATGCATACAATATCAGGTGACAAGATTTAGCTTGGATTTCTGAGCCACATGCTACAATGCTTCTGTTGGGGATTCCTCACATATAGTACTCAGTCTTGCAAGTTATAATATCTTATATATTTTGATTTTTCCTACCCTAATTTGTTTCATTATCGAAATTTTTGTAATCATATTTAACCTCTTCATTTGAGTGGAAAATTGAGTTTGAACCCCAAGTCCGAACTGAGTTATAGTAACCAATATATCAATATCATTAATTCTGGTCACCTCACCTAATTCAAATTATTATGTCAAACTGTCAATATGATAACTTGTGAAAATAAACAACTTTTGATAGTATGTTGATGATTATGTTTAGTAAATCAAAATAGCCAAATTATGGGAGATTGGGCAGGTTTTTATTGTGTGGCTTAGCTTTATAGGTTTGAATGTGCTTTATTCCATATCTGTGAGCAGCATTGGTACTTGCAAAAGCAGAAACAATCATCTAATTTAGATTCCTTTCTTTCACTGTGAACCAATCCTCCCTTTGTTTAGGACCCAACAAAATAATTTTTTATATAATATATCTCTGTCCTTTTGTTTTTGAATAATCCTTTCCGCGAGGGACAAGAGACTACATATTTCTCATTTCGTCTGTTTTTTTACAACTTTGGTTTACGAAAAATGAATGTTTTTTATTTCTGTTGTAAATATAAATTTTCAGTTCTACTTTACTTATTACTATTGAAGTCAATGGAGTGTAATTCTTACTTAAATTGATAAACTCAACTAAAATCATAAAACATCAAATTTAAACAAACAAAATATTTTGAATAAAGAAAGAGAGATATAGGAAATTTGTTGTTCTTTTAGTTATATACAATAATGAATACAACGTTAGAGTTTGGTACTTGAAGAACTAAATAATACTATAGAGCATTATTATTTTATCATAAATAATTTAAATACTGTAAAAGATGAATTATCATGGATTCATAATGTAGAAAGACAGTTAAAAAAAAAAAACTGTAAGTGGAATGGAACAAGGGAGGAAACTAATAATGATCAAATCAATAGATACTTGAGAATGAGTTCTTCTTCTAACACCTAAACAGTGAAAAAAATGGATGACGTGGCCCACACAAACTGATAAAAAAGCAAATTTGTCGCCTAGTGAACTGTGTACACTCGTTCCAAAGCGCGTCAAACTGACATCTCAAGATTAAAATTCTCGTCCCGACATTGATTCTCTGCTTCTGTCCTTAAATGTTTCATAGTCACATGTAAGAAAACCCGGCCGTCATCTCAATTCTCAAGTTTTGCTAAAGTAACATCTAATTATCTAAACTGTAAAATCTTATAACACAAAATATACTATAAATCGTACTCAAAATGGTAAAAGACAAAATCACCAACACGCTAATAAACAACATACTGAGATAGTACAGTAAATCAAACACACAATTTTAATTTTTCTCACACAATTACATCTCCATCGTTCCGAAATCAACCAAAGTAATGCGTAAGAAATCTATTTTTTTTTTTGTTTTTTACTTTTGGACATAAATAATGAAAGATGAAATCATTAAACCTAAGATTTTTTAAATCATTAAACCTAAGATTCTTTAAATCATCTCCAACGCAGGATGACAAGGGTATCACAAGTGGGCTTGCATTTTTATAAAGATTTAAAAATTAAAAATGAAATCTATTTTCAGTCATACGATAAACCTGTATAACTCGGATATCACTAAACATGTGGCATTTTTTTATTGGCTCGTGGGTGAAAAAAAAAAAATAATCTAATATTATTTTATTTTGATGATTCAAAAAAAAAAATTTAATAAATATCTATAAACTCTTCTCATGAATACCATGGTTGGAGATACCTTTACTCTTAATTCAGTTTCGTCACTTATTGGAAAGTTTTATAAATTGGTTTCGTCAATTCAACCCAGTCACAACAATCAATTGTTTTTTAAAAAAAAAAATAATAATAATAATCGCTATCTACATCTCTTTCGTTCCTCCATTATATTCTATGTAGCCTCGCGAATAAATCAATATTCCTTGTAAAGATCATGTGTTTTCTTGTGTGTACACACATACCTTTCAGTTAGACCAAAATACGTCTAAAATAAATAACTTATAAACTTTGTATCAGAGGTTAAGATTAATCCTTAAAGCTGTTATATTTATATTGTTTTCTCTTATTTTAATTGAAAATTGATCAAGACATACACCTGGATGATCCAACCATAAAACCAGAACTATTGATTTCAGATTACTTGATTTTGGGATTCATTTCTGATCAAAGTACAGATTTGAAGGAAATATGCTATTGGGTTGATTAAATTTACCACACACATAGACACGTTTATTGTCCCTTTCTAAATATATTTCCGCCAAACTTAACCAGACCTATCAAGCCAAGACTTCTTCAGATTTAGTTCCTAATTCAGAAATATCTTTTCATCATATCATGAGTCATGACAAGTCTCTAATACGTCTATTTGCTTGGTTCAAGTATTTCTCTTGTCATTGCATGTAGTATATTTTTTTTGGTAAGTTCCAATGTTACGCGCTGATTTAGACAAATAAAAATACCCAATACTAAAAAACTACGTACATACTCGTCTTCATACTCTGGTTTAGAACATAAGGTACATGTACAAGTAGCGATGTGAGAACTTTCAAATCAACTCAATAGTGAATTAGTGAATCTTTTCAGACATGGTTTCTGGCGAGATTAATTAAGCTCTGTGTATCATATAGGAGGCTGATCAACTCGTTAGAGATTCACATACTATTTAAATTTTTAGTCTAATTTCTTCCAATTATACACTTTATTCAAAGTCGAAAGCAAACTACGAAGAAACCTTTAGACCAAAATAGTGTTTTTTGGTTGTTTCGGTTTACAAATTATATAGGCTTCTAAGTATGCCCGTTAAAAAACGAACTTACAAAATCTAATAATTAACAACACACATTATGATCTAGGACAAAATAAACTTAATGTTTAGACGAAAATCAGTGAGAAACTAATGAGCTTACGCAAAATATGTATCATGATTTTAATTAAGATTGATAGATATGGATTCATGTAAATATAAGTTACTAATTAAGTAGTTTTGATACTAGTGATCAAACTCAAAAGATTACAAAGCAACAGTGTTGACAAAAAAGAACAAAGGGACAGTCTCAGACACATCCAATAGCTTAAGCTACATATATAGAACCGTAGATCGAGAACAAGAGAAGTCGTAAACAACATCAACCAAAACAAAACGCAAAGTAAAACAAAATTAAACTAAAACTAGTAACTAGGGTTTTCATCAATAAGTACCCATAAGTTGTTCTTTTTTTTTTGGTTGGAATCAACGAGAAGAGCCGAAAGTAGAAAGATCAGTCCAGGAAGAGCCATTACCATTGACATTAACCCATTTATAAGGATTATCTTCAACTTTAACCGAAGAAAACTGTGACGCCAGAGCAGCAGAGATTGACGCAGAAGTTATCCTCTGCGACTCAAAAGGGTAAAACCCATTTGAAGATGGATTAGGATTAGAAGAATCCTCCAAGTTTCCACCTCCAAGACTCGGCTGCATATGATGTGACGTCGATCTCCATTCATCAACACAGCTCATAAGCGAGCCACCAGAATTTCCCATGTGGATTGACCTCAAGTCTTGATTCAATCCTCCGTAGTTCAACAAGCTCATGCTGTTGTCAGTTTTTGTATTATCTGTCAGATCTCCGAGATGATGGTTATAAGTAGGATTCATTTGCCTCCCCGGAGACAAAATCTGGCTCAAGATACTCTCTTGGCTTCCTCCGTAGTTCGCCGAGAGAATCGCGCTTATGGTGGATGCATTCCCGGAGGCGGCGGAGGAGAAGCTTGTGTTGTTGCTAGTGGCGGTGCTGTTATTATTGTTGCTGCTTTTACTACGCCTGTTTCTCCGGCAACCACCACCCACAGGGACGTTACGTAGGGCCCCGCCACGTGTCCAGTATCTCCGGCAGGTTTTGCAGAAGTGGCGTGGCTGAGTGAGGCTGTAGTTGTTGAAGTAGCAGAACTTGGTGTTGGTGGATTCGCATCTTGGACATTTCAATGCAGCCTCGGGCATGGCTACGTTTGCTTGTCTTGCTCTGTCCACCATGGATCCTGGTCGGATCGAGCCGCCGCCTCCGCTCCCATTAGACGGCTGCGGTTGTGGCTGAAGCTGAGGACGAAGAATATGACCGCCACTACCTCCGGTTGCTGAGGCTCCTGAGCTGCTCTGATTGTAATTGCTCGTAGGAACCTAAAATAAATTTTGATATTGATAAGAAATGAGGAATTGTTGAGGAAATTGGACAAGAATATTCAAGAACATGCTATGTAAGATATTTTTTGTGTCTTTTACTTTTCTTGCTTTGAATCAAGATTACTCTTTTAGAGTTTGATTCCAATATTAGAACATACTGATTGCTAAGCAAGAAGATTTTTTTCTTTTCTTCTCTTTTTGATTCTTTGAATGAAGATATCTCTTTTTGATTTTGAGTCAAAAATTATAACATATAATTGCTAAACAAGAAGAATTTTTTTGTGTTCTATATAAGAAGTGAATATATGGAATAGTTAGGCACTTACTTGTTGCCAGTTGGATGAATCAAGATAAGCTTGGATGGAGGAGAAAACCATGGTTATACTCTCTTTGTTTTTCTCTTTTGATTTTATTCTTCAAAATTCCTAAAGTAAAGTTATATTCTTTTTTTCGTTCCTCTCTTTTTCTTGGTGGGTGATATGAGAACTAGAGTAGCGGAATCAGACCAAAGAGAAAACAAAGCGCAGAGAGAATGAGAACGAAGGGAGAGAAAGGAAGGTTGAGTGTGAGAATGAAGATGGCTAAAATTTAAAGTGGCTGAACCTTTATATATATTTATGTCCACATATATACATATGTACATAACAATAATTTTTATTGGGAATATTGAAGAAAATAAGTGTCATATATATGTAATTATTAGGGTTTGTGTTCCATATGGGGTGGGACTGACATGATTCTTTTTGTTTTTTCGCTTTAACTAGGGTTTAAATTTCTTATCACTAGTTTCATATAATATATTATAGACGTATATTTTCTTAGTACATAAGCTTTTATCTTGTGCCTTGTGATGGCCATCGCATCATAGATTCACACATTTAGACCGAGATTTATAGAGTAAAATCAACTTCGCCTTACCCATAATATTTGACTTATATTAATATAATTGTTATATGATACATAAAAAGTGTTCTTGACATAATTTCTATAGAGTAGAAAATCATCTTTAGCCAGTTAATAAATTTAATATCGCTTTGGATTGCTTTGTATAATTAATCCATATATGACAAGAATACTTTTTTGTATTTAGTTAATTAAGTAGAAAACAATTCAAAGACAACAATGTAATCGAAATGGATGAACTCCTTCAAATAAAGTTAACCCTTGTCTTAAAATAATGATCACAATTTGTTTTGGTATATATATTGATTCAACTTAAAGAATCGAATAATCTCTCGTTAATAGTGTGATTATATATAGTTGATTTCTGTGTAGATTGATCCGAGTAGAATATATGGAGTGAATTTAGGAGACAAAAGTGGTAAGTAGACCGAACTTCGAGGTGTTACACAATGATTATAATAGGATCGTTGATCAGATAATGATTTAGTATAATTATTTGAAAACAAAAAAAGAAGATCAAAGAGATTAAAAATAGGAAAAAGTGGGTAATATGGGTGCTTTGGTCGTTGGACGACAGCCGAAGCATCGTGACCGGTCCATCATGTTCCCTCTCTCTCTCTCTCTGCTTTGGTTTGCTTTTGTCTGCATGGCAATATCTGACTCTCTCGTAGATGTGATTGATCTGCACGCTCCCTCGAACCGCGTGAATCTTACTCTCTACATCTCCCTGTACGTTGATGTTTGGGCCTTGGGTTCACTTTCCAAAGTTTCTTTAGCTACCCCACGCAAAAACATTCCCCACATACTTCGATAGATTTTATACAGTTATATGGATCAGTAAATCACCTAGTAAAATCTCAAACGGCAAACAAAACTAATTTTGCAGATTTTAATATTTGCTCAGTGGATTAGTTTGTCACTAAAAGTATATCTTGTGTTTTGATTTTCAGTTTTAGATTTTATGTAAAATAGTTTCGTAAATAATGTCTTCCATTTTCTAATTTTAGGATCACGATACAAATCCTTAGCCATCAATTTGTCTGCGGTTCCATAATTCTTACCAATTTCAATTTTTTTTCCTAATTGCTATCTATGTGCAATCATTTTGCAAGTTTACAAATACTACTAATGTGAATATTCCGAGTTTTAAGTTTAGTTTAGGTAGTTTTGTTTTTCTCTCTTTGTTATTATCCTATTCCTTTCCGCATATTTTGTTTTCGTCGATTTTGTCATTTTGCACCCTTACTATTCTGAACTATGTCACAAACAAATACTATTTTGGTAGCCGTTTTGATAATTCGATTACATGCTGATTATAATTAAGTGAGCTAAATAACAGGAACCACATTCACATTGGAACAAAGAAATTTTCAAGATGAGATTTTCGTTACAATAAGTATCAATTCCATCTACTTGATCCGTATTATTTTCTCATCATTTCTAGGATAAAATACATTCACATTTAGGATAAACAAACTATTGATGACGACATTTTGGAACAAAACCTAAATTTTCTAGTGTTTTTACTTTACATATGCGTAGGTACTCTTTAGACTAATGAGAACACAGATATTGCAAGGTCAACTTACTTTGCATGAAAATAAAATCAATAATCAAGAGTTAGACAAACAAAGAACTATTTACATTGCTTAGCCCTGAAACTCTCATGATCAAGAAGCCTAACCATGAGCTTCTCAAGCCTCTTCCAACTCAACGTTGGCTTAACAACCTCCATAGTCTTCCACTCTAATCCACCGTCTTTTTGACCAAGCAGCTCGTCATCGATCTTATCGAGTATGGCACCATCCTCTTGAAACTCCCTTGCAAATGGCGCACCGCTTTGGACCATGTCACGAAAATCCTCAACCGTTAGATTCAGGGCACGCTCTTGGAAAAGCGGATCCCAGTGGGTGTAATGCAAGTCGTGGTTAACCGTTGTGTTCTGATAATCTCTGTTGTTGCACACAACTGTCTGAAAATAGCCTTCCGATGACAAAAGGAAGTTGGTGTAGTACATCAATAGCGTTCTTGGGAGATTGTCCCATCCCCAGATGCAGAACTCGAGGAAAGGTCTTGTTAGAGCTACGCTTGTTGACCCTATAAGAAGAGATTCATACGCACAAAATAAAGGAGAGGCAACAATTATACGTTTAGGATGAGAATGAACAAGCAATGAGAGTAAGTGTTTTACCCATGAAAAGTTTGAATGATGCAGGCAAAGATCTTCGTTCTTTAGCCCAAAAGACACCAGATTTCTTCAAATGGTAAAAGCCAGGATCGATAATGATTGGTCTTGCTCTTTGGTTTCTGCAAAATTTACAGTTGTTACACAAGAAGCGATGCAAATGATCTGTTTCTGAATACAAAACAGAGAACATTTCAGGTAGGTATACATAATATTAGCTCCCTCACTCTTTCCAACCGATGTTGCTTGTGTGCTCAATGAAGTTCAGGTAGCGAGGCAAGTATGAGAAGATGTGCAAAATATCTGAAACCGAAAAAACACAAGAAACAAAAGTAAAATAAGATCACTGAGCTGTATAACATTAAATGATAGATCAAAACCAGAACCAAAATTTAGACGCATTCTTATGTTTTGAATTAAACTCCACTGCTCAGAGACTAATTAAAGTCAATACACAGAAGCCAATCAACATCATATGTCTTTTGTACAAGTCAATAGTGCAAGAACACAGGAAGTTCAACTTCTGTACTTTAAATATCGATTGTATTCTAACATTACCAAACTTGCTCTGATCGGATTCCGTTGAAGGACACATCGAACAGAGATTTGAGTAGTAAGCATTCAAACAAGACATGAATTTTGAGGTTAAATCGGGTTAAGGGGACAATCAAAAGCATTGAGGATTCTTAATTCCTTTACGATCCAATATTTTATAGGGTACAAGAGAACTCAAACACACCATATATGAGATTGATCAACCAATCAAGTAGACTCCTAACTTCTTCTTCATTTGATTTTGGAATACAGAACATTGATTCTCGTTAAAGAAAGACAAGAACATCCACTTCTGATTTTATTTCACTTTGAATCTCAATTAAACTTATCATTACCAAACCAAAACATATTTTCTGACAGCATCCAAACACGAAGCACAGATTTAGGGGAATGGTTTAAAGTTAAGTAAAGCTTTACCATCTTGAGGCATGAGAGGATAATCAGAGGAACTAAGATTAATAAACCAATCCCAATCCTTAGCTTTCTTCAACAGAATCGCAACCCCATGAAGCGTGCTAGCTAACATCGTTGGACCTTTCTCCGTCACCAAATCAGCCAAACCCATAACCATAACGTTCTTCAACTTCTTCTTCTCCGACCTCACATACTTAGCAAGCTCCATCCTTTCTTCATCCGAAGCTTGAAGATCAAGATGAAGAAGATAGTAATTTCTCGGATGGTGTATTGCCCTGAGCAGCCGCTTCACACGTTTCCCATCTCCTTTTGTCCCAGTTACCAAGTACGCGAGCCTCGGTATCTTCGGATTTCCGGTCAAGCTTCGATTTGGGGATAAACCGGAGGACGAATCGGATGGTTTTCGAGAGGTTAGTGTTAAACCCAGAAGGAACAAGAGGAAAACGCCCAACACTGAAATCGCCGGTCGAGAACAAGAGCGAGGAGATGAAATGTGAGATCTTTTCATGACTCGGTTACAAAAATCGACAGCTTTACGATTCTACGGGACATGAGAATCAGATCTGAGCCGGCCGGTGGAGAGAGAGAGAGGAAAGCCGGGAAGAAGACGAAAGTATGGGTTTTTTTAATTTTGAAAAAAAAAAAATTGGTTACGTGGTGAGCGCCAAAAACGTTATCGTTTAATGAGAAGAAGGAAATGAATATGAACCGTTCGATTATTTTGGGATCTTCATATACCGTAGGATGAGCTTGCTGTAGTGCGTTTATGTGAGTTGTCGAGAGACGAGAGTCAACGTCAGATTTCCCATCACACACACTTTAGTATTGCTTACGGAATTACGAAGCAACCAAAGAAAATAAATAAATTCACAGACGCATTTTTTTTTGTTTTTACGAAATTGAAACAATTTGTTTACAGTCACAAAAAATATTTCAAAAATCATGAAATCGAAAAATAAAATTACAAAAACGAGGACATAAAATAAAAATATCAAACTAAACTGGAAGCATCAGGCAAACCTTGACGCCAATCGTCATCTCTACTGGTCGCCGAAACTCGGCGGTTTCCGCCGCTACGATTCACGTTACCGTTACCGTTAACGTTAACGTTAACGTCAGCGTCAGCTTCGGTCTGTTTAACGGAGACGTCTTCACGGCAAATGGGACAAGTGGGATGATCTTTAAGCCACTTCTCAATACAAGACACGTGGAACGCGTGCTTACACGGGCTTAGTCGCCGGATCTCCTCGCCGCCGGCGAACACCGATAGACACACGGTGCATTCGTTCCCGATCTCCTTGGAAGGCGTCTCTTTCTGGAATTTTACGCCGGAATCTAGCGCGGCGGCGGAGGCAGCGTCTCTCTCGGACGTGATATCCACGGCGACATGAGGTGGATCGTCGGAGGAAGAGCTGGTGCTGCGGCGGGAGGAAGAGGAGTTACGGCGGCCGGAAGAACAGGGGACGGCGAAGAAGAGAGCGTAAGCTAAGGCGGGAACGGCGACGATTGCGATGACGGCGAAGATTAATTTGAGAGGAGAGTAGTCGATGCTCCGGGGAGACGCCGGGAACGGTGGAGGAGGTCCGATGATGATGAAGGTGGAATTGGAAGTGATGGTTGTGCCGGGGAAGACGGTGGTGGGAACTGTAGCGGAGGAAGTCGGGACGACGGCGCCGGCGCCGGAGCCGAAGGCAGTGGTATTATTGAACATACTAACTATTATTGTGTGATACTTATGAAATTGGTGGGGAAGAGAGGTAGATAATAATGGAAAGTGCTTCTTACTAACTAAGTTTGGTTTTGTTTTTCCAAATTGTTTTTTTTTTCTCGACGAATGAATAGTCGACAATAAATATTTGTTAAATAAAGTGAAAAAAAAAAACTAAACCCGCCACGAGTAGTAGCAATAGGTCTTCCAAATGTTATTTGTAACGGCAGTTTACTACTAGATAATACACTAGATTTTCGGCAGGTTTTATAATTTGACAATCTCTAATGCAACAATCACTTTCTTAACTATTTAACAACAAAAAGCATTTAGTTATTACAGAACTCTTTTTCTGTTAAAAAAAAAAACTACATGTTTTTCATTAGTTCACATTGTTTTATTTGATTTTGATAGCATGTCTAGAGACTAGAGTAGACTTTTCTGCTAATAGTTTTTATTTATTTTTATATTATTTATACAAAGGAAAGAAGAAGGAGCCAAGGAGGATCTTCTTTGGTGTTTTGTTATGATGGTTACATGGGAGTAGTGGTTGGAAATTTGGTGCTTGTCGGTGCCACCAAAATTGTTTATTCTTTATTTTCCACCTAGTAATAATTTACTTATCTATATCTCTTGGTCTTCAGGTTTTAGGTCGTAAGCTAATGGGCCAGTTAATTGAGCTTTGAGGTGTATTGTAGACTAAGCCCGACAGAATATGAATGGAATATTGCATCTCAGGTTGCTTTCGTTATTACTTTCAACAAATGTGAAGTGAAATAATGGACACAAAATAGAGTAAGGAGCTGAAGAAAGTTTGGTTCATCTTTTTATATTATTTATTTTTCCCATCAATTATCATTATAGGAAAATCAGTCATTTTTTTTTTAATATGTATATTTATTTGATTCAAATTCAATGGTTTCGGATGCAAGGTTCTATAAAGGGATCCGATCAATGTGTTTAAAATCATCATATATAACAAATATTCAACTAGCCATAAAATTCTCCAATCATATCGAGAAGTTGTCATGAGTGACTGGTCAAAACCTAGCTACATATATGCATAAGTAGAATTTATGAAGAACTGTGAGAAGTTATAAATGATTTCGAGTTCTATATAAATCGATCTCAGAAAGAAGTTGAATAGATTTCAGTAAAATGTATAAAGAACTTGATCATTTTGAATATACATACGTGCGTAAGTTATTAGGAAAGATGTGACAACAAAGATGTGATATGTTTTATAATTGAAGAGAGTCAAGGTCTTTGTCAAAATTGATCATAAGTACAGATTTTATAGTTTCGAAATTATGAACATAATAAATCAATAGATGATTTTTTTTTTCTTGCTACTTTTCAGAATTGGTCTATGTTAGGTATCAAAATCAATATAAGAATAGATAACACGATTTTTTTATGTGGAATTATTTTCAATGTAACACGTACAGCTAAGGGATACTCCAAAAATATACTAGTAGAGACCTTAATCACATAAACAGCCACATGCATTACATGAAAGTGCAGAACTTTGAAAAAAAAAAAAGATCAACAATATGTAATTCTCACAAAAAGGAACGTGTACTGCTCTGCTCAGAGCCTCGGGCTCTGATCATCAAACTTCCTACAAATGGGATGCAGAAGAGGTCAAGAGGGTACGTACAATTCAGTTGATATTTGCCATTCAACGAAAGAGATTATACGTTGTTGAAGAAAATAAATAGATGTTGTTGGATTAACGAAATAGGAAAAACATCATCTTCTTATAAGATTGACAGGATGGATGTAAACCAAAAAAAAAAAAGTGTTGACAGGATGTATTATAAAAAAAATAACATATTTTGCTTAAAGGATATAATACGGCTAAGAAACATTAGTTCTTAAAAAAAATTAGATCTCAATTAGATTAGAAAAAAATAGATTTAGACCCTGTTCGTTTCTGTATCTGGATGTTACATCTAGCTGCAAATGTCTAAATGTTGTTTGTTTTTTTTAAAAAAAATTTGTGTTCAGATACAACATCTGGATGCAAATTGATTAGCATCTCAAAAATCTGGATATTATAGATGCTGAGAAATAGAGAGTTCAGATGCAGCGTTTGCATCTGGTTCATGTAAAAAACGAAAAATCTTGATTTTCCACCAAAACGTTAATTTTTGGTTTTTCGCCAAAAATAAAAACTCTCTGTTTCTCGCCAAAGACGAAAAATCTCGGTTTCTCATCAAAAACACAAAATCTCGATTTCTCGTCAAAAACGAAAATTCTCGGTTTCTTGCCAAAAACGCAAAATCTCGATTTTTCGCCAAAAACAAAAAATCTTGATTTTCCGCAAAAAACAAAAAATGTCCGTTTCTCGCCAAAAACGCAAAATCTCGATTTCTCGCAAAAAAAAAAAATCTCGGTTTCTCGACGAAAACGCAAAAATCTCGATTTTTCGCCAAAAACGAAAAAATCTACGTTTTTCACCAAAAAACTAGGTTTTTCGCTAATAAACAAAATCTCGATTTTTCGCTAAAAGCGAAAACTCTCGGTTTCTCGCCATAAACGCAAAATCACTGTTTCTCGTCAAAAACGTAAAATCTCGATTTCTCGCCAAAAACGAAAACTCTTGGTTTTTCGCCAAAAACGCAAAATCTCGATTTTTCGCCAAAAACGAAAAATCTCGGTTTTCCGCCAAAAACGAAAAATTTATGTTACTCGCCGAAAACGCAAAAATTCATTTTTTGCCAAAAAAGGAAAACTCTTGATTTCTCGAAAAAACGAAAAATCTCGATTTCTCGCAAAAACGTAAAAATTTAGATTTTCCGCCAAAACAAAAAATTTTTGCTTTCCCGCGAAAACGCAAATCTCAATTTCCCGCTGAAAACACAAAATCTCGATTTCCCATCAAAAATGAAAAATCTAGGTTTCTCGCCAAAAATACTAAATCTCGATTTCTCGCCAAAAACAAAAATTCTCGGTTTCTCACTAAAAACGCAAAATCTTGATTTTCCGCCAAAAAAAAAACTCTCGCTTTTCCGTCGAAAACGCAAAATCTCGATTTCTTGCCAAAAACGCAAAATCTCGATTTCTCGCTAAAAAAATAAATAATCTCGGTTTCGCCAAAACGCAAAATCTCGATTTCTCGCCAAAAACGTAAAATCTCGATTTTCCATTAAAAACGAAAACTCTTGGTGCCGAAAACGTAAAATCTTGATTTCCTGCCAAAAACACAATATCTTTATTTTCCGTCAAAAACTCAAAATTCGAGTAAAAAATTTGTCCGTCAAGTAAAAATTCATGTTTTTCCACAAAAAATGCAAAAAAAAAATTTAATGTATATTTAAAACTTAATTTGGTAAAAATATTATTTATTAAATAATAATAATTCTTTTTAGTCATTTTATATATTTTGCATCCAACTATTTTTCTAAATTCACAAACGAATAATTTAGTATCTAGACGTAGCATCTTGATGTAAAACCTAGTTTCAAAAACAAACAATATATAGATATTGTATCTATATGCTGATCTAAATGCAAAATCTAGATAACAAAACGAACAAGGCCTTAATCTTAACATGGAAACTGTTCAGTGAGCAATTTACTAGAAGTTTACAATACATGAAAGTCATTTTATAGATGATGGATGTTTATTTACGACTTTGTAGTAAACAAAAAAAAGGATGTTTATTTACGACGACGCGAATCCTTGTTTTTTTTTTCTGTTAACGAAAAGAGAATCTAGTTGACGGTGTGTATATAATGTATACATTCACACAGACACATCTACAAAACGTCGAAGACAATAAACAGTAATAGTCACCGTTAAGTAACGGCGGAAACTTTCCACGGTAGCATCCAGGGCAGGCGTTTACTTCCGTCCGTTTCTCTCTCTCTCTCTGGAAAAAGAAGAAGAAGAAAACTAAGATTTGTTGTGTTGGCGAAGCCACAGAGAGTAATGATCGATTTTGTTAGCTAATGAGTAATGATGATGACGATACCATCACCATCGTGCTCCCCTTAGCTTCTTCTTCTTCTTCTTCTGGGTTTATTTGTGCTTATTCTACAAGGTAAACCATAAACCCCCCCCCCCCCAAAGGAAAAAAAAATCCTTTTTTTATCTTTCCTCCGTGTGTCCTTATCTACAAAGGCTTAATCCGATTGAGTATCTTCTCCAAGTTTCGATTTTTGTGGGTTATTTTAAGGATCTAGAAGAAAAAATTGGGGAATTTATGTGGCGATTCGTGAGTATCTAGGAAGGGTAGATAAAGTTCTTGTTATTACAAACTCACGATTAGGGTTTCTTCATTGCGGAGGATTACAGGATTGGATTTTGAAATTGGGAATTCAAGGGGTTTAAAGTCGGGTCCTTTTTCAGGAGTTTGAGGAAGATGAGAATTGCAAGTGTTATTATGGTTATTGGAGATGAAATTTGTCTCTGGTGTGAGCTGAAATGGTAGATACTTGGTTTAACGTCTTGACGATGGAGAATCATCATCCTTCAACTCTCTTGTCAATGGATTCAAGTGCTTCTTCTCATGAGGAGCTTGATTTGGAGATGAATAACAGGCAATCTCTTCTCTCTGGCCCTCCTGACATCAATCTACCTCTCTCTGCTGAGAGAAGTCCTCCTCCGCAGCCATGGAACCTGGATTCTTGCGACATTTTGGATGTTGGGTTAGGTTCACAAGCATACGAGACTGAGAATTACATGAGTGTTGTCCCCAAGGTTGGACGTAAATGCGCAAAACGTGTTGATAGTATCTGGGGTGCTTGGTTTTTCTTCAGCTTCTACTTCAAGCCTGCTTTGAACGATAAATCAAAGGCGAAAATAGTCCGGGACAGCAACGGGATTTCTGGTTTCGACAAGTCAGATTTGAAGCTCGACGTGTTTCTAGTTCAGCACGATATGGAGAACATGTACATGTGGGTGTTTAAAGAAAGACCTGAGAACGCTCTCGGGAAGATGCAGCTGAGGAGTTACATGAACGGACATTCTAGGCAAGGAGATCGTTTGTTTCCGTTTAGTGTTGAAAAAGGATTTGTAAGGTCTCACAGGATGCAGAGGAAGCATTACAGAGGTTTGTCGAATCCGCAGTGTGTTCACGGGATTGAGCTTGTTCCTTTGCCGAACCTGACCTGTCTTGACGAGGAAGAGAGGAAAAGATGGATGGATCTCACGGGTCGGGATTTGAACTTCACGATTCCACCTGAAGCTAGTGACTTTGGTTCTTGGAGAAACCTTCCCAATACTGACTTTGAGCTCGAGAGGCATCCACCTCCGTTGAAGAATAATAACTCTGCAAGCCACTCTAAGAAACTACTCAATGGATCGGGGCTCAATCTCTCGACTCAACCATTAAACCATTCAAATGGTGAAGCCACCGATCTATCTCCCTCGAGCCACAAGAGGAGGAAAGACTTGTTCTCAAATGGGATCCATGAGGAGCAATGTAGCTTAACCGTGAACCCTCCACCTCCTGCTATCGAAGTTCATCAGAACGAGCTACAAAACTGGTCAAATGAGTTTAGCGGGGCCATGAAAAACGTGTATGGACCAGTTACTGCTGCGAAAACGATCTATGAGGACGAAGAAGGCTACTTGATCATAATCAGCCTTCCTTTTGTGGATTTGAACAGCGTTAAAGTCTCGTGGAGGAACACTCTCACACACGGGATCATTAAAGTTTCTTGCGTTAGCACATCGCGGATACCTTTCATGAAGAGACATGACAGAACATTCAAGCTAACTGATCCAGCCTCTGAGCATTGTCCACCAGGAGAATTTGTCAGAGAAATCCCTTTATCTACCCGAATCCCTGAAGATGCAAACATCGAAGCGTATTACGATGGACCCGGATCGGTTCTTGAGATTCTTGTACCGAAACTAAGAGCTGGACCTGAAGAGCATGAGGTGCAGGTGTGTTTCCGTCCACATCTCGGAGGAAACGATCTTATGTTGACATAAAAGGAGAGACATTTGTTACAGTTTTTCTCGTATTTAGAAGCTTATAGGAGTCAATCATATCTCATTGATATTGGCCAACTCATATATAGGCGTTTTCTTTCACTGTTTTAAATGGTATTTTTCATCACAGTGCATTCTTGTGTATGTTGCGTTGGAATCAACCCTAGCAGATTCTCAGTTTGGAGTTTGTACAAAGAAAGAAAAATTGTTGTGATCTCAAATAGCACGTTATATGTATCCGTTCTGAGTGCTGATTATGACGTTCAATCAAATATGTAACCAACCATTTTTTACTATAATAAAGATATTCTCGTTCATGCAATAGAAATGAATCATATCTCACAGAATTAGATACAATCGAAAGCTACTGATTAAGATCAAGCAAGAGCTGTCGAAGTGCATCAGCAGAGAGAGGTATGTTCAAACACTCTTGTCCATCGGAGTTTCTCTTGGTCTTAACCAGTTCGTGGTCTTTAAATTCAGTGAGATGAGAGTTTAAAGTCACTTGACTGCTCACAAAAAAGCGTTCCCGAGAGGCTGAATACAGATCATCAGTGGGCATGCCGTCCTCATCTGGGTGAGAAAGTTGATACTCAGCAAGAATCTTAAAGACGTTTTGAGCGTTTGGTGTTAAACTCTGTAAAACGATGGCCGCTGTTTTGGCGGTTTGGGCTGTGCTTCCCTGTGCAAGAACCAATGGGAAGAATACACATTCGACCTTGTATGGTGCAAATGTTGGGACATGGTGCCATAGCCAGTTAAACTGTTTGTGCACCATTTTCTTGTCCCACACTACCAATGGATAAAAGAAACATCGTATCGTGTCAGAGAAGCAGTACACAGAATATCTTAAAAGAAGCAATAGAACTCACCCATTATATAACAATTAAAAGGAAAGGGACAGAGAGAGAGATGGAGAAAACTACTTACATAATGGAGCATTCACATGGTCAATAGAGGCAATAATGCGTATGTGTGAACAAGAAGCAAGCTGGGCGAGAGTTTGCTGTGATTCAGGATCCCTTAGAGCTGGGCCGTCAATGTTATGAACAACAACGCATATGAAGCAGTCTTTGTCTTCGGACTGTGAGCCATGCAGAAAGGAAAGAATTTCATCAATGGAGCGTGAAGGGAATGTTTCTTGACCTTTAGACAAGCTTCCAGAACTCTTTCTTCTACATTTCAACAGCTCAGACAGAAGATCAGCTAACGCTAAAAGAACCTGAATTCACAACAAAGAAAAGAAGATTTCGTTATTCTTCTAACTATTTTTTTCCCAACCTGAAGACAATAGAGGTGTGCCAGAGAAAGAATAGCTGCATCCAAACTGACAAAAGAGTACCTGTTTTAGATTTACTGAAGGGAGGTAGCCATTGATGACCACAACGGAATACTCAGTCAAAGAAGCAGAAGCAAAATCTTCAATTAAAAGCTTTTTAGATCCAAAGCCGTACATTAGAAGGCCAAATCCACACCTGGAAGCAGCAAAACGAAATGATAAGACACAAAAGCATGATGATTCTGATGGAACATAAGTGCCTAACTTCTAGAGGAGAAGGTCCAAGAGTATGAGCAATCAATGTCTTTAAGAGTTATGGAAGCACCAGAAATAGAGATAAGCTTTGTTTATATTTTTCTGAGCAATCTCTAACCTCTAAGAGGAATGTTTTCTACAAAACAGAAGCATATGCTTTGTCAAATACAAGATCCTTCTCACCTGAGCTCAAAGACCCACTTTGGGTACATAGTCTTGTAATCGTTCAGAAGCTCAGAAATCTCTTTCTCGTGCTTGGTTTCAATATTTAATGCTGTTTCTCTAAGCTCCTGAAACATCGAAAAAGTTTGTACATCAACTTGTCAAGGAAAGCATTTGTGAAAAAAATATATTTTGGGAGAACATATCCAAAATCACCTGCTCATCAACAATATTAATATCAGAGAGCTTGTGCGCTGACCGCTTGCTTGAGCCACCCAATTCTTTTGCCAGAAAGTAGTTTCTTGAGAAACCACATTCATCTTCTTCTATGTTTTCAACGTCCTCCATTCTCGTGAGGCAAAGTAAAGAGCAATGCAACCTTAACTGAATTCCTCACTAGTCTCCTGAGACAGCAGCCATAAGAAGGAATCACTGAATTTTCTAAGCAGTAAGTCAGAAACTTACAACAAGACAATGACTAAATAATTTATCAACAACTTAGTTTATCCGTCAAGCTTGAATTCTGAATTCATAAACTGATATACCAATCAGAAAAACCGAAAACGATGATTTCTAATTATGTTTACTTCTATTAATCCAAACACTGATAATCAAAAACAAGCAATTCAATGAACCACAGCCGAAACTAGTTAAGTAATCGCATCATTTGAGCAGAAATACAATGTCCCTCAATGAAAGCATACAGAACGGTCAACAGTATCTCTAATTTCACTAAATGGAGAAACAACATCAATGGAACAAGTATCAAACTGATTAGAATGAGATCAGACCCAATCACCAAAATCTACAGAACGAGAATTACCTTCACAGAATCGGGACACTAGAAGAACAAACAAGTAAGAGCAGAAAAGTCAGCGAATCGTGGATTCGATTGTGCCACTCGGGCTTCAGTGCAAAGGGTTTCGACGCATAGGATTATGTCGGCGAGGCTCTGACGAGACGAGAAGTCGAGAACCAAAGATGAAACAAAAAAAAAAAAATGCCCTACGATTATGCCTCTCAATTTTCCCGCGCGTTTTTCCTCATCTTCCCGGTTAATTTTTCTCCTCAATTAAATACCAAGGAAATCTACGGTTCATAGCTACCAATATCCGTATGACACGGATAACAACAAATCCAACGGTCCGTATGTTATGCCCACAGACGCTGGCCAATAAGTTTAACATACGCGGATCGATATTAACAACCGTCGATTAAAAATAAAATCCAACGGATCGTATCCTCCCAAAAGTATAAAAAAACAGAAAACACAAAGATTTGTGCTCTTATATATATGACTTCCCATCATCTTCTTCAGATCTACAAATCGCAGTCTCGTTTACACGTGTGGAAATCAATTTCATTTTTTTCTGATTCTAAAATTTTTCAGAGAGAAAAATGTCTGGGCGAGGAAAGGGAGGAAAGGGATTGGGAAAGGGAGGAGCAAAGAGGCACAGGAAGGTTCTCAGGGACAATATTCAGGGAATCACGAAGCCGGCGATTCGTCGTTTAGCGAGAAGAGGTGGTGTGAAGCGTATTAGCGGATTGATCTACGAGGAGACTCGCGGTGTTCTCAAGATCTTTCTCGAGAACGTGATTCGCGACGCCGTCACTTACACTGAGCATGCTCGCCGGAAGACTGTAACGGCGATGGATGTTGTCTATGCGTTGAAGCGACAAGGACGAACGCTCTACGGATTCGGCGGCTGAGAGGATGGAATCGGATTTTTGTAAAGCACGTCTGTTTTCTTTTAGGTTTTTGTTGATTCGGGAGTTTATGATCTCTGTCAGATGTTGTTAGGGTTTCGTTTGAATGTTTGAATGATTTTAGTTGAATGAAAAACGCTTATTTGATTCGTCATTGTACTTGTTTATGCTCCCTTTGATATTGATTATCTATTTTGGCTTTTTACAAAAAAAAAACTCAGGCATTGTTAGCCTTAATCGTGTTACCTTCATAATCAAACTGGTTAACATAACATCTCTTCATTGATTCATTCTCATATGTTCACTGTTAGATAGCTTTGACATTTCACATTACGGAATAAGTATGAGCATCTGAGGCTTCGTAATAAGAGTAGTTCCTTTCGAAATCCAAAACTGTTTTCTGTGCGTTTCCAACATCATTGTCTCTGTTCTTCTGCATGCTATTTGGGCTTTATATTATGGTTATGGTCAAAGGCCTATTATGATATTGAAGGCCCAATTGTGCAGGGTTTCGTCCTTTCTAATCATTCCCTTGATAAACATTTTTACCTACAAGTGGCATCATGAGTTATCTTTTTAATTTTTTTTTTCTGACAAGAGACCTGAGTTTTTTTTTCCCACAAATAGATTATAATAATTTAAACTTAAAAAAGTCAGAATACAAAGTGTTTGTCAACCAAAATGGTGGATAAGTACTATTTGGGGGAAAAAAAATTATTGGGAGGACCCTTCTTAGCTAAAAGAGTAGCTGCTTCATTTGACGATCATTTAGTATAATGTAAAACAAATTTTGTTTAAATTTTTCCAGGATAAAATATCCTTTGTCAAGTTAAAAATTGAGAGAAGCAAATCAACCAGAATTTTGCAGTCTCCTTGATATGATCATATCCTATTATCCAGACGTTTTGTAAAACGACATGAGTTACCTGTTTTTTTTCTTTGATCAAAGACATGAGTTACCATGTATTCTTCATACTATGAAAATCAACTCTCTTTACATCACAACACAAGTGTGACAATATTATTTCTTTGCATACGTAGGCTCTCTGTTTTATTGACGTTTACAACAACGTAGAGTGACGGATTGTGTTGTTAGTTTTGTTGTCTTTCTGTGTTTCCGAGTCAAGAAAATATTTGCTTAAAAAGAGTCACCTTTATAGTGAATTAGTGATTACTCTTTGTTTTTATGTCCTCAACTTCCTTTTTCGTTAATACGATCTGATACAAGGAGCAAAGGAGTTGAAATGTTGTAGTCACTTAGAAGGATTATTGGTAACGTCCACTATAATTGTTTTATAGCTAGATTCTTGAATTCTTAGCTCTTTTTTTTTTTAATAGTACAAATACTCTTTTGTTAGCTTTAAGATCACGTTGCCTGTTGCCATTCACCTAACTCCTTAACTCTACTTACCTCCCCTAGAAATGAGAATTGATGTTGTTTCTTTCCTCTAAATATATTTTTATTACAAAATTATAGAATAATTACAAGGACAATTTTTTTAATGGTAAATATATCCATTCCACAAGAATCCACGTTAAAATTGAAACCACAACGACAATTATACTTGCATCACACTAAATATTCTATAAATTTGCATCTAATAGCCTTATAGATTTTTGGAATCAAATTCCAGATTTCCTGATATAAAAGCATTCTAATTAACATTATAATCAACCAGTACTCACAAAAAATGAGAATTGATTATGTTCGATTTACAAACGACGCACGGCTCTGTTTAGTGTTTAGTTTCTATATCCTACATACCTTTTTGTGCCATACTAATTTTTGTTATTTTGCGTGTGTGGTATAGGGATTCAACACGTAGCCATCGAGTGCTTAAAATATACATTCGTAGTGACTTGAGCAAATTCTCCACATTCTAATTGGAGCATGCAGACTCCAATAAGCTTTCACCTTATTGGTTTGATGACTAAATTGGCAGGGTATCTACAAGTCTACTGAATAAACCATTTGTTAATGATCCCTTTACACATTATCTACACTACAAGTCTATGGTATGATACGTTAAAATATACATTAATGAGACATACGACAAAAAACCATACATTTTTCTATTAAGATTATGGTTTTGAAATCGAGAAAGCAGGGCCCAGTCGATTGATATCATAGTATATGCTCTCTATCCACTTATACTATTTTATTTCTTTGACAATCATCATACTACTTTCGTAGTTGTATTATATATATAGATCCGTAGTTAGTGTGCACTATGTTCCACTATAACACATGTGTGCGCTTTGGTTGAATGATAATCAAAGTATGTTCCTTTGTCGCATGTGATACTCTTCTTTTGCGTTGAGATCATTTTCGTGGCCCAGCAAGATTGTGGGTGGCTAACTATGTAGTTGCAATTAGTGAGAGACACATTTTTTATTGTGACTCTAGCAAATCGCTTCTATCAATCTTAGAATTTTAGAAAGCAAAGCTTCAAGAATATTTCACGAAATTAAATTTTAATAACTCATTTGAAAGAAGGAAAAAGAAAGAGTATTCCGAGAAAGCTTGGCACTGTGATTTACGAGTTTGTTCACAAAACCAATCAATTTAGGCTGAAATTCTATGTCAAAAAATTGATTATGGTGTGGACAGGTTGTACAGAGCTTACCAGATCATTGATGAGAAGAAGAAAAAGTTTGAATTTATTTTTTAAAGACGAATGTAACGAATTTATTCTAGGAAACAACCTAAACCGATTTGTAACGAACCGGTTTAACCCCTTTAAAAATCAACTATAGCTCGATCTTAAAGAGAAAGTAGAAATCCTTAACTCCTCCAGAGAGTTTTTCTAAGAAGACTCCGACTCGATCGTGTATTCGTTTGTGTAAATTTATGAAAACAAAAAGAAGTCTCCACTAGAGTTTCACATATCTAAAACTCAAGGTTATATTTCTTGAATTGTGGACCACACCCCTTCAAAATTTTTTTTTTTTGGTCAACTATATAGACATTTAAATTAAATATCCAGAATGCAAGCCTATGTCGGAAAAAAAGAGGCTAGGAAAAAAATTTTGAGTGGAATATTAGAAGAAACTAAATTGACTGAAATTGACTCTCTCTTTGGATTACTCCAAAATCAACACTCTATGTTAAATTTGCATTCTTCTAAGGACCCCACCAAATAAGTAGAAAATAAATCTGAATTCCACTAAGAATTGTTTTTTTTTTTTTTTTGACAAAACGAAGAGTGTCAAAATAATATAAACCTAGTTCGAATAGAAAATCATCGAAAATATCAGAAAAAAAAACACGTCATGAGTCCAAAGGAAAATTGCATAATGGAAATCAGTTCCAAACAAAACTTAAAAAATGATTCGATGGCCTCAAAGGCACTTCATTGTTCAAATGTACGATTAAAACTCAAATTCTGATCCCAAACGAAATCACCAAGCTATGACCGAATGCCTAAACGAGTTTGATATCCTGACAAATTAACGTACGGAAGACGGCAGTACGCAAGTTTCATTTTGGTACTTGACATGTCCGTTTACTATGTGTTGTTGTAGAGAATGTCCAACAAGCAACAACCAGTGGCCGGCGACGAATATATAGTTGATTTTTGAGATATATATGATCATATGACGTTTGCTCCTACAGTTAATATATCTGAAGAATTTTTTTTTTTTGAAATAATATATCTGAAGAAGTTACAACCTCATATTTTTTGTTAGAAGGTTAATTTGTATATCCGATAATGTTGTTACAAAGCACATGTGCCATACAGTGCCTTTTCCGATACTCCTATTACATACTAAACAAAACAAGGCTAAGCAGTGTGAAGAGAAATAGCAGAAGTGGAATTATTCCATAGAAGCAATTGTGGAGAGAACTGTGAATGTTGAGTTATACGAAACCAAGAAGTGAGAAAAGTGTCACCCTTTTATGCTGTCTGAGGAGAAGGAGAGGAGGCTGCATCTTGATCCAACCCGGAAAGATTTTCTCTTATGATTTGATCAAGACCTCGTTATATTTGAGGTGTTTGGTTATTTTGATAAATCTTGGGGATTGATTTCTTCTACAGAAATATCAGCTATGCTGTGTTTGCTTAGCTGAAATGAGCTAGTGACTATTTTTTATAATTAATATAATGACAGCGAGCGGGTAATCTTTTTTAAAGTAATGTTTATTTTAAGTATGTCAGTGAGCACGATCGATAATAAGGACAAACAACATCACAAGAAAACAAGAATATTGTTGACCTCCAAAAAAGAAGGAATGTTTTTGCATGATTTAAATACAAAAAGAAAAGAAAAATCGTATAGAATGAGATGCGGATCTTCTTCAAAAATCTATTGTTGCAAATCTTAGTGGCTTTTCATCAACCTTTCTCCTGTTTCCGTCTATAAAAGAAGTATTCCATCTTTCCTAACTTGTCATAACTTCTCCAATCATCTCCAAACACCCCCAAAAGAAAGAAAAAAAACAAAATATCTACTTTACATGCAAAAAAGAAAAAAAGAATTCGCCTTAGGTTCACTTTTTTGAAAGAATTGTGAGTTTAGTTATAAGAAAATGATGGTAAATCAAACGAACATCAAAGCGGCGTCGGATGGAGTATGGGAAGGAGACAATCCTCTGAATTGTGCCTTTCCTCTCTTAATAGTGCAAGTCGCAATCGTCCTCTTTAGCAGCCGCTTCCTTGCCTTCCTCCTCAAGCCCCTACGTCAACCTCAAGTCGTCGCCGAGATCCTCGTAAGCTCTTTACACACACTATACATGCATATTCCTCAATATACATATTGCTTACATTAACGTCGAGTTTATCATAATATTCTCACAGGGAGGGATACTGCTTGGACCTTCAGCATTGGGGAGAAACAAATATTTCACTGAACTAGTGTTTCCGAAATGGAGCACTCCGATACTTGAGTCAGTAGCAAGTATAGGTCTCCTTTTCTTCCTCTTTCTTGTTGGTCTAGAACTAGACCTAGCAGTTCTAAGCCGCACAGGAAAGAAAGCTTTTGCTATATCTTTCGCAGGAATATGTCTCCCTTTTGCTTTAGGCGCAGCTATCTCTCTCTTCCTCCGTAGAGCCGTGGAAGAAGATCATGACTCGGCAGGGTATTGGCAATTCCTTCTCTTCATTGGAGTTGCTCTTTCCATCACAGCTTTTCCAGTCCTTGCTCGTATCTTAGCCGAGCTCAAGCTCTTGACCACAAGCGTTGGCCAAACGGCCTTAGCAGCTGCAGCCTTCAACGACATAGCCGCCTGGATCCTCCTTGCCTTAGCCGTGGCTCTCCCCGGTCGACACGACCACCAGAAACACGCCTCTCCGTTGATATCCTTATGGGTCCTTCTCTCGGGTCTTGCCTTTGTAGTCTTCATGATTTTTGTGGTTAGACCCGCCATGAAATGGATTGTCCGGTATGATGGTGGCGCAATGCACGAGGCTTGTATATGCCTAACACTAGCAGGAGTCATGGTGTCCGGTTTCATCACTGACCTAATCGGACTACACTCTATATTCGGGGCCTTTGTCTTTGGCCTGATCATCCCCAAAAGTGGGTGTTTTAGCCAGAGGCTCGTCGAGCGTATAGAGGACTTTGTGGCAGGGCTGCTGCTTCCGCTCTACTTTGCATCTAGTGGACTAAAGACGGATGTGAACAAGATCAGAGGCGCTGAGTCGTGGGGGATCTTGGCCTTAGTCATATCCACGGCTTGCGCAGGCAAGATCATAGGCACCTTCGTCATGGCCATGATGTGCGCTATACCGGCTCGTGAATCCCTCACTTTAGGGCTATTGATGAACACTAAAGGGCTCGTTGAGCTAGTTGTCCTCAACATCGGTCGAGAGAAGAAGGTACGTGCTAGTTTACTTTTTACGCAACACCACAATATTATTTTCTATATTTATTTGCGCTTTTAATGGATTTAAGATGAAGCTAAATTAGTAAGCTCTCTATAATAATTCTTATAATTTTAGATTATCACCAAAATTCTAAAATTCTAAAAGTACAAATAACCTTTAGTTTTAGAAAGTGGTTATATAAAAAAAAAATTAATATGTAAGTGTTGATTTACTGGCCAAGAATATAAAAATGTTTAGTACGAAATATATGTTTTGGACTTGATGTCTAAATGTTTGTGATGTATCAGGTGCTAAACGAGGAGATGTTCGCAATTCTAGTGGTGATGGCTATCGTCACAACCTTCATGACGACCCCATCAGTCATGGCTATATACAAACCATTGAACAATCGCGGTTCGGACTCTACATCTGATGGTAAGGAGAAGTTACGCATCTTAGCCTGCTTACGTGATCCCCGAGACGTCCCTTGTATAATCAAACTCGTCGAGTCTTTTGCTACGTCCAATGAATCAGTCAAAGTATATGTGATGTACTTGATGGAACTCACTGACCGATCATCCTCCATCTCTATGGTCCAAAGAACTAGAAGAAACGGTGTGCCGTTCATAGACAGGCTGTGTAAAGGGAGGTCACTTGACGAGATAGAAGCTGCGTTCAATATATACGGACAGGCCAGGGACCAGAAGCAACAGAGGATAAGGATACGACATTTGAAAAGTGTGTCGGCGTTGGGAACAATGCACGAGGATATATGCAATGTTGCGGAACATAAGAAGGCATGGATGATCATATTACCGTATATGGTAAATGGATGGGGTGTGGTTAATCAGAGGGTGATGGAGAATGTTAAATGCTCTGTGGTTTCGGTTCTAAACCGTAGAGAGGCTGGAGAAAGCAGTGCTAGTATAGGCCAAGGGACAAAAAGAGTAGGACTAGTGTTCGTTGGTGGACCTAACGATAGAAAAGCACTTGAGATTGGAAGAAGAATGGCCCAACACTCCAAGATCATAGTAACACTCTTGCGGTTCTTGGATAAGACCATAACTTCTTCGTATTGTGAAAAGGTGACAAATCATTTACCATTTGAAGTGATGTACAAATTGTTTACATTTTTGATGATATAACTAATAAAGGGTTGTGATGATGCAGGAGATTGATGAAGTAGCAGTGGAAGAATTCAAGAAACAATGTGAAGGTGTAGTGGTAGAGTATGAAGAGATAGTAGGTGAGGGAAATTTAGCAGAGATTATAAAGGCAATGGGAAGGAGGAAGGAGTATGAGCTTTTGATAATTGGAAATCGACAAGTAACAAGTAGTTATGAGATGGGAAGAGTAGAGGTTTCAACACTACTCATTCAAGGAGGCAGTGAGAAGGATACAGCTAAAACTATTACGGGAAATGATGTTTGAGACTAGGGAAGAGGATCCAGATACTTATGTCCATACAATGCTACCTCTAAATAATTTATCAGTGGAGTAGAATTTGTTGTAGCCGGTTATAACACTTTTCTCTTCTGTTTTCTTTCTCTTATATTTAAACAGTAGTATATGGTTACAAGCGACGTAATATCTCAGATAATACTATTTTATCACATTATATTATATGAGTTTTGAGTGCTGGTTATAAAATCCAAATCAGATATGTTAATTACCATTTGAACTCTACTAATGTCTCCTGCAAGCAATAAAAATGAATCTTATCACAGAGATTTACAATTGAGGCAATTGAGTTAATTTGTTAATTCATAAGTCTCTCCAAACTTCTCTTTATCTAAAAACAATCTGTCTCCAAATTTTCGTGTTTATGTGAGTTTATTGCTCATTGATAATTACAAATTTACAAATATATCTAAAAAGTTTCATAAGATCCTTTTCCTTCAACTTTTTTTCGTAAACAAATGATTAGTTTTTGAATAACACTAGTTTGATTTTACTATTTCTATAAATTCTTGACTGAATAACGAGATCTTTTAGATTATTTTGAATCATTTTTATTAAATTCCAGGTTGAATAACATCAGTATTTCTTTATTACACAAAATAACATCAGATTTAAAGAAGACATTAAATAACATCTGAACTTTTCGGTGAAGCTGCCGCGAACTTCGCACGTGCCAAAAAACAAACACGGTACGAAAGAAAACGCGAGTTACCACGTTTATTAGCGAGCGAGCGAGCGAAAAAACGCATCAGTCTCATCAGAATCTGGACCTGGATCAGATCTGTTCGGGTCGGGTCAAAATCAGATCGGAATTAGTCGGTGATCGGAGGTCCCGGCAATCATGGCGGCGGCGAGACGATTACGAACACTCCAATCTCAGCCGGAGAACAAGGTATGCGTCGATTGCTCCCAGAAGAATCCTCAATGGGCATCGGTTTCCTACGGAATCTTCATGTGCTTGGAGTGCTCCGGCAAGCACAGGGGCTTAGGCGTTCACATCTCCTTCGTCCGATCCGTCACCATGGATTCGTGGTCCGAGATCCAGATCAAGAAGATGGAAGCCGGCGGCAACGAGCGGCTCAACAAATTCCTCGCGCAGTACGGGATCTCTAAGGAGACTGATATCGTCGCCAAGTATAATTCCAACGCCGCCTCCGTGTATCGCGATCGGATCCAGGCTTTAGCCGAGGGACGACAATGGAGGGACCCGCCGGTTGTCAAGGAATCGAACGGAGGCGGAGGGATGAGTAAGAAGCCTCCGTTGTCGCAGGGCAACGGAAACAATGGCGGATGGGATAATTGGGACAATGATGATTCCTTCAGATCTCCAACCGATATGAGGCGGAATCAATCGGCGACTGATTTTAGGGCATCGGGAGCTCGCGGTGCTCCGGCGAAGTCGAGATCGTCGGAGGATATCTACTCGAGGTCTCAGCTTGAGGCTTCGGCTGCGAACAAGGAGAGTTTCTTCGCGAAGAGGATGGCTGAGAATGAGTCTAAGCCTGAGGGTCTTCCTCCTTCGCAAGGAGGCAAGTATGTTGGATTCGGATCAAGCCCTGGTCCAGCTCCGAGAAGCAATCAACAGGGCGGTGATGTTTTCTCTGTCATGTCTGAGGTAAAATTCGATACTTTTGAGATTGATTTGATTAGATTGAAATGTTGAGTTGAGTGGATTCTCTCTTTTATCTATGTGATTGTGTTCATTTTACTCATCACATATGCAAATAGGGGTTCGGAAGATTGTCTCTCGTTGCTGCATCTGCTGCGAATGTTGTTCAGTCAGGAACCATGGAGTTCACTTCCAAGGTACTTTCTTTAATATCGTTTATGTTCTATCCTGTGCTTGATTGGCTTAGGTTGTAATCAGTAACTTCTTGAAACTCACAGTTGATTTAAAAGTGAAGACATTTCTTCGTAACAGAGTTCCATGTTAGTTTATACTGGGAGGGATCGTGAATAAATGTTTGGTATCTGATTGACAAAAGATATGAGGAGAGTCTTGTATTTTGGCTTAATACTAGAACACACTAAGTAGACTTAGCTCTCCTTTTCATTTCAAAGATTAAAAGATTAAGCATTCAATGTCTAAAAGGTTCGTTTTCGACATTGTTATAGAACACAAAAATTAGAGTCTTGCTTAGCTGCGTAGTCTTCTAGTTAGATCAACTAAACTCTGGATAGAGCATAATCTTCTTTACATTTCCTTTGCCAAATACTTAGCGAGAACCCTGGAGAGTAAGTCAAATTGAGATAAGAATCCTTTGCTCGTTGCAGGTCAAAGAAGGTGGCTTAGATCACACGGTGAGTGAGACTGTTAATGTTGTTGCGAGTAAGACAACAGAGATAGGACAGAGGACTTGGGGGATCATGAAAGGAGTAATGGCAATTGCTTCCCAGAAGGTTGAAGAGTTCACTAAAGAAGAAACATCATCATGGAATCAACAGAATAAGAACGAGGGCAACGGTTACTACCAGAACAAAACAGCAAATCCGTCTCTTGGAGGATCACATTCATCATCATCATCAAGCGGTCACCAGAACAATTATCGTAACTCGAATTCTTGGGATGACTGGGGAGAAGAGAACAACAATACCAAAAAGGAAGCAGCACAAAAGGTGTCGACTTCTAATGATGATGATGGCGGTTGGGCTGGGTGGGATGATGATAATGATACTAAAGATGATGATGGTTACGATGGCTATTATCAGAGTGCAGGCGATAAGAAATCTGTAGGTCACAATGGGAAATCAGACACTGCTTGGACTGGTGGAGGTTTTCTCTAGCGGTAAGCAGGAATCATTATAAACTTAATCGCAACATTTTGATATCGATACAATCGTAATAACACTCTTCTCTAAATCCACAGGTGTTTCAGGATTATGTTGAAGGAAGTTGTACAATTAAGGAAAAAGCAAAGCCTGTGTTGTGTTTGCTCTGTCACAAAGAGAGATAGAGCAGAGAGTGGTCATCTTAACCATTTGTAGCCATTACAGGTCTGTTTTTTTTTTTTTTTTTCACATTATCGATTGCTTGGCGTTCAAATCATCGATCGTCATTATTTGTTCTTCTACAATATATAGTTTCTTTATATCGTCATTATATTTGTACAAGGTTTTTAGGGGACTGTTTGCTAATCTATTTGGGTTAGTCTTCAGCTCTGTTTTTGAGATGCAAACTTTTATTTACTTGAAATTTGTAATGACCACAAACAATTTTTCCATTTTATTTTCTTCTTTCTCAATCATAGATCTTTTTTGTCAGGTTGCATTCCAATTTGGTTCCCAAATAATAGTCGTCTATTAATTTTTATTTTTTGAAAGAAATTCACACTGGATATTTTTCTTCTTTTCGTCAAAGGTAGAATACGTTTTATGTCCTCTAAATGGTGGTGTTTTTTTGGAAGAATCTAAATGGTGGCGTTGAGCATTGTTGAACAGTTTTAAAAGAAAATTATGTGTTCACACTCAGAATATTCGTTAGCCGAAGATATGTCTGTTTAAAATATTATGAAACGTAAGGAAGACTAATGGTATCATATTTTGTTCGTTAATATATGTTTCACAATTTTAAGTATCATTTTGGGTACAAAAGACGAAAAAATTAGATGAGGCAATGATGAGAGGATAACCAAAAAAAAGGATGAGGCAATGATGAGAAGATATAAAAAAAAAGATGAGCCAGTGATGGAGTTATATATAAAAGAAAGAAAATATCCCGTGAAGTTACTCAAGGAGTCAAGGATATGCAATTAGACTTAGAAAACTACAAACGGTTATGTTGTAAAAAATATGAGACAAAAGTCCATATGCTTATTTTTTTCTTTTGGTGCAAATCCATATGCTATTTGAGACACAAGAAAATATAAGTAACAATTTTTAAGAATATCAAAAGTCTGTTATGATAAAATGATCAAGGTTACAAGAATGTTTTTTATAGGTTTGAATGAAAACTTAATTTTGTAAAGTAGAAGGGAAAGTGGCAAATGTATAATATTAAGATTTATTTAGAGTTTTAGACTAGTTTTACTATATTAGTAGATTTTCTCCTTTTCTAATTATTCAACAAAATCTTAGCATTAAATATAATTAGCTGTCAGCTAAAAACTTAATGACCACCTGTCAACAGCAATTACTCTTCGATCTATCTACTCACGCGTGAGCCTATTTATAAGGCAAATATGCTCTGCTCCGCTCATTACCATCCATCCTACCTCTAAAAAAACTTCTTTTCCATTCTTCTTCACAATCTGCAACATTTTTGGTTAAAAGCTATGGGAATATATGGAATGGTGACAGGAAAAGCAGGAAAGAGTGGATTTGGATCAGCTTCAACTGCTGAAGATGTCACTCACTCCATTGACGCCAATCCTCTCACTGCCATCATCACAGGTTTTTTTTTTTTTTTTTTGCCATCTGATATTTTCTAAATTATGGAAGAAAAAAGAAAATTCGTTATTGCTATACGTTTTGGTGCCGTGGAAGACATGATGCCAAGAATAATAGAATCATTTTAGTCAAATTTACGAAGTTTTATGAATGTAAGATGTCCCTATGTACTTAATGGTGGAAGAAAAAGTCAAACTTCTAAGATTAGCCACACAAACTCCAAATGTCCCTATATACTTATAATGGTGAAAGAGTTGGGATTTTGTTTCTTCCTTTTTGAAATTTTAACAGCCACACAAACACCAAATTTCCTTTCCTTTTTCTCGTGATAGATTCTTTGTCATTAATCATACCTTTTTTTGGTATCTTCTCTCAATTTAAGTTTGAGCTACGAAGTACAGTTTTCGAACTTAATCCGAGACAGAAGCCTAGTTGTATATCAGTATTCTAGCTCTTTTAACAAAACTCGTTTAGTCTTTTTTTGTTCTTATGTAATTAAAGAGAATAGAGTCGAATTTAAACATATAACTAAATGAAAATAGAAAACTGAACACTGAAGATGTTTTTAAAAAAAAGAAAGAAACCTGAACCAAAATATGAGAAAATTTGATTTGATAATATTTTTGGTAATATGTTTTTTTTATTGTTTTAGAGGAAATTGTGAAAAATCCAATGTTTCATACAGTATACCATTGTTAGACATAAAGTGTGATTTTTTATTTGCAATGTTTCAGCTACTTTTTAGAAAGTTAGTTTTGTTTCTATGCATACATCTTAATTATTATTTTTTGTTCTCGTATCAACATACATCTTAATTTGTTAAAGCCGAAAAAATATAAGTAACCTGTGTTTTTAATTTGTACACCCATTTGTACGATCAATTTTCATTTTTTTTTTTTGCCTATCGTTAATGGACACAAAATTATAAAAAATGAAAATGAAAAAAAGGTGGAACAAGTGGGATTGGGTTGGAAGCAGCAAGAGTGTTAGGAATGAGAGGAGCTCATGTCATCATTGCCGCAAGAAACACAAAAGCTGCTAATGAATCTAAAGAGATGATTCTTCAGATGAACCCTAATGCTCGTATCGATTATCTTCAACTCGATCTCTCTTCCATCAAATCAGTCAGATCCTTTGTCCATCAATTTATAGCCCTTAATCTCCCTCTCAACATACTCATGTATGAATATTATGATTTTATTCTTTTCAGTGATTAAGATTATAATTTTGGGATATTTATATTTTTGTATTATCTTGGAAATGTTAGAAACAATGCAGGTGTTATGTTTTGTCCTTTCCAACTCACTGAAGATGGGATTGAATCACAATTCGCAACAAACCACATTGGTAAGATCTTATATTGTTCTATCATTCCTAGTAGGAAAACAATATTGAATTGCACAATATTTTGAGTATAGACGATAAATAAACCATTTTAATATTATTCTATATATATATATATATGTATTATAATGGAATCCAGGTCATTTTCTGCTGACGAATCTGCTTCTGGACAAAATGAAGAGTAGCGCAAGAGAAAGTGGAATCGAAGGAAGGATTGTGAATTTGTCATCTGTTGCTCATACTTATACTTACCCTGATGGTATCAAGTTTAATAGCATCAACGACCCTGATGGGTAAGTTTTAAATTAAAAAAAATTATTTTGAAATGAGATTGATGATTATATAAAATTTTCAATTAATGTTAAACCTATTGTATGCTGTCAATACTTAGATATTCGGAGAAAAAGGCTTATGGACAGTCCAAACTCGCAAACTTATTGCATTCCAATGCACTCTCTCGTAAACTACAGGTAACAAAGTTTCATAGTTACGCAAGCAAAAAGAAATTGCGATATCATATAATGATGGATATATATAAACTAATCAACTTAATATGATTTGGTTGTGTAGGAAGAAGGTGTAAACATCACAGTAAATTCGGTACACCCTGGACTTGTCACCACTAATCTCTTTCGCCACTCCGGTTTAGGAATGGGTACGCCGGTTATTTTTTATATTGTCATTTGAATTATATTATATATTTTTTTATGTTCTTAAGAATAATAAAAAAATCGACATTTACGTATTCAGCGGTCTTCAAGGCTATGAGTTTCTTCTTATGGAAAAACATACCTCAGGTGAATTTAAATTCTCTCAAATTCCAACATTTTTACTTTTGTTTTCTTGGATTCCTCTCTGTGATGTTTTTTTTTTTAAATATATATACTAAAAGTTGTTAATTTTGGCGGCAATGTCAGGGAGCAGCAACAACATGCTACGTGGCACTTCATCCTGATCTCAAAGGCGTCACCGGAAAGTACTTCGCCGACTGTAACATCACCACTCCGAGCAAATTTGCTACCGACGATTCTCTCGCCGATAAACTTTGGGATTTCAGTACCAAACTCATCGATTCTCTCCCCTAATTAATTATGAACCATCTAAGCAAGAATGTGTAATTTGTTTTTGTCATCCGATTTTCTTATACATTCACAATTTGTCACCCATACATTTTTACATTGATTTTTCATTTAGCACCGGATATTTATGCATCGAACGAATATACTAGAATTCGAAAAAAAAATCAACGAATAATATTGTGTGAAAACAAGAATAGAAGGAGAAAACTTAAATAAATGTAATAAAACCCCTAATATATTTCACTATATTTTGTTTTACCAATTATTTCTACAAATGAAATTAAGAGACTACAATACAAGGTTATAAAGGATGAACATAACCCAAACCATTTAATAGGCCTAAATTAATGGGCTTCTTCTTCCTCCCAAAGGCCCATAGTTCGTACGACGACGGCAGAAACAGCCACCACAATGGCAGCAAAAACCGGCGGCACAACGAGGTCCATTTTCGACCTCCGGAAAAGATTCGCCGGCAAACAAAACACCTCCGTAGGAATATCCAGCGGCACCAAAACAGCGGTGTCGGATCCGCACCGCCGCGAGAACTCCACCGAAGAAGAAGACGGGTAAATCGCCGACACGAAGGCGAACTCTGGTGCGAGCGAGATAATCGCGACGGTGATCGTCAGAAACGCCGTCCAAGTGATGCCGTAGACGAAAATCGGAATCCGCCACGCGAATCGATTGGTCAGAGACGAGAATAGACGGCGAATCATCGATTAAAGTTCAAAGGTTTCTTCTCTAACGCATGATCGTCTCTCTCTATTGAATTATACTTCCATTGATTGTGAATACTTCCGCCATAGAAATGGAGTAGCTTTGTAGAAAGAGAGGATAACCTAATCTTACCTGCTCTTTAGATTTCTTCAACGACGAATGAGGAAAATTGAAAACGACCATACTTATCGCCGTTTTTGTTACCGCTTGATGATGTCGTCATTTACCTTTTCAACAAAATGCATTTTTACAGTTTCATAACATTTATAGGGACAGATTTTCTAGCAAAGAAGAGAGTACAAAAATATCCGACCAACATCTTACAGTTTTTAAGTTCTCAGTGAGCTTACTCCATACCATAACTAAAGTAATTAAACTTAAAAGTACATGTTCTTGCAAAACTTACTGGTACCAGCTTAAATTATTTAGAACCTGGGATTGGCGATATAGGATTACAAACATTAGCTGATTAGAATAATGCATCTAGATATAGCATTTAAGTGCAGTTTCTAGATTTTGTTAGCTTTTGTATCTGGATGCGTCTAAATGCAAAATTGTTCGTTTGTGTTTTTTTCTTTTTAATAAAAAATTAGATACAAAATATGAAGCGATTTAAAGAGGCATGTTTTCATTTATAAACAATTAGTTTTAAAATGCAACAAAAAATCATTAAGCAACTTTTCTTTGTGGAAGTAGTATGTTTATGTTTTTTTTGGACACTCTAACAAAAACATCTAAAAGAAAAAGAAAAAGAAATAAAAAATCTCACATATATACGTGGATATTTCACCAAGTATAAATAAAGGTGCATTAAAATTGTTCTCGTCCTTTCTTCCAAGATGTTATCAGCAACTGCCACGATTTTCTTTCCTTTTGATGTCCCCTTTTTCTTTTAATTTACATAAAGTCACCCCATAAGTTTTAATTCTTAAATAATCTCCATATTTTTAAATGTACCACAAGTTCTCTATCGATCACCACAATTCAAAACAAGATCCAATTTTTCCTAATAATTCTTGTGATAGACTTAAAAACTTTGGATCTTGTAGATAGTTGTGAAATTTATCAGTATTATGTTTTTTTTTCTTAATAGAGTAAATCAATTAAATAACGTACACTGTAAGTCTTTAAGGGACTGTTTTGCAATTAACTATTTTGTTTTTCATTTGTGATTATTGTTTTCTTCTTTTGTCGCGTAAATACTATAAAAAACCCTAAAAATTAGTAGTACAAAGAAAATCACATTTTAAACCTTTAAGGTTGGAAAAGATAACAGTTTAAACCTTGAGGGAATTTCACTCACACTTTAAACCTTCATACTATTTATATATACACTTTAAACCTTCAATCTGGCCAATTTGTTCGAGTCGCCGCCGAACTTGACGGAACAGTAACGCGCTGTCACGGAATAATTAACTACCGTTTAGTTTACTAAAACGTGGGTTATTTCAAAATTATTTTTAATCAAAACTAAGTACTCAATTAATTTTTATCAATTAGAAAAAAGAAAAACAGCATAACCAACCAAATAAAAAAACCCAACTCGATTTGGGAATAGGGTTCGTCGTTGTTCTAAAACCCAGAAAATTGAAGGAGAGAAATAAGAAGTATTGGTGACAGAAAACGGACGAAGAAGACCATAGAAAGAAGAAAAGGTAAGTCTTTTATCTAATTAGTTTCTTTTCTGCTATTGTTGGGGACGAAGAAAACCAAAGCATTAGGACAATTTTTAATGCAACAGAAAAAGAAACACTGTAACGAAAAGTTTGTTACATATAGCCGATAGTTAAGACCTGAACGACCTAAAAAAAAAAAAAAACAGTGGCACCAAAAACACACTAATCCTGAGCATCTTCTTGTCCCTGGTTTTCTGGAGCGTGGGGGTTGAGTTGAGACCTATCATAAACTCTGTTCCTAAATACTTCAAAGGGACGATCCACATATGGGCTCCAAAAAGTTCCGATGCCGGACGGAATCTTCTCAGCCGTTTTTTTTATCTTCAGGGGTCGTCCCCTTGAAGGGTTTTTCACATGTGGTTTTACTTGATTTGATGAATCTGATGGTTGTGGGGCACTACAAATAACTGGAGTTGGTGAGCTTCCTTCACCTGCTATTCTAGACTTTTTTGCTTGCTGCGACATATGAGAATAAGTTACTAAGGCAAATTCAAAAAAAAATTGAATGAGAGATCAAAGACACATAAATTACCGGTTGTGAGCTACTTCCACTGACTGGAGCTTTTCTTCCTCTTTGCTTAGGTGGTGGTTTTGGCTGACTCTGAATTAAAAAAAAAAAAATCAATCAGAAGACTAATGAAGAACAAGCAAAAATAAAGACATAGCCAGAAGTTGTGTTACAAAAAAAAACAAAAATGTACCTCAGCTGGATGTTTACGGGGTCTACCACGTCTATTTTTCGGTCCCTCTACAACTACTGGTTCATTTTTGCAACTTGTCTTAATGTGACCAGCTTGGCCACATTGGTTGCAGTGTGGAATTCTTCCATGTCTTGTGGCTTTACCAGGATTTTGTAGAGATTCAAAAGGTTCCTTTCTCCTCTCTCTGGTTGGTGGTCGGCCTCTTGGCTTGCGAAACTCAGGTACACTAATTGGAGGTTTGTGTGTCTTCTTCCATAGCTTGTCACCATTGACAGGTTTGATATTTTCTTCATATGTTTTTTTCAAGACACGAGTGTAATAATAATCAGCAACGTAACGCACCGGATCATCTTGGTTATCATCTAGAACGCACACAGCATGCTTACATGGAATTCCTGGCATAAGCATTCAAAATAAATTAATGAGATATCTCAACAAACAGTGAATTAAATGAAAATATATTAACTCCATACCTGTAAGATCCCATTTGCGACAAGCACATTGATGAGTGGACAAATTCACCGTATATCCACAGTCAAATTCGTTAACCTCATACACACTCTTGCTGCTGCGTAATGTAGAACAATACTTCTTCTCAATCCTTGCTTTCTCCAATAAAGCCATTGTTATTGGTGTAACAACAGTGTCACACTTGTCTGCTTTTAGAGACCTCCTTGAAATTCTTCTCATAGCCTGTCTTCTTACATCTTGTAGCATGTTAAGCACAGGCTTCGCTCTTGCCATCTTGATGGTTCTATTAAATGCCTCTGATAAGTTGTTGTGCACATCAGCACAATGAGACTCCACATTGAAAAATGCCCAACACCATCGTTCTGGTTGTGTATCTAACAAAGCATGATACGCAGCAGGATCGTATGCCTCCACAGAATTTATCTTCTCCTCAAATTCGCATTCAGTGTAGCTATATGCAACTCCCCAAAACAGAGCCTTATACTCTGATCTTGAAAAACCTTTCTTTTTCCAATTAGCATATATGTGTCTAGCACACATACGATGCTCTGCGTGTGGAAGTTCAGCCTCTATAGCCAGCACTAAACCCTGCATATTCCATAATAAATCAGTTGATAAAAGTTTTAAAAACCTTTTAAACTAGATACTTCCGTGACTCAAGTAATTGATTCTAAATGAGGAGAATATTACCTTTTGCTTATCAGAAATAATAGTCAATTTATCTCCATTCCCTATGCCAAGATCTTGCTTAAGCTTCCTCACAAACCAACCCCAAGTGTCTTTGTTTTCGCCTCTAACTACTGCCCATGCAATAGGGTACATCCTATTATCAGCGTCTCTACCAACAGCTGCAAGCAAATCTCCATTCAACTCCCATTTGAGGAAACAACCATCTAAACCAATCACCGGTCTACAACAATTTTTCCAAGTAGTACATAATTCTTCAAAGCAGATGTAGAAGCAATCGAACATGTTTACGCCATTGACCTCGACAGTATTAAGCTCCGTGGTGATACGCGGATGTGTTCGTATGAGCTCAGCCTCATAATCCCAGAGTTTACCAAATTGAGTAGTTTGAGCTTCAAGAATAGAATCCAATGCAATACGTCTTCCTCTAAAGCACTTAGACATTGGAACCACGATGTCATACCTGGCTTTTATAGCATCTTTGATCTCTGCTGCAGGCAATGCAATGTTCCTTCTTATCTCTTCTCTAAATAACCCAGCAATGACACCTTGTTTCAACATTGAAACCCTGCTCGATTTCCCATGACAGTGTCGCATGTGACAAACTTTGACCATCCATTTGTTAATAGGTTTCTCATAGGAACAAAACACTCTGAACTTACACTTATCACCACAGCAAATCACAGCTATCCTGTTTGCTTCTGACTTAGCCATCTTTACATCATATTGTGTCTTCAATGAATAACGCAAAAGCTGCTCCTTAAACTCTAAGCCGCTATTAAACTTCTGAAATAGCCAAATGTATGGTTCCTTATCCAAATCGCCATGGAACTGGTCTTTTCCTTTCTTATTTCTCCTTCTTGCACGTTTTGGATTAGCCCATTGTTCCCATTCCTCCTCGGATTCTACTGGCGTATCTGGATAATTTGCATTCTCCTCTAAAACACATTCCTCCTCACTTTCTTCAGCTTCTCTCGCTGCTGCATCTTTTTCATCAGTATTTGTATATGCCTCTTTCTCTGGTCTTACCATTGAACCTTCCTCAAAGAGTAACCTAAAACGAGCATCGTTAGCACCATCACCAGCATCTAAAACAACTTCGTCTCCATCATCAGCCTGATTTACATTCTCATTTCTATTCAAATCCGAAGCTACCACATTCTGATCTCTAGATTCAGCCAATTTCTCAGTAAAAAATTCATCTTCACCATCGCCCTTGTCTTGAGCCTCAGCCTCAGCTTCACCTTCGGCATCATATCCTTCGTCATGTATTTCATCCTCAGATTGCTCAGGTTCTTCATCCTCTTTTGGCCTCTCCACATCTACATCACTGTCTGAGTTATACTCTTCATTCTGCCCTTCTTCACCATCTGAACTGAAGTTTCTATCATCATGAAGATCTTCACGTTCTATACTTGGAAGATGATGAATTGCTGCAGCCTCACTGTTTTCTGAAATATCATGCTCCATAAAAATGTCAAGGTGGGATGAACTTTGCCCTAACAGAACCAAAGGAAACATATCTTCGAGAGCATCATCAAATACATAGTTAACTGTCTTCAGCTCTTTTCCTGCCTCTTTGTACCATATGAACCTGATCGGTGCATTCAACTTTGCGTTAAGCTTGCAGAAGTCAGAAAAGAACTTCCATGTAATTTCTGAGACTTTCCAGTTGACAATTTCAGAACCCAACTCTCCATTGTAGCTGTATTCGTCACCTTCTTTCTTCATAGATCCACCAAAGTGGATTGTGAGTTTTATGGTCGAATTGTCACTGTAAATAACGAATATGAAGTTGAACGAAGATATATGAAGGAAGAGACATAAAAATCACAAACCCAGAAATCAATGAATGAAGAAGAATTGAACAGCATAAGGACGAAGAAAGCAACAATACCTCATTTCGACTTGAACGCATGTGACTCTTCGTTCAATTTTCTCCTATTTCTCTCCTTCAATTTTCTGGGTTTTAGAACAACGACAAACCTATTCCCAAATCGAGTTGGGTTTTTTTATTTGGTTGGTTATGCTGTTTTTCTATTTTATAATTGATAAAAATTAATTGAATACTTAGTTTTGATTAAAAATAATTTTGAAATAACCCACGTTTTAGTAAACTAAACGGTAGTTAATTATTCCGTGACAGCGCGTTACTGTTCCGTTAAGTTCGGCGGCGACTCGAACAAATTGGCCAGATTGAAGGTTTAAAATGTATATATAAATAGTATGAAGGTTTAAAGTGTGAGTGAAATTCCTTTAAGGTTTAAACTGTTATTTTTTCAAATCTTGAAGGTTTAAAATGCGATTTTCCCTAAAAAAAAATATCAGATAGTTTTTCTTTTTTTTTTTGTTTCTCTCTCTCTGCTTTGAAAAGTAATCTGGACCGCGAACAAAGCTTTTCGTTTCTGGTTCGTTGCCGCCTTGCACGTTCCTTCTACTTGCTTCTCTCTGCTTCTCTCTCTCTCCCATCTTATCTCATAGCCGTAACCCTAACCCTAAACTTCTCTGTCTTCCTCTTATCTCCTTCCAATTTCGTTCCGGATTCGAATCTCGTACCATCATCTGCAGATCTTTTAGATCCGTAATATTTGAAACCCGACCTCTAATTCCCTTCTGTTGATTGAAAGCTGTCTTCTTCGTTTGATTCCTCGTATGGATTGATTTTCTTGTAATTTCGTCGTTTCTGGGTTGAATTAGATTACTAAATCCATCTCTTCTGGATTGTATTCCTCGTCGGAAACCCGTAGTTTTCTTCCCAGAATTGGATTGGAATCTGAATTCGAGTTTTACGGATTGGATTCGCAATTCCAGTGGAACCGTTCGTGGAGTTGGAACTGTTCAACGCTTACCTGATTCGAATTCCAAAGGTTTCAGATCTAACTTTTAGTCAGTCTCAGTGCTGTTTCTATTGGATGCAATCGTGTGAAATTGAGCATTCCCGAAGAAGATTTCTCGGATGGGAGAAGAAGGAACTGTTTGTTTGGAGATGCCAATGGAAGGAGCTATGGTGGAAGGGAACTCATCAATTGGGGAACTGAAAAGAGAGCGTCTTTATACCGGAGAAGAAGCCATCGAAGGAGAAGATTTTCCCAACAAGAAACAAGCGAAAGAGGCTTCCAACGATGATATCATATCTGAGATTTCGAACCCCGTCGCATCTCCGGTAGAAAGCACTTCTCGATTTCGCGATGTCTCCAGTAAATCCGGTTCGGGTGATCCGGTCGAGTGCGGTGAGGTAACCGGTACTTGCTCCGGCAGTGATTTCGGCTCCGGAGAGACTATAAGCGACGGGAACGACGTATCCGTAGCAGGTAGCCCTCCAACAGAGCAATCGAGTGATGAGTTAGCTTCTAGTTTTGTGTTGGAGATTCCGAAGCATCTTAGCTCGACTGGAATCACGAAGATCACGTTTAAGTTCAGTAGAAAAAAAGAGGATTTTTACGATTTGCCCGTGAAAAAGGATCATGCATGGGACGGTGTCGCAGCTTCCCGGTGGGATGTGAAGATGCCGAAGAAGATTGTTTCTAGCAGCTACCCATCTAATGTGAAGAAGCTGTTGGCGACGGGGATTCTCGACGGTGCTCGAGTGAAGTATATTTCACTCCCACCGGTGGTAATTTCCGAAACTCTGTTTTTCTTGTCGATATTGGGTTTCGATTTTAGTTCATTTGTTGGTGACTTATAACTCTTATTTCACTTTTAATGGCTAACAGAGAGAGCTTCAGGGGATAATCCATTCGGGTGGGTATTTGTGTGGCTGTACGACTTGCAATTTCTCAAAAGTAAGTTTGCTCTTCGCGGTCGTTATGGTTTTCTTGTTTCTATGATTAGGTATGATTTAACGATGGTGCCATGTTTTGTTATGTAAAAAGGTTCTAAGTGCGTTTGAGTTTGAGCAGCATGCCGGTGCAAAAACTAGACATCCGAATAATCACATATTTTTGGAGAATGGAAGGGCTGTCTATAACATAGTTCAAGAACTGAAGACTGCTCCTCGTGATGTTCTCGAGGAAGTTATAAGGAATGTGGCTGGCTCTGCTTTGAGTGAGGAGGGCTTACAAGCTTGGAAAGGTGATGGCCAGGTGTCTAGATTTTTGGTGCACCTATGCTTTCTTTCAGCATTTTAAAGCGCTCTCCATAGATTTTCTTTTGCATTCGTTTGCTTTTTGATGAGTGCTGAGCCTGATTTGTTGTTCTTTCCTGCAGCAAGTTTCCAACAGAGTAATTGCATGTCTGACAGGAACCAGTTCATGGAACATTCCCTTGTCAGGTACTATACCTTCTACTTGTGTTTATTACTTGATCTGTTTTGCGGGTTATATTTGGAATTGATATTCAGTGATACTTGGACCCGTAGTGACTTGTTCTGTTTTTTAATTTTTCTGGCTAATGCACCCTAAGTTACCATTTAGTGTTACTATCTGAAAGTGATTCATGTGAAAGCTGCAGTTATCTTGGTCCTGATCCTGGTCAAGCTCTTGATGAAAGTCAGAGTCTCACTCCATGCTCTCTGGATAATCGTTATTTTCGAGAGAAAACATATGCAAAGGACACTTTAGATGAGCCGAAGCGGATAGCAAAGAAGTATGCGTCTTTGATATCTTCATTTACAAATTATTTACTGTAGTAATCTAGGTGCCACTTCTTGTCCTTGTGGACAATTATATAGGTAGGTAACGGAAGTTTATTTGGTCGCTAATACTGCAGGCTTACTTCTCATGTATCTGGTACGGGTTGCCATAAGAAAGTTACTGAAGGAAGCAATAGAAAAAGGTTTGTGTTGCTTTTCTATCATTCTCATCACTTGTGTCTGTTAGCATTTGAATCTTTAAACGCAATCAGACATTGATGAAGAAGATACAATCCTATGTTTCTAGGGACAATGATTTACATCGGTTGCTGTTTATGCCTAATGGGCTTCCGGATGGGACTGAATTGGCTTACTATGTGAAATCGCAGGTTTGTTATTCCAGACAAATTACATGTTCTGCTTATTTTCACTGATTGAGTTAAGTTTAGCTTAGTTAACATTTTTCTCCCCTGCAGAAACTACTACAGGGTTACAAGCAAGGAAGTGGTATAGTATGTAGCTGCTGCAGCAAAGAGGTAAATAATGGATGCAGTCGCTATGTGGATTGTCCATCAGACTCAGTTTGAACTTCGGAGATGGTTTTATTTATATGTTTTTTGTATGTATGTATAACAGATTAGTCCTTCGCAATTTGAAGCGCATGCTGGAATGGCTGGTAGACGACAACCGTGAGTTTTCTAATAAACATGTTATATTCCCTAATGTTGGAATGCGTATCTGAAGTGTTACTATCTTTTGTAGATATCGTCATATCTTTATCTCTTCCGGATTATCATTGCATGACATAGCCTTGTCATTGGCGAATGGACATGTCATTACAACTGGTGACAGTGATGATATGTGTTCTATTTGTGGGGATGGTGGAGATTTGCTGCTTTGTGCTGGATGTCCTCAAGCATTCCATACAGGTATATGTAGGATAAGCTGGAGTATAGTATTCTTACTCGTGTACTCTACTATATTAAAACACGTAACTTCTAGGTTTCAAACTGAAAGTTGCTAAAGCTCAGATTCCAAAATGATTTCCTAAATCAAGAAGCATACGAAACATTAAATTAGCTCTCTTACACCATTTTCGTTTGAGATTAAATAATAACTTACTGTAATGATTTCTGGAACAACATCTCTTAAATATCAACTCTCGTATTATTCTCTGGTTCTGATCCTTCATTGTCTCTTTTCATATGCAGCTTGTTTGAAATTTCAGTCTATGCCTGAGGGTACATGGTACTGTTCGAGCTGCAATGATGGAACTTTCTCTAGTAAAAAGGCTACTGCCCCTGATCCTTCTGGCAACTCTAAGCCTATAGTTATAAGACTGACAAGAGTCGTTAAAGCTCCCGAAAGCGAAATTGGTGGCTGTGTGTTCTGCAGGTTGGTTGCATACTTATAGTCAACTTTCTCGTATGGATTTTAACAGTTGTGAAAAATTTAAATACATGTGCAAGCGGCAAGCCACTGCACTAATCACTTTTGATTACTGTTCACGAAGTGGAATCTACATTTGGATGATTGTTTTCTGGAGACACATCTTTCTATATATCATTTGTGCCTTTGTGGTGCTTATTGCTTACTGTGTTTCGCTCTCGTTTTATTGTTAATAGGTCCCATGATTTTAGCATCGGAAAATTTGATGATAGGACTGTTATTCTCTGTGACCAGGTACTCTCTTGATTCCTGATTTTTTTTATTCAACTCTTCCCGTTACCAGTTCAGGCGTTTATGATAGCCCTCTTCTTCTATTATTTTGTAGTGTGAGAAAGAGTACCATGTTGGTTGCCTTAGAGGGAATGGGCTCTGTGATTTGAAAGTAAGTTGTGTAAGACTGTCTCCTTCTGGTTTGTGTTCACGAGGTCATTCAACTTTCTAAACTTCTTCCCTGAATGCTGTAGGAAATTCCACAGGAGAAATGGTTCTGCTGTAATGACTGCAGCAGGATTCACTCAGCAGTTCAGAGTTCTGTTTCATGTGGGCCACAAACTATACCTCCACTTTTGTTAGACATCATATGCAGAAAAGACAGAGAAAAAGGAGTATTTACCGAGAACGGGGATACAGTCCAATGGAGGATACTTAGTGGAAAAAGTCGACACCCAGAGCATCTGCGCTTGCTTTCACGAGCGGCTGTTATCTTCAGGGTATGTCTTGACTTCAGATGCGTTCCAATTATCTTTTGGTGTATTACCTGTTAGAGATGTGCTCTCGGGCTATATGTTCAATCAATTTCTCGCTTCAAAATTAGACCTTAAAAAAATACGTATAACAAACATGCCGCCTAATTCTTTGTCTGTGTAATCTTCTAGGAGTGTTTTGATCCCATTGTTGCGAAGTCTGGTCGTGATCTAATTCCTGTCATGGTGTTTGGGTAAGTTCGATGTAATAAATTCTGATACAATAGCTATGTTTTGACAGTAGTTGATTCGTCTTGTAAATTAATTCTTATGACACATTTGCAGGAGAAATATATCAGGCCAGGAGTTTGGAGGAATGTACTGTTTGGTCCTGATTGTAAAGTATGTTTGCTGCTGTTGATGCATTTTCTCTTTCTGTTTACTTCTGATTTTTCACTTACAACTTCTCGGTTTCCTATGCTAATCGTTTTTGTTCTCATGATGCGCCGTATAGTTCTCTTGTTGTTTCTGCTGCGCTGCTGAGAATTTTTGGTCAGCAAGTTGCTGAACTTCCAATTGTAGCCACAAGCAGAGAGTACCAAGGAAGGGTAAAGCTTGTGTTTATCCACTTTGTTTCTCTTCTCTTGTGACCTATGGATTAAATTACTTTACTGTGTAAAATGGTCATTAGGGCTACTTCCAAGGGCTGTTTGCTTGTGTGGAGAATCTTCTATCTTCTCTAAATGTTGAGAACCTGGTCCTTCCGGCAGCTGAAGAAGCGGAGTCTATATGGACAAAGAAGTTTGGCTTTACAAAAATGACTGACCAGCAAGTAAGTGAATTTTTTTTCTCGGATCACTATTTGGATATGATTGGATTTGTGTTTATTAAATTCAGTATTCATTCACACAAGTGGGAAAATCAAATAGTTTTAAGAGATCCATATGCATATGTACATTTGGTTTAGTAAGTATTGATATCCACCAATTGGGTAGCAAGATGGTAACAAACAATTACAAATGGTGTTTTGCAGTTGCAGAAGTACCAAAAGGAAATGCAGCTAACAATCTTTAACGGAACCTCGATGCTGGAGAAGAAAGTACCAAAGAGTTTATCCGAATCAACAGCTAACATCTAATCTGTAAAAGATTCCTCTGGAATTTGGTGTTCGGATCTTTCCTCCTTTTTTTTTTTTGTTTTGGTGCTTTCTGATATCTTTTGTAGTGTTTTGGTTCCTTTTTGAAAATAGATTGTAGGTTGACAAAGGAGTCCCATAACAGTTCCATGTTTGTAAAGACCAAAGAGAAGATAACAATAAAATAAATAGAACAGTCATAAGGATTTGTAGACTTGTGTAGAACCTACTAACTTATAGAAAATAATACTTTCAGTCATAAATCTTCTTTCGTTAAATAAGTTGTGTGAATGTTATGTGATATTGGATTGAAATGTTTAGCACAAAGTTGAACTAAATTCATGAGGAGAGATATTTGGTTGGTTGCATAGCTTCGGCGGTAGAACATTTGTCTTCAACGTAAAATGCAGGAAATTTATCAAAAATATCATTCTTTCATCTTCTGTTCACCTCTGTAAAACAGAGGAAACGGCGCCGTTTGAATGATTCGTTTCAGTTAATTAAAAAAATTAATATCCTTGATAAGCCCTAAAACTATTCACTCTGTTCTTCTCTCAATCTGTTTTCTTTCTCTCACTTGCTACAATGGCGTTCGTTTCCACTTTTCGCCGCGTCATTGCCGGATCCAACAGCCTTTTGTCATCGCCATCCTCCTGGGCTCGCCACTGCTCAACTCTTACAACTCCCAAGCTCTTCGTAAGCGGTAATTTCTCTCTGGAATCGTTTTTATACAAAAGTAGATAGATTCAGCTTTAGGGACGGATTCTGGAGTTTTGACATAGATGATCGGTTATGAGATATGCAAGATTGGATTGTTTTGGTATGTTCTCTTATAGATGCTAGGTGTTTGTTTGTGTTGTATGTGTATCAGTGTGGGATAATTTTGGGAAATGATCAACCAGAAGCTATCTCCTACTTGTCCACTGTAGTATTTTGTGTCTTTAATCAACATGAAAGTTTAGAACTTCTCTCCAATTTCCCATTTTCCTGATAATAAATTTTGTGAGTATTAAGAGTACTTGGAGGTTTTTGGTGAGTGTCATAAGGATGAGGAAGTTCTTAAAGAACAAGAATGTTTTTGAGTAGTGGATTTTCCTTAAGGACCGTGTTTATTTATTTGTCTGGATGGCTATAAATTTGTTTACTTTATGAGACTCTTTAAGGCCTTCAAGACAAGGAATTGTTATTCCATTATATGAAATTCTTATATCCTTGTGCCTTGAATAGGTCTCTCCAGACTCACAACAAATGAAAAGCTTCAGGATGCATTTGCTCCGTTTGGGGAGCTACTGGATGGTAACGCTACTCTCTCCTTTGTATTCATCACCTCTTGGATTCCTTATCAAACACATACATTATATCAAATCTCACAGACTTGCTATTTTGGTGTTGTTGCAGCTAGAGTGATCACAGACAGGGAGACCGGGAGATCAAAGGGTTTCGCTTTTGTGACATATGCAACGATAGATGATGCAGAGAAGGCCAAGGAAGGAATGAATGCAAAGTTCCTGGATGGTTGGGTGATCTTTGTGGATCCTGCAAGACCTAGAGAGCCAAGACGGCCTCCGCAGCAGGAGCATCATCAGGCTTCCGCTGGATCCGGTTTTACAACCAACAAAACTATTGGGTGGTGTAAATGAACAAAATCCAAACATTTTGGATCTTTTATTTAATGAAATGAAAGTAGCTTCTTTAAGCCATTCGTTTATCTGAGGCAGAGGCAAATCCCTCTTAGACCTTAACTTATGTTCTTGAAACATCATATGATGCAAAAGGTTACAAAACTGGATAAAGTTATGTAGTAGTAGTAACTAACAAGAAGAAGTCATACTCTTTTCGCTAACAATTCCAAACGCAAAAAAAAAGGAAAAAAAAAAAAAAAACAAAAACTGGATGTGGCAAAAAACGGCGGTTGGTCTCTAGGGTTTAACTTTTAATGTTTGATTTTCAGACAAAAAGTACAAAAAGAAGAACAGTTAATTAGAATCTGCAGCTTCCTGATCTCAAATTCAGCGACTTTTCTCAAAACGATGCATTCCTGTTATAATACTCACTTCGCCTCCCTCAAGCTTCCCCATTTCTTCGCGCCTAAGGTCTCTTCTCTCATTCTCCATCGCCTGATTGGTCGCTGATTAAGAAGAAAAGTTTTGAAATTTGGAAATTTTTTTTTCCATGTCTCAGAGTTTTGTGGCGTCTTCGCGGTGGGAATTAAGAGTGTTCGCAGTGGCAACCAGTGTTGAGGAGGCGTCTGGTCACATACCAGCGGCTCCAATTTCTCTACCTGAAGGCTCATGGAAACAGGTTTTTACTTTGCGTTTAAAATTATCATCTTTTTGATTCAAAATCTGAATCTTCTTGTTGCTATTGTTGTTTAGATAGCTGGTGGAGTTACAGCTGCTAAAGGGTTTAAAGCTGCTGGTATGTATGCTGGATTACGAGCTTCAGGAAAGAAGCCTGATCTCGCTCTTGTAACCTGTGATGTTGATGCTGTAGCTGCAGGTCCAATGCTACCTTTTGATTCTTGCCCTTAAATTGTATTCAGAGGTACAAAAATTCTGACTTTATTCGTGAGAATTTTATCAGGGGTGTTTACTATGAATGTGGTTGCTGCTGCTCCTGTAGTTTACTGCAAAAAGGTTCTTGATACTTCGAAAACGGTAATTTCTCTTCCTAATTATTTGAGTTTCAGACTTAGACCAAAAGCATTTTGTGCGTCCGAGCTTTGAACCAGTAAGCTTTGAAAATTTTCAGGCGCGTGCAGTGTTGATCAATGCCGGTCAAGCCAATGCAGCCACGGTAAGATATCTTAGATGTAGTCCGATGGTGTCAATAAGTAGAGATCTCGAGCTATGCTGTGTTACGAGTTAATGCATATTATACTGAAATAGCCTGAATTTTATACTTCTTAGCTATGCATCACTCATTTTTTGTTGTTACATGTATTGAGACCATTCCTTTTTCAGGGTGACGCTGGTTACCAAGATATGTTAGATTGTGTTGGCTCTCTTGCCACGGTATGCCTTTTGGTGTCTTTTATCCCCGTGTCTCTCGCAAACCTCGTATCCTTCATCATTGTTCTTTATTGTTGCAGCTACTTAAAGTGAATCCAGAGGAAGTGTTAATTGAGTCAACTGGGGTTATTGGCCAGAGGATAAAAAAGGTACAACAGATTTCTCATTAATTTTCCGTGCAAGTGGTCTATTAACTTTGCATCACTCGTAATTCTCACTCCTACGATCTCAATAACGTTTTGCAGAAAGAGCTTCTCCAAGCTCTTCCAACACTAATCAACTCGATATCAGACTCTGTTGAACAGTAATCTTCCCGTCTCTTTCTCTCTCTCGCAGCTCTTATGTTACAGTCGGCACTTTATATTTCATCCTCTTAACGAAATCAATTTGATATACAGGGCAGATTCTGCTGCTATAGCAATCACGACAACGGATCTTGTAAGCAAGAGCGTCGCAGTTGAATCACAGGTAGGTTCAAGAAACACAGTTGTGTTCTCTTGCAATTTCATATATCTTACAAATATTTGAGATTGCTCAGGTCGGAGGAACCACGATTCGAGTTGGGGGTATGGCAAAAGGCTCCGGAATGATCCATCCAAATATGGCAACTATGCTAGGTGTATGTTCACTTTCTTTTGGTCACAATATACACACATTGATGCTAAACAAAAACCAAATCGATATTTTATTTTTTTCTCAGGTAATCACAACAGACGCCCTAGTTGAAAGTGATGTCTGGAGAAAGATGGTAAAGGTTGCAGTAAACCGAAGTTTCAACCAGATCACAGTAAGTTACACAATTTGAGACATAGTTGTAAATGTGTTATTTTCATTTCCAGGATCTGATTAATGAAAGCATGGTCTTATAGGTAGATGGGGACACGAGTACTAACGACACAGTTATTGCTTTGGCGAGTGGGCTATCTGGATCACCTTTTATATCTTCTTTGAACTGTAAGGAAGCTGCTCAGCTTCAGGCATGCCTTGATGCGGTATGTATTGTTTTTTTTTTTTTTGCTATTTGTCGAACAGTTGTTCATAAGCTGATCTTAACATAAACTCCAAAAATATATATATATATATATATATATATATATATATATATATATATATATATTCTTCAGGTGATGCAAGGACTCGCCAAATCAATAGCTTGGGATGGCGAAGGCGCAACATGTCTCATTGAGGTTTCATAAATGTTTTAGTGAAAAACGTTTTTTTTTTCCCTACCCTCTGGTTGAAAACAAGCCTTAACGGTTAACACAAAATCACCAGGTAACAGTAAAAGGAGCTGAAACTGAAGCAGAAGCAGCGAAAATTGCACGCTCGGTGGCTGGCTCTTCATTGGTCAAAGTATGAGATCGGAAATAGAGACATACATGAATGGATCAAAGTGAGCCTTCTTGTTTCTAACTAATAGTAAACGTCTGTTGTTGCTGGTTGTGACAGGCAGCTGTTTATGGGAGAGATCCGAACTGGGGACGCATAGCTGCAGCTGCTGGCTACGCCGGTGTTTCTTTCCAGATGGATAAGCTTAGAATATCACTCGGGGAGTTTTCTCTCATGGAGAGTGGTCAACCTCTTCCTTTTGACAGGTTTATCTTACAACTGATTTTGTCCTCTCAATGGCAAAGTGAAGTTAGATCATGTTCTTACATACAGAGATGTATGTATATACACAGGGATGGAGCCAGTAACTACCTCAAGAAAGCCGGCGAGGTTCATGGAACTGTTACAATCGATTTGTCCGTAGGTAAGTGCTTGTTTTTAGTAGCCAATTAGATGAAAACCATGTGTTGTGGATGTGAGTTCAGTTTTGTCCGGTGAACAGGTGAAGGTGCAGCCACCGGAAAGGCGTGGGGGTGCGATCTTAGCTATGACTATGTCAAGATCAACGCTGAGTATACCTCCTGAGACTTCTGAGACCGAGAGACAGAATTTCATGTATTGTTGTTGTGTTATTATGATCTCAATTTATAAACTAATTTTGCTTCAAATAAGACAACATCATCAATAACAAAGTTTCATTGAGTTCTTCACAAAAGTGAAACTGAATCCCATATAAAAAAAAAAAAAAAAACAAACAAGCAACAAACTTCAAGAAAACTTCACATGTGTGTTTTTTATCATCCATTACCCGAAAAAGAAACTCACACAGAAAAGCTGTGTACAAGAAACACACACACAAAGAGATTTGTTGATTATTTATTTAACAAGAGGACGCCAAGCTCGTAGATGTGATGAAGGTGTGCTTGATTATGAGCAGCCAATGGCAATCAAGAAGATGCTGCAACTATAGGCATCTGAGTTACCCAATCAAATTTCTCGCGACTGTGTTTGCGAGAAGCTTGCTTCTTGTCCTTGCCACTACGAGAGGAAGAGTTGTCTTTGCTCTTCTGTCCTTTCTTTCCGGTCTTCCTGTGGTTGTCTTTGCTCTTGGGTTTGTGTTGCTGTTTCTTGCTTCTTGTGTGCGAAGCTATGGAGGGAGGAGGATCATACACGTCCTCAGCCCACGAAACACTTGACTTCCTCAGTGACAAGCCGTGCTTCTCCCGACTGCCTTTTATGGCCGGGATGAGAACAACTGGTGTCTGTTGTCAATTCACCAAACAACAAATAGGTGAGAAACAATCAGCACAGAATACACAGCCTTGGCTTGAGAGATGTGACAAGAGTAACACTACGAAATCAAATCTGAATGATCATAGAGAAAACACACATCCCAAGTCCACAGGACTCTTTATTTCTTACTAACGTACAAACTATGGAATTCCAGAAACAGTGATTTCTTAAATCAAAAGTTATCTCCTTGCTTGGACTATTTATGGAGACTATTGTAGACTTATTTGTACTGAGAAAGTGATAATAGGCTTGCACACAAAAAGAAACAAGGCACAAATCTATCTTAAGTAACACGAGGTGACTTACAGTAGTAAAGTTCTCATCCTTGTCGTCATCATCTGAAGATGAGGGAGGTAAAGTGGATTTGCCGAAATCTGTCTCAGCGGATTCTTCATTCGCAGTTTGGTTTATATAACCAGTTTCATCGCCATCAGACTCCTGAGAATCTTCAGATCCAGCAAACGAGGAATGCTTGGAGCCATTAGAGCACTGCGTGGGGCTCGAAGTCGAGATCCCAAAGTTTGCATCTTTGAAATCCAACGTACCACAAACAGAGCTCATATTCAACTATAGCAGATGATAGGTCACAGTAGCAGTAACTACAAAGTTCAAAGTTATCATGAGTAAAATGATCTTCATGCACAGATTTCATTCACAAACATGAGAAAAACGATCAAATTTAGCAAAAATTAAGCCCAAGAGAAGTCAAAGAGAGGAAATTTTCATACCTTTGTGGGTTGCAACTTGCAGATCGAAAAAGTCACCAACGATGAAGCAAAGATTCTGTATCTGAAGATTATGATTCACAAGCTTTTTCTTCCAAGTTGAGCTAGGAGAATCTCAAGGACCAGATGAGCACAAGAGATAAAAAGTTTGAAAGAGAGCAGCAGAGAAGAAGACTAAGAGTGGAAGAAAATCGAAATGTTAACTAAGATTACCACGCCAATCACACTTTTCAAGAGGTTTCAGACGATGCGAACACAAACCAGAATGATAAGGAGTCAACGAAGGAATCAAAGAGAGGAGAAGGAGAACGAGTAGCTTAGAGGGCACCGAAGGCATTATATCTATGCTCTCCGAAACCCTAGAACCGAACGGAAAAGCCCTAATTCTCGAATTTCGATCCAAAAAAAAAACGCAGAGATCTCAGAAACTTCGATGCCGACAGAAAACACCAAAAAAGAGAGAGGATAATTCTCCGAAATGACTCGCGAAACTCTAAAATCGGATCATGGAAACCAGAAAAATCAAAGGAGAAATGTATCCACACCTAATCTGCGCGTGAGGAGGAAGACAAAAGACAAGAAGCTAATTAGAGAAGACGGAGAAGAGGAAGAAGAAGACGGAACAAAGACAGAATATGACGTTTTTTAAATAGAAAAATAAGGAATCTTAGAATCAACGGCGATAGATGTGGCGGCCTACTTTAGAGAGATTCTCAACTGTACACGTGTCACAACTTTTTTTATTTATGGGTCATTAAGACAAGTTTTGTTCTAATGGGCCGAGAATCATAAATTGCTATTTGAGGAAACAAATTTTACCAAACTACCTAATCAAGCCCGTATGTTAGGCCGTCGATCTATAATCTGCGCTAACTGATTACAGATGCAAAGTCCCTTGATTCAACAGCTTATCCGTTTGTTTACATAATTTTTTACCTTTTGTTTATTATTATTATTTGAAAAAACACTTTTAGCGTTGTGAACAATGCGTTTACCATCATATCTTTTCTTTTTAAGAAAGCATCAATTTGGGAATTCTTAGTCTCAAACGCAAGTCATACAAAGAACACAAAATTCGCATTCTAAAACGCAGCTGTTACAATAATTAAATCTCAATGGGAAGGAATCGTTATATATCAGCTCTTCACATTTCCCATAAAATATCACGCGTACCTGTTACAAATTCAATAATCAAGAAAGTGTGGCAATAATGAGAACAAGTTCGGACTTTTTTGTTAACCAAAACAAAAAGTTTGATTTTTGATAATTGATCAAGTTGGAATTATCCACTTTTCAGGGAATCAGGCTATATAAAAAACAAACCCAAAGGATAAACATACTCTTCATAAATCTCGAATCAAACCCAAACATTAATCAGGAAATTTACAGAAAGAAATCTCTTAAGAGCTAGTGAATTTGGTAACAGCCTTGGTGCCTTCAGATACGGCGTGCTTAGCGAGCTCTCCAGGCAAGACCAATCTCACGGCGGTCTGGATCTCCCTCGAAGTAATGGTCGGCTTTTTGTTGTACCTAGCGAGCTTAGACGATTCCTGAGCGAGTTTCTCGAAGATGTCGTTGATGAAACTGTTCATAATCCCCATCGCTTTCCCGGAGATTCCAATGTCTGGATGAACCTGTTTCAGGACCTTGAAGATGTAGATCTTGTATGTCTCCACGCTCTTCTTCGATTTCTTCTTCTTCTTCTCACTCCCTCCTTCTTTTCCGATCTTCTTCTCCGCCTTTGGCCGCTTCTCCGCCGGAGCTTTCTCCGCTGGTTTCTTCTCCGCTGCCTTGGGCGCCATTAGAGATGATCTGAAATTTGAGTGATTTGATTGAGAGTGTTTGTTACGAGAACTTCGCGTCGATGATGAGTGAATGAATGATTGAGAATGAGATTTGTTTATATAGAGATATATGCTTGCTTTTCTATTGGATATTTGTGTTTCGCGAGGATTGATGACGTGGTAGTAATGAATGAACGGTCACGATTATCTGATCTCTACAATCTGCGGCCTCGGTCCTTATATTGGATTGGGCCTATGGAGTAGCTGAAATTGAGCCCAAGGTAGCAATTATATGATGTTTCACTAATTGAGTTGGGTTGTGCGGACTTGGGTTTTACTCTCCCGAGCTACGTTCGATTTAGATTTTGCTTCCTACATGTATTTCAAACTCTTTATTTTTGTACTCTCCTAAAGACTAATCCAAAATACTATGATAGTAATGGTTCATCTGTTTTTTGTTGATTTTTGTTTAATATTTGAATCAATAAACAGAAAAAATAACATTATAAGTTTTAAATATATAACAATCATAAAATAACTTAAAATTTGTATATTTATTATTGTAAATGTGAAATATGTGTTGTGGAACAAATAAAAAAAAAAGGGTAAGTAAGCCACACAATTTGAAACTGAAAAGGAAAGTTGTTGCGGTAGTTTTGGAAGATGAACTTGTTCTTGTGTTATTTTAAGATTTTTAAAATATATATCTTTGATGTAATAAATTTAAAGTGGGTCACATTTGGTTGTTTCATGCTTGATGCATGATCATATCCAGCTGTGATTTTTTCGCTGAATATAAATCAACACTGAGAGACATAGATTTCAAAGAAGAAGAAGAAGAGGAGATAGATATGGCCATGAATCCATGACCATGAAGAAGCCTCTGCAGGCTATGAAGTACAATGTGGTAACTGTATCTTCTTCTTTTTCTTGTTTTTGTTTCTAAAGTAGATGAGCTTACGTAACTATTCCTTCCCTTCTTTTAGCTTATCAAGATTGATAAAATGTTGGTAAAACAGGTTGATGCATTCACCGAGCCAAACTTTAAGGGGAACCAAGCAGGATCATGCTTTCTTGAAGAGGAACATGAGAGAGACGACGCATGGAACTAAGGCATCTGCTCATAGTGTATTTTCAAACGGTTTGGTTAATTCAGACAAGGTCGAGTTTGTAACACGATCAGGGATTCTTACAGCCAAGCGGGTTCCAGATACTTTAGAGCTCGGTAATAGTGAACTAAAAGGAGGATCAATCTTGATCAAATTGGATTTCCATGTGATTCCAACTTGTGATATCAATATCAGTGACGCCTCCAGCTTATTTTCCAAAGCCTTGAACGGAGCTACCATTGTTGATGTCCGAGGAACCACGACTGATAAAACTATATCCAAAGCAAGTTCAACCGATAAAAACATAGTATGCCTTGTTTCTCAAGAAACCTTTTCTATGTATCTGGTTTTCATGCGTGCTCCAGACACAGCTTTTGTAAGTCAAGATTACGCTAAAACAGAGCCCTTTCATCACCGTCACAGCTTTTCCAGTGAGATATACTCTCTGCTTCTACTTATCATAATGAACCTTCAGTGTTTCACATTTACGTCAAGCCTGAAATGTTGAATTCCGCGGCGAGAGATTGAAGCCATGCGTCGTCTCTCTCATGCTTCTCTGTAAGTATGCACATTGCTGCGTGGTTTCCCTTTGAATACTGATCCGGGAACCAAGCAGAAGTGTGCATTCTTGCAGAGGAGCATGAGAGAGACGACGAATGGCTTCAATCTCTCGCTGCCGAATTTAACATTTCTGGAAGAAGACATACAAGGAGTTCTAAAAGAAAGCACACATATGGATAAGAGTACTTTAGGCTTTGCGTAGGATTGGAACACTGAAGATTCATTATGATAATTAAGGAGAAGCAAAGAGTTTTTGCTCACTGGCAAAGCTGTGACTATTATGCAAGGCTCTCTCTTAGCATAGTTTTGACTTCAAAATTCAAGATTTCGATCGACATCTGGAAGCAAGATTGAATCAAGTTGTTTAATAAAATGATAGAAATCAAATGTATGATCATCTTCTTTATAGTGAACTTATCTAGCTGTAATGCTCATTAGTGAACATGTCTAGATAAGTTTGAAATTTTCTTCTTTGAGAAAAAACATAGTTCGTGTTTTTTGTTTTATTTTTAGAACTCTTACTTTTCCTTTGATTGGGTTTCCCCATATGCTAATAATATATGATCCATTTGTACTACAAATTTTGTAGTTCTGTGAAATATATTCAGCTGTGACTCTGTGATCGAGTGAGCCTGTGACGTAAGCAGGACTAAAATCCATTAGAATTGTATATTTTAACAACTCTCTTGCGCCAAAATGAGCTAACAACTCTTCTCATGTCTTTGTGTTGATATATCAGACAATACATTTTCTGTTGAAATTGGGATTGCTTTCCTCTAATTGTGTTACTTGACATCCGATCCGAACAAAATTAATTTAGTCCATAAACCACCTTTATACCAATTTATTTACCTCGATGCATTTTGGATTGCAATAACAATTACTGGTTGACAATTCATTGTGCTCTTGCTCTTCGTAGCCACAAACAGTATCACGATCAACCAAGCTGATCTGTCTCCAGGAACATATCTCCATATCTATATGTTTCGGAACCATAACTAATTAGTCAGTTTTTACCAAAAAAAAAAAAAAAACTAATTAGTCAGTAACAATCAAGAGAAGACAGGTTAGAATTTTTGGTATGTGATTGGAAATGATTTGCACGTCTCCATGTAATGGGTTCATCTTTTGCTTTTTTCTTTTTTTGGTCACAATGCATTTATAGGTGATACCTATTCTCTGCTTTATAGTTCACAGATCAAGACATACATACTTGCATCTCCTAATCGTCCTTTATTTTTGCTGATTCCATAATAAAGCAAAGCCAAATCGTATTAGCATTTAGATTAGCATAATTTACTTTCAAACAATATCCGTTTCCTTTTTATATTCTGCTTTATCAAAATGTAATTCGATAATCAACACGAATAAACCATTTGGAATCTATATATATCTTTAAAATAAGTTCGATGAATAAGCTTTTCTCATGATTGGTGTTACAACATAATCTATGAAGAATCTATTAATGTGTCATGATTAAAACTATTAATAATTTTTAAAAAAAAAAAGTTTGTGAGTGGTGATAATAGATAGGGCAAAGAAGCACGGAGGTTAATTAAATCTGATGAAGAACGCACCGAAGAAATAAAGCTGCAAGTGGTGATAAGACTGATGTCTGAGTCGACTTACACCATTTTTATGAAGACAGACACACTCCAAAGTAATGTTCCCACCAATCACCAACTACTTCACTTAGATTTGTTCTCCATATCTCACACACATCTTCTTCCTCACTCATCTTTCTAATCAGTATATATTGCTTTTTTTTCTACCTACATCTTTTCATTACTAATTACTTCATTTAAACTGCTCCCTTTTTAAAATTCTAAAATTAAGTAACTTCATTTAAAATTTAGAAAAACTGGCTTCTTGGGGTTTTAACACTAAACGAAATTATGAAGATAAATAAGTCTGATAATTATAGCAGACACTAGAGATTTCTCCTCATATTATACAAAAAAAGGCTTAAGTCATTATCTCCATAGCTAAGACAGCTAGCATCTGGCAATCTCATAGCTCATCATATTATATTTCTGGCTCTCTCATGAGTCTCATCTCATGTCCTGATATTTTACTTTAAATCTCATATTATATAAGATGTGATCTTCCTAACACGCATTTGTGATATGATATATCATATTGGTACATATCGACCTGATCCAATTATTGGACAATCATACTATCTCATGCAACATACACATATTAAATTAACTAAACTCTGATACTGTGCTAATGTACATATAAGAGTTCAAGTCAAAATAAATTGAAAGTGTGTAAATTAGCCTGTCCTTTGCATATTACTGTGTGATACATCTTCTATCAAATGTGAGATTCTTTACAATAGCAAGAAAGCGAAACAATGATTATAGACTACACTCCGAAAATGTAAAAAGAAAATAAGTGGTTTATACATTTTTATGTATGTTTCAGTCCTCAAACAAACGAAGAAGATTAGGATGAAATAATTGTAGATTATATAATATTTTTAAAATTTCCTTCCTAAGGAAATTAAAGGCTATAAAGAAAAGTTTAATTTAAAAATGGGTAATCGTTACACTGGCACTCGTGACCATTATTAGTGAGTATAATATTCTGAGACTCTCTAAAGCATGTCCCTAACAACACCATATATAATCACACTAAAGCATGTCCCTCCATATACAATCATGGCCAATAAATTCATGATGCCTATGTAGGTCTCTGGGGATTTGTAGCATATTAAATAATGTAGATATTAAATAGTGATATGAGATCGACTGAAATGTAATACATAAATCCATAATTTGGGAGTAAGAAAACAGACTGTTGAACGTAGTCGTGCATATAGGTATAATGGGATCTTATTCGGAGATCTATGAGCAAGTCCATTTTCATTTTCTAATGATATATTAGAAAATAAATAGTATAATTCCACTAAATAGATGTTCATAAGCTTCATTTAAGTTAAATCTTATAATTGGTGTATAATTTCTGATAAAAAGAAAGTACTTAAAGAAAGGCAGTGCCCATATGTCTTAAAATGAGGACCGCCCAAAGCATTAGCACACACAATAATGCTAGAAAAAAGCATTAAGACAATAATGTGGAAGAAAGCATTACAAAACAAGTTAAAAGAAAAAGAGCAATAGGGAAACTTGATCAGAAGAAGACGATCACTACGTATTTTTGTTTGTTGTATCTTTGACCATATAAATTAATGGATCCCATTCTTCACCTTTTGCTTTCGATGCCTACATTCAATTTGGAGCTTTCAAAACAGACTTAACTATGCGGTTTCGTATAGTACGTCACTACGTCCACATATATATCTAGTAGATATTATAGGTCATTAGATTTTAGACATGCGTTAGTTGGTGGAATAAACTCGCATTTACATTTAACAATCCTATTAAGTAGCGTATACGACATTATGAGTTTTTACCTTGGTTTTTTTGTAGATTTTTTTTTGTGTGCGTGTGTGTGTGTAAAATAACCCATTTTGTTTCTTGGAATTTCTACCCTTGTTAAAGTTTGGGATTTAAGGTGAAAAAGATAAGAGAATAAATAAACTGCAAATATATCAAAGAAAAATTCTTGATCGCTTTGAATTAATTGCAGTTCGTTTATTCTTCTCTTATCTTTTTTTTTTAATGGTGCACCACACGGAATCTTGCTTTTTTGTCAGCCCAAAAGGGAAAGAAGATGATATTTAGAATCCCCAGTGTTATCTTGCACGTCTCCTATTGGCTCTTACAAAGCACGTTTAAGGTTTTGGTTAACTTGAACTTATAATTATGTTAATAAGATTTTTTATATATGCATAGGACATATATATTATGTATATATTAACGTATATGTATGCATATAGTAGCATGTGTATGATCATTTTAAGATTTAATGTTAAATTGTATGTGTGGCTAAGTGGCTTGACTCAACTTTGAAAGAGTCCATTCTTTTTAACTAGAAATTTACACAGGGGGAAGAAATAAGTGCTGTCTGTTCATGACTAAAATATACTCATGTTTCTTTTTTGTTGATTTTTTTTAGTTTAAGAAAAAAAAACTAGTTACGTACAATTGTCTTTGGGATATGCTAATTCTATGTTGTGTTATTTTACTTTATAATTGTAATTAATTCATAACATTGTATATTTGGAGAATTAATTGTTTAGGATGATTTTTAAGTCATAAGAGAGTAAGAGACTGATCAGCAACAGAGAGCCATGTGGCGAATCTCTAGGAGGAGAGAAATTGTTCGGAAGGCCACCAACAAATTCCTTCACCCGGAGAATGTTTTCCCTCGTGTACATCTCACATGATGCTTTACAATGGAGGCACTTGTAGTTTTTATGTTTGATTTGCGCGTGTAGAATCATTAAAATACAGATGGGAATATGCATATGAACGTATCATGTGCAAACTTGTTGAGCCTGCATCTCTCATTTAGTGCGGAGTTACGAACCTAACACTCATGGCGTCAGTCACAAGTTTTTATGTTTAGTTCTAAGAAATGCTAATAGTTTTCTGTCAGTATAAGAATTTGTAACCGTATAAGAGACGTTTCTATCATCAACTACCAAACCAACGTAGCATATATAGCTCCCGACACCAAGCCCAATCATAAGGTCTATTACCTTGAGTTAATTAAGTAACCCTACAAAAACTCCCTTATCTCGACAATGAGAGGATGTCAGAAAATTATGCTTAGGCCAATAGTGTTCGGCAATAATAAGGGAATATTTCTGTAAAAGAACCAAACAATCCATGGGTTTGACTCAGTCTTTTTAAGTTTCAAACTATTTTCACATTCCTAAGCTTAGAGGTTTGGATTGCTTTTTATTGTTGTCCATTGCCCTTTTGGAGCCAATAATTATGAAGATAATAATAATTAAATACTCAACTGTACAATTGTGTATATCGTTTTTCGATCCTTAAATCGTACATGGATTCATACCTGCCAAGTGCAGAATAACGAATCAATATTGATAGAGAACCGATCCTACTTTCTCAGAAAACAAAGTTATATGCAAAGAAAACAATGAAAGTGATTCCACCAGAAATTAAGTGGCAAAATGAGAACAGTGCAAAGGACCCAAAATATTGGCAATTATTTTTTTTTTTGTTGTTGTCCAAAAAATATTGGCAATTATTCGCACTTACGACAATAATTATTCCATGAATTAAAATAGAATAGGAAAAACTTGATAAAAAAGGAAAAAGCAAAAATCTAACCAATAATAACTCTACCCAACAGTGTCGGTATATCGTGACTCATTAATCATTTAGATAGTTTATACTTTCTACTTGAAAGAACTCGACGCATCAACACCTATCCTAGAGTTAGGCGACCATAAATGTGCTTTAGACATTTATGAAAAACAAATAATACTACTGATGAAGAAAGTACAAAATCATAACTCTTAATTCCGAGCAGTCCTGATTCCGAGTACAGTTGAAGTAAATCTTAGTAGCTCTTAATTTCACAAAAGCTAGCCGCTAGAATTTTCTTGTGACGATATAATCACTTATACTTCTAATTTTTATATATAAAAAGAACTCGTGAAAACTCTCGCACCATCTAAACTCCGTCTAAAATCTCTTGGATTAAAGGTCTAATCATGTTGTAATGTTTTAGTAAAATTATCATCAAAAATGTTTGAAGATCGTTAATTTCGTAAAAAATATCCGATGAATAAATTCCAACCATAATTAGAACACTAAATACCAAAGTACCATTTAAAGTTACTATATATTTATTAGTGAAATAATAAAAGACTTAAATACATTGAAATCTAGCCTATAGCATTTCTATAATTCTATGTAACAATGCAATTCGATCTGTGTGGAAAATACATCTATGGTATTGGTAGTCATACAGTTAAGAACCAACGATGTACAACCAGGCATAAATACATTGTTAGAATCAAGAAAATAAATTGAATGAGAGAATATTGATACAAAGTGCGTTAGATTTCGATCAAATATGGGTACCCACAGCCAACTTTTTTGTTTCTTGAGTTAGGCTATGTGAAGATCAAATACAAATTCTCAAATTTGTACATCTTTTGGTTCTAGTTGATAAGGTAGAGAAATAGGGCCCATAATTTCAGGGTAGGGTATGACAACTTGCCTCGAAATATATAACAAACAAAAACAATAACATTCCACACATATTTTTATATTATATATTTACAATAACATATACACGTATAAGTTTCCGTAGAGAGAAGAATGTTAACATCACATCCTTTTATCCCTTTCCCTATATAAAGAGAGAAAACCAAGACAGTCATAACAAATCATCCAATTAAAACAAACCTACCTCCCATATCTCTATTGCTACTACTTTTAAATATAATTAACAGGGATAGAGAGTTAGATTGTTGATCTTAAGTTATTAGGATGGAGGAAGTAAAGAAGAGGGACTGTATGGAGAAGGCAAGGCCGTTTATTTCAGTGGTATTGCTGCAAGTAGGATTAGCAGGAATGGACATTCTCTCAAAAGCTGTACTAAACAAAGGCATGAGTAATTATGTACTCGTCGTTTACCGTCATGCCGTTGCTACAGTCGTTATGGCCCCGTTCGCATTCTATTTCGACAAGTATTTTCTACCTCTTTTCTTTATATCAACGTTTTTAATTCAAAATTTGGTTTGTAGTTTCAAGACCATGATCGTAGATTATCATTTAGTTTGATCTATATCGAAAATTGAGTATGCATTACATATTTTCTAAACGTTTTTGTTTCCATAAATATATTTATAATCAATGCAAGTGGAAAATGCATACGTAAATGTGAAGAAACAAATGTGTAGAAACAATTGCGACCCTGTTCAACAAAACGGATTATTTATTAAAAAGATGAAACTCATATATATTGGGTTTTATTTTTATTTTTAATTGTGTGGGGTTGTGCATGGACTTTTAGTGTGTTGAAAGGATGAAAATAGCGAAAAGAAAGAACGAGGCTTGTGACGTAGTTAATTTGATAAGAAAGGGTCAGACATATTGTAAAAGACAAAAACACTTGTAACGGTTTTTATCTTTGCTTTTCTGTGGCTTCCATCACTGCCATGCATTCAATGTGAGTACTTCACATATTTTTTAGTGCTTCTATTAAACATTTAATGCGTAATCAAATAGTGGTTATGCTCAGTACTATGATTGTAATCCAGTAATTTTGACACATATTAGGAACCAATTTGTATAAGTCCTTTTTTGACAATGATTCTAAAATAAGGATAAGTCCCTCTCCTTCATTAAAAAAAAAAAGGATGATACAAAGTGCGTTAATATATAGGTTTTAAAAAAAAGTATGTTAATATGGTTCAAAAGTTTGGAATCTCTATGGCTGAAAAAATAATTGAACAAACGTTCTAATATAATTTAATGGCTATGATGTAAAAAGCAGGAAAGTTAGACCAAAGATGACGTTGATGATATTCTTCAAGATATCACTTCTTGGTTTACTCGAGTAATATTTTAATTTAGTTCATCTTCATTCTTCCACAAATCTCCAATTTTTTTTTTTTTTTGGCTTGAATTTGATTTATTTTTTTCTTTCATGTTTTATGTAATATAACAGGCCAGTGATCGATCAGAATTTATACTACCTGGGGATGAAATATACGACGGCTACATTTGCAACTGCCATGTACAATGTTTTACCCGCAATCACTTTCGTCCTCGCATATATATTCGGGCTCGAAAGAGTGAAGCTACGGTGCATTAGGAGCGCAGGTAAAGTGGTTGGGACATTGGCTACAGTTGGAGGAGCTATGATCATGACTCTTGTAAAAGGCCCAGTTCTCGACCTCTTTTGGACTAAAGGATCCTCTGCACAGAACACAAATGGGACTGATATTCACAGCGCCATCAAAGGCGCAGTTTTGGTCACAATTGGTTGTTTCAGTTATGCATGTTTCATGATTCTCCAAGTAAGGCAGACAAATTTTTCTTTTTTCTATTTTTGGTAAAAATACTGATTGAGAATTTGATGATAAAACAATGTTTTTTCAGGCTGTCACGTTGAGGACTTACCCAGCCGAGCTCTCACTCACGGCATGGATATGCCTAATGGGGACAATCGAAGGAACTGCCGTGGCGCTAGTGATGGAGAAGGGAAACCCTGGCGCATGGGCCATTGGTTGGGACACTAAACTTCTTACAGCCACCTATAGTGTAAGATTTCAGACATGTGTCAGAAAAACCAATGACTCATATATTGTTTTGTAGGCTGTCAATAAGTTAAATTGTTGGAATGTAATATGCATGCAGGGGATAGTGTGTTCAGCGCTTGCTTACTATATTGGAGGAGTGGTGATGAAAACCAGAGGTCCTGTGTTTGTAACAGCTTTTAGTCCTCTTTGCATGATCATAGTAGCAATTATGTCGACTGTCATCTTTGCTGAGCAGATGTACTTGGGAAGGTAAGGAAACAACTAAAAAACAACATCAAACATGACTTTAATAATCAAGATTGAATTAAAAAATCATGAAAATTTCTTCTTCTTTGCCAGGGTTCTTGGTGCGGTGGTTATATGTGCAGGACTATATCTTGTAATATGGGGCAAAGGAAAGGATTATGAATATCCTTCCACACTGCAAACAGATGATGTATTAACACAACCAAAGTTAGAACTGATTAGAAATGGGAAGGATAATGTTGATCATGAAGTCATTAATGTCATCAAGCAAGGTGAACAAAGAAAAACAGTTGTAGAAACAGTTTAATTGTACAATCTCCGACACAAATGTTTTTCATGGAAGAGTCATTCTATTATGCTTCAGAGCAACTGTAGGATAGAATTACTAACTACAATGGGAGGAAAATAATTGTACAAGAGGATAAGAGATGGCAAAAAAAAAAAAGAGATGAAACTATTGGACTCAAGTAATAAACAATGAATATGATTATATCAGTGTTTACACCAAGATTGCTATCTATACCTTTAATGCATAGAATATATATCGAAAATGAAGTTACCATTCTCCTTATAATTAATTGTTTTAACCTCGTCATTCTTCACTATTTCACTAAAGATATTAGAAATGGCAAAGTTCTACCACATAGAGGCACCATCATACTGTTTAGAACTGTCTCGGAACAAGGAGAAAAGATGGCACTTAAGCTGAGTAGATGGCCGACAGTGCCATCTAAACCAGACATAGTAAACCCTGAGTCTGTGTTTATAATCTTCTAAATAAGTAGAAACCTAGTGAACAAACTTAAAAGCAATGTGAAACGCTATATATAATTCTCAATGAGAAAACTAAAAATCACTTCATTTATATGGAAAAGGAAAATGGAGAATAAAAGGATGGTTCGTTTTGAATATATAAAAATATTCATTCATCTTTAATTTATGATGAATGAAGTATATAATGTAAAATTGGGCTCATATTACTTCTCTAATTGAAGGGATGATTTCCCTTGGTAACGAGTTTATGAGCAATGAGTACAACAAGACTTTGCAAAGATGATTCAGAGTAGCTTTCCTTCTTCCTTCCCGTAAATACGCTGAAGTTCCCGTGTCGCAGCTAAATATGATTCTGAAGATACAAATTGAAGGACATAAAGACCAGTTGCTTCCGTATAAGTAATTCAAAAATAGTTTGTCAAAAACGGCATGAACTATTCACCTTTCCACAGTCGAAAGGATATTTGGTTGATAGTAGAGATTTGATGATTAGAAATTCCAGAGTGGATAACTACTCCATGACTGCGAAAGTGGTTGTAGCCGTCAGAGAATCATATACTATTTGGAAGCTTTCCTAGGAGCCTGCTATGGTCAGGATAAAATATTCTTTTGTACAAATGCGTACAACAGATCAAGCAGTTTAACCGTTTTTTTTCTTTGTTCTATGAAACATCTAACGCAATGGGGAAGGGGAGTTGTAGTAGGAACAAGGCATGTTATAACAGGAGGTATAAGTTCATTATTAATTATAGCTTCTCTTTTGTCTTGAACAATCTTCAATACGTACATGTTATTGAATTTATCTTTCTTCTGAAAAGAAATTCAATGTTACATCTCATGGTAATGGAACATTGTCCGCTTCTAGAGAATTCGTTGTCTTTATTTACTTAGCCAATGATGGCAATTTTGAGCAACCTCTTGTTGACTTCTACTGATGTGTATATGCGATTTTCGAGAGGGTACTTTAAGTTTGTTGAGTAAACGTTAGTGTGATATATATTATCAGGAGTTATATATCGAGAATGCCATCTATTGATGGAGGAACAAACAGCTTTCCGTTTACTAATATCGAATGTTCGTGCAAAAAAGCAGGTGGCTAGAAGTGAAGTGTTAGAAGAGGTAATAACGTATTTGAACGAACTAGAGAAAGGAAATAATTAAGAAAACTCATAATTAACTTGGAGTCGCCTTTGAACGAACTAGAGAAAATACATTGGCAAAATATTTAACTTCAGTTGATAGAACAAATGATATTACAAAAACAAAAATCTTTACATTTGCTTCACAAAAATGCTTCGAGTATTTTAAAAAGTTTTGAATTTCAATAACTTCCCTACAGTAGTGCTTCTTGGACCAGATCTAATTTTTAAAACTCACTCATTTTGATATCCATGTGGAAATTTCAATTCTGCTTGTTTTTTTTTTTTTGTAACAAGCTAGTCAATTATGCTTGTTTAATATTGCTCAAATCAACAAGTGTATAATATAAGAATTCGCATTATTAATAGTGATATTATAAATAAACTCTTTTAATAGTTTTTTTTTATAATATAATTAAACACAATCTGTTAAAAGATTCCCGCAGTGTAGAATTAAGTAATCGTGGCCTTCCACAATTTAGGGAATCTGTTGCTAAACAGATTATGCATTTGTTCTCTATAAGGATGATAAACCTCAAAACCTTATCGCCTTATTCCGCAGGTATAATTGAGTGTTTAAGAATTCAATTACTTGTTTACTATTCCAGTGTGAGTTTTAGGTGAGTACAGTTTTTTTGTTTTTTTTTTTTACAATTCTGGTGGTACATATAAGGAAGATGGCCTGCATAAAAATGGTGATGCCCTTTGTTTTAGTAATATTTCTCCAAGTAGGGTTTGCGGGAATGGATATTCTCACAAAAGCCGTACTCAATGAAGGCATAAGTACATTCATACTTGCTGCCTACCGTCATCTACCATAGCTATGAGCCCTTTCGCTACTCCTATATTCTTTATATAAATTTCTTTATAAAAAAACAAAATTGAATGTTTGGTCAGTGTCAATCATTGAATGTGAGTTCTTTACATTTTTTTACATAATTTTGTCATTACAAAAAAATAAACGAATTCAGTCAAAAATGGAATATGTATCGGTCGTTAATCCAGTAATTTTAGTAATTTTAACACAGATAGATGAGATTTGAATGAAGTTCACTTCTTTTTTTTTCTTTTCTTGAGTTTTCTAATAATTTTTTATTATTAAATTTTTCTCAATAAAGATTTTTTTTCTCATATGAACACAAGTCGTTAATAAGAATTTTAATTAGAATTGCAATAAAATATAATGTTTAATTGGTAATGATGTAAAAAACAGGGAGGTGAGACCAAAGATGACATGGATGGTCTTTTTCAAGATAACACTGCTTGGCTTACTCGAGTAATATTTCTTTTTTATTCAGTTCGGTTTTTCCAACACATTATCTGAATCCAATTTGTTTCAATTTGTTGCATAAATATTTTTTTCGGAATATAATAGACCAGTGATCGATCAGAATCTATTCTGTCTGGGAATGGAGTATACAACAGCAACGTTTGCAACTGCCCTATATAACACCCTTCCTGCAGTCACATTCATCCTCGCCTTGATATTTAAACTCGAAAGACTGAAGCTTCGGAGTATCAGAAGCGTGGGTAAAGTGGTCGGGACAGCGGTTACAGTTGGAGGAGCTATGGTCATGACACTTGTCAAAGGTCCAGTTCTCAACCTCTTCTGGACCAAAGAACCATCTGCACAAAACACAGCCGGGACCGATATTCACAACTCCATCAAAGGCGCAATTTTTGTCACAATTGGTTGTTTTAGCTATGCATGTTTTCATATCCTCCAAGTAAGATATTTAAGTATATGCATGTTTCAATTTTAGAAGGTTAAAACACACATATATTTTTTTAATTAATTTTAACGATGAATCAAAAGTTTTTTTCAGGCAATTACCTTAAAGATTTATCCGGCCGAACTCTCTCTTACAGCATTGATATGCCTAATGGGGACTATAGAAGGAGCAATTGTGGCATTAGTAATGGAGAGAGGAAATCTTAGCGCTTGGACCATTGGTTGGGACATGAAACTTCTTACAGTCAGCTACAGTGTAAGTTTTAAACATGTCTTAATTAGTAAAACAATGTCTCATGTTTGTAAGCTATTCCTCCTAATTTTTAAAATCATTCGGAATTATTTTAAAAAAAAATTAGGGGATAGTTTGTTCAGCCCTTGGTTACTACATTGGAGGAGTGGTGATGAGAACCAATGGTCCCATGTTTGTAACAGCTTTCAAAACTCTTTGTATGATTGCAGTAGCAATTATGTCAAGCATCATTTTTTCTGAACAAATGTATTTGGGAAGGTAAGTAAATACACCAAACAAAAACAACATAGACGAGTTAGATAATCAAGATAAAACGAAATATAATGAAATTTTTTTGTCTTGGTAGGGTCCTTGATGCGGCGGTTATATGTGCCGGACTTTATCTTGAAATATGGGTTAAAACCAAAGACTATGAAAATCCTTTCACACCACAAACAGAGGAAGAATCAACCCAACCAAAGTTAAAACTGATCAGAAATGGAAAGGATAGTGCTGATCATGAAGTCATTACTTTCAGCAAGCAATGTGAAAAGAAAAGAACCGTTGTAGAAACCGCTTAAAATGTACAATATCGGCACAAATGTTTTTGGTGGAAGAGTCATCTTCAGAAGCAACTTTAGGATAGAACTACTTACCACAATTGGAGGAAAAGAAATGCAAAACAAAAGAAAGATGACTATTGTATTCAAATAATAAACAATGAATGTGATTATTATAGTGTCTTCGCTACACCAAGAATGCTTCTAAAGTTATCATTCTCCTAAAAGTTAATTGTTTTTATCTCATCAGTTCTTCATTATCTAACCAAAGAGATTAGAAATGGCAAAATTCTACACATAAGAGGCACAATCATACTGTACCGAGTAAATGGCCTATATTGCCATTTAAACCAAAAATCATCAATCATGACTACTAAACCAACCTAGTGGACAAACTTAGAAGCAAAGTGAAAACTCTAGAATTGAGAATAGAAGGATGGTTAGTTGTGAAAATATACAGGTTTACATTCATCTTTAGGTTTTGATGAATGAAGTAATGTAAAACTATGCTAATATTAATTCTCCAATATAAAGGAAAAATCATTAATTCTCCACTGGTAGAGTTTATCAGCAATGCGTACAACAAGACTTTACATAGATAATTCAGAGTAGCTTTCCTTCTTCCTTCCCGTAAATACGCTGAAGTTCCCGTGTAGCAGCTAAATATGTTTCTGAAATACAGATGTAAGGACATAAAATTAGAAAAAAGACCAGCTGGTTTCGTTTACGTAATTCAAAATTATCTTGTCAAATATGGCATGAAACTATTCACCTTTCCACAGACGAAAAGATTTTTGGTTGATACTAGAGCCAGTCATTGTTGGGATAACATTGAACAGCATATCTTGTGTACTTCTGAGCTCTTGAACTATCCCGTAGATGGTTTTCCCATTCTCAAAGTATATATGATTATTTGGATGCTTTGTCTTGCAACCAGCGTGCCGTTCAAATTCATATGCATTGACCACCTGGAGAAAAACATTTTCTGTCAAGAGGCAGAGTCCTCAAGTAATCTTGCATGATTCAATACAATATGTAGCTTACCTTAGAGAAATTACATGAGTCGCATCCACATTGATATCCAGAACCCTTGATAACACCACGCAGCTCCTTCTGGAAACAGCAAAAGAAAAATTATAAACCAATGCCTTTGATTTGCAAATCTTTGGGAAATACAGCGCATTTATATTAGCTACCTCACGAGACCAAGCAATATATTTTACTGGAACTCCATCGAGCATACCGGTAGATAGCAAACTCCTTACATTAGAAGGAAAACTATTGCTCTGAACTTTCTTTGATACTTTTGTCTCTTCATTCTCCGCAGAAACAAGCACGTTGCTTCTAGATCCAACCAAATCTTTGCTAGCTGGATTTTCATGTAATTCAGGTGTGGACTGAGCCATCATAAATTCATACTTGGATCTTATCCTTGCAGAGTTATTTGCATCATCATCAATGGAACCACCAAAAGATATGATTGTACTCTGTCCCTTGCTACAAGAGTCTTGCACGACGTTACCGTTCCTGTTATATACACCATCCCTACATACAGGTGTGCTCTCTTTGTGAAACATGTTACCCTTTGATGCAGCACTATCGTCAACATGGTTATATGTTTGACCCATGGATATTACATTACTGTCAACCTTGTCGAAAGCAATATCAGAAGCAAAATTGTTACTATCATTGTAGGGAGGCAGCAGTATATTTTCATTACCCTTACTGTATGGTTGACCCATTGATATAAAGACGTCATTTTCCCTGTCATAACTTTCACTGATTATATTCTCTTCTTCCTTACCAAATGCAATACCCATGCACATGGAATTCTCATCAACCGGCCTGTACGCATTAGTAGACGATACAAAACTCTCGGAATCCTTCACCTGGCTAACTTTCACTTTTCTGATCCCACCATAGCTGACTGCAGACTGTGGATCCTCAAATGTGTGGGACATGGATAAAGCAAAGGAGTGATCACCGTAAGGTTCCTCAATCCCACTCCTTCCTGGAGTGACCTTCTCGGTGTCAAATAACCGTTCAGTAAATTGACCAGGAATAGACTGAAAACAGAAGGTGTTTCCCCATGATGGGACGTTTGAGTTAATCACTCCAGAAAACAAGTTGGTGGTAGGAGTTTCATGCGCATGTTTCTTGTTAATTGGAAGTAAATCTGCCTCTGAGCCATCCAAAAGCCATTGATGAGGACGCTTCGAAGCATTATCATAAGAAGCCATTTTGCCATCACTCTTAGCCATCCAAAAACTTTGGTTTGGAAAAGACTGCAACACAAAGATAAAAGAGCTGAGCATATATTGTCATCACTAGAGCTTACCTTTCAATCCAAGTAATAGCTTCAAACTCACAAAAAATCAATTAAAAATCAGACGTTATTCCATTACCAAATTACGAAAAGTGGACTCTTTGATACACACATGTTTCAATAACCAATCATAAAGCTTTGTCCAAGTAAATGATCTTGCCCGTATACTATTCATTTCCACTAAAGTTTCTTGCCCCCACAAAAGTTAGATATCTTAACGAGAAACTCGAAAAAAATTAATACAAAACCAATATAAAGTTTCATACTGTCATAACATATCCCTCGATTGTTCTCCCAATGTTTCTTCGTATGGGACCTTAACTCTGCACTTGCAGAAGTAAAGCAGACATTCAGAATTGAAACTGGAGAGTGGCTTCAACTTGAAGAATACCAAACAGCAAACGGAGAAGAAAACCAGATAACTATCGTAGCTCAATATGATCATCAACACAAACGATGTATACAGACAGAAAATTCGAATTCGTGACTACATAGACTAGAATCAAATCCACATTTCCCGTAAAAAAGATCACACTAACATAACCAGGTACCCGACAGACTCTTAAACTTCAAAATCGGAAGGTAGTGAGGTACACTTTTCAGATATTAGCAATCCTAAAAGCAAAACAAAAGAACAAGAACTCAAAAAACGAACAGTCCAACACACACTATTTATTTGTCCAAATAAGAAAGAAACTCACATCTGCAATATCGAGTCACCTGTGGCCAAATAAGATTTTCCACAATGTCGTCGGCGAAGTTAACTACAGAGAGAGGACGATCGGGAATCTCGCCGGCGAAGTGTGACCAACACTGCGATTTTTAAATTCTTTTAATTTTGTTTCGTTTCGATGCGTCGTCTCGGAATTATAATTTTTTCATCTAAAGCCTTCACTGCTCTGCACGACGATTGGAGAAGCTGAAACGATTTGGGCTTTTTCATGTTTGGGCCCCTTATGGAGTACATAATAGAAGTCGTTTTTTTACCATTTTACTTTTATTAAACAAAAGCGTATATTTTTTGTTTTACTTTATAAACAAAAGTCAACTACTAAAATTCCACAATTGTAAACCAAAAAGCTCCCTATCTTTTCTACACAAAATTTAGCTAATACAGGGAAACAAAGAAAAAAGAGTTAACCCAATATTAAGAAAAAAACTTAACAATCTTGCTTTTGCCAATTTGAAAGCTCCACTGTCCAATCCTAGGAATCCATGTGTCATCTCTTCTTTGGCAACATGAAAACATCCAAAATGTAACAGAAAACAAAAGAACAAAGAAACTAATAAATTATTAGGAAGCAGACGATATAAGTCTAGGGTGTGTGTCTATACAACTTTGTGCACGTGTGAGCAACAAGATCTCTTCAGCCTGGACTTTTCCGTGGCACGTGTATGGCAAGACCGGGTTAGGACGATGGTTTTGGTTAAGCGGTTTAGTTCTCCGGTTGGATTGATTCAGAGTTATAATATCAATATGAACCGAAAATAGAGATTGAACCCGGTCTGTGGGTCCGAGAATCTCGACTCTCCTCTCACGTACCAAATTTGTTTCAACCCGTCACCTTTCCACAGTATTCGATCACACCTGAAATAAATGATTTTGAAGATAACATTAGAAAAAAAAAAAAACAACATAAAATGTTCAATAAAAAAATGTCAATATTCATGTATATAATGTCTTTCGATGGTGGAAACTTACCAAGCTGGTATTCTACGCTTTTCCTTTGATTTTTCGGTTTGGACAACATAATTATCCGAGTTTATTAGATATTTATATGTTGGTGCGAAATAAATCCTTCCTTCTTCCCATCCCTGAAAAATTCTACCAGCTTTTTGTTCTATCTTTAGCTGCAAAGTGAAAACGAAAAAAAGAAGTTTTAGTTTAACTATACTCTTAAAAAAGTAATTATATAAACAACCAATAAATTTGAAATGAAAAGTTATTGACCTGATCTTTATCAAGAAGTGCTTCCCAATCATGATTCCTAAGCTGTTCATGCACGTCACTGCTCGCCCTTAGCCGATAATTCAAATCTCCGAGCCATATTACTTTACTGTAAACACAACCACATGATAAAACGATTAATATATATATTTTAAAGGAAATATGGTATTCGATTTCTGACGTTATAACACTGTTCGTAGACTTACTCGTGGTCCATTATCGTTTCGGGGCAAGAATCTTTAGAAGAACGCGAAAATCTTGTCCTCTTTAATATTTCCGTCACATCTAAGTTCCTTCGGACCTCGTCGCCTTCTTTTTCTCCAGACGTAAGATGCGTACAAACAAAGCATAAACTCGTCTCATGCAATGACATGCTGATCGATATCGAGCCCTACACAGAGTAATAAATGGTTGCATCGTTAGCTATTAAGCCTTAGAAGCGTTACAAAAGCTAACAATTAACTATATGCAAATCTTGGACTAACCTTGTTTCCAAGATATCCCATAATGCCACGACCAACGCATGAAACCTTGAGGTTGGTAATACGTTTCCGGAGATCATCTCTTACCCACACACACAAAAAGATCCCCACCATCTGTTTACTCGCTGCAAGAGAATAGCCTCGAGGAGGGGTCGAATTGCATGCAACTGAGTTATCATCCGGAAGATTGGAGAAGCTGAGACGGGGCTGTTGTGATGATTTCGTAAGTTCGATGGAGGTTCTGTGATTTTGAGAAAGTTCGAGGTCATTTTGTGATAAGTTGTTGTTGTTGTTCAAGGCTTCTCGGATCAAAGACAACCACTTAGCCGCAGGGCCATTGTCCTCGGCTCCAAGTACGTTTCCGGCATTTAACGGCACGATTTCTTGAAACCTAAACAAAAAATAAAGTCAATGATTATATGATTATAGTAACAAATATATTAAACGAAAAAGAACGTTAATTAATATGATTAGACGCATACCCTAGCACGTAAATATCGGCATCAGCGGGAGATTTAAGCCAATCTTTTAGGTCTAATCCTTCATGTGGCGACTTCCCTCCCACGTTCCATGTCCCGACGAACATTCTAATCATCAACAATTAAAACAAATTAGTTAATAACTATAGTCTAATTATAAATAAATAAAGAACTAATTTATACATAATACATGTATATATATAATCATGAGAATTATTTATTACTTGAGATCAAGTTTGTCATCAACACGTGTCACATGTTGTTCACCGGTTGATTGATTTATATCCCCATTTGCTTGGCCCAACCAACCTATCTCAACCACAAAACATAAACAAAATCAATTAAATACGTATTTTACTCTTTAAAAAATTATAAAATTATGATCAGACAAAGAAATGTATAAAACAGAAACTGATGAATTGACAATATAGCAAGTACACCTAAAACGGAAGACTTTTTGTTAACGTATAGGCTAAACCTAATTTCTCACCCTACATGTGGATACAGATGTTACAACTAATCTCATTTTATTACTTAACTTACTTTATAACACGATTTTCAAGAGAAAATCTCGGTTCCCTTTCAACGATTACTTGCCGTCGTTTTTAACACTGATGTCTAATACTGCTAAAAATGGACCCAAAGCTCTGTACGGACTGTCCCAATTTCAAGTACGGTTTCCGGCCAATAGATACGACGCCGTTTTCGATGCCCCAAAACTATATATTAAATTAAAATAAAAGTCTTGTTTTCATGAGCTGTTTATCAATATTAATAATTATTTTTACCTTGAAACTTTTCCGGCACGATCATGTAGTAATCACCGTCGGAGCAACTTTTCCTCCTCGTCTGAGTCAGCTCCATCTTCCCTGCAAATAGAAAAAAAAAATAAAGAAACAGAAAATAACAACCTCCGTTAAGTCGATGTGAAATTAAGAAAACGGCGCGGAGTCCAGTAACGAATTTATAAAACAGCACGAGCTTATCTATTACCTTTGACTGAGTAATCTGAGTGAAATTCGTAAGCGCTGCTACGTAAGTTTAGCCACTTCCTCACGACGGTTCTTGGCCAAGAAGACTGCAAAACGCGGCCGTTTTTTAGCGACAAGATACATAAGAAGAGTAGAAAACGACGGGTAGTTTAAGAACGTACCTTAGATTTCAAGATCTTCCCCATATTTCTGTAATAGAACGCTCTGCCGTTTTTTCCGCCACCGTTTTTTGTACAAAGTCAGAAACCAGAATCTGAGGATGATACAGGATGAGGATCTGGTAATTAAGAGGTAAGCAAGATATTAATACGCGTAAACGAAAACGAAATTAATGAAAACTAATGACGAAACCACTAAGAATAATATTTATTGAGCAATTTGGGTCCAATCAAAGAACAAGAAAGACAGAAATTAAAATTTAAAATAAGAACACGCAGACAAAATTTGAACCAAAAATAAATACTAGTAGCAAAGAAATTCAACGGGAAATAGAAAAAACCCTAGTTGCAGGAGAATCTGAGACAGATATTTTAAAAACTAGAAAAATAATCAATACCAAGGTCTTAATTAAGGAAGTAATTATAGTATAAAAGCATGTTGGAAAATACAATTAACACATGTCATGACGCGGAAGAAGCCATGTTCTTCCTTTTTCGATGGAAAAGACTTTTGGTTTAAGCTTCGTTTCTTCTTTACAGAGAGGAAAAACAGAGTAAACTAAAACAGAGGCAGATTTTCTTTTCTTTTTTCTCAATTATCTCGAAATAAAATACAGGTTTGGATTGACCTATATCCAAAAGTTGCAAATCTTACTCATTTTTACTTTCTTGAAAAATTAGAGAAAACAAAAGAAAACTGGAAGAATGTAAGATATAATTTATATTAATTTTGTGGAACAAAAAAAGGAATTAATGAGAAGCTAATTATCTGAAAATACGAGTGTACCTATGTATATATTTAAGGAACACAACTTTGCATTTGATAAATGAGAGTAAGGATAATGAAATGAAAAATATTTATTTAAAAACCAACTTTTTCTGTGGTATGGTGTTGAAGGAGAAAATAAGGAAACAGAGCTGTCATGAAGAGAAAAAACAGAGCAAGTACAGAAGACGAAAGGGCGCAGAAAATTCAAGCAACGACATTAGTAATTTCAGACAATAGACAGTTTGTCCGAAAACGACTTCGTCAACGAATAAATCAGAAATTACATCAGTAATAATTGCATACTTAAAGGAAGAGCTTTACTTACATGAGTATAAGCTATACAAAGCGATGTTTTGTGAACGAAAATGGAGAAGGGCCAGTTTAAATTTTGGGAGTTTTCTCGATTTTTTTTTTCCTCGTTGCTGAGGGAAAAAAGTTGTCAGAGAATTGAGAGAGAAAAGTTGTGAAGGATGAAGAGAGACGTTGTGCTCTTATACGGCGACGTTTTGAGGGGCCTCTGGAGAAGAACGGGTGAAAATGGCCGATCTGTCAATGGAATTTTTAAAAGTTGTGTTATGTGTGAGGTGGACTGATTGGACCAATATAGTCAATATTTAATGTGTGATATTTCAATAGTTAATGATACTTTACATTAACAAGGCGAGGTAAGATACGGAAATCGTGTTAAATCAGGTTTAGACAAAAAAAAAAGAAGTTTTGATAAGAACTAAGAAGCAATAAATGTAGTATATAAGTGTGAAACTGGAAACAACTTATAGATGGTTTTACATAAAATCATAAGATTACTGCTACAATACTCATCCATCAATTCGAGTTTAAAAGTTTTGGTTCTACTCTCGTAGATTTATAAGGTAAAAAGTTTTAGCAGATAAAAAATAATTTAGATTTATAGTTGTGTAAAATAATTTTGGAAAACTTACCATTTCAAAAATTAGATTGTAAAAATTTCAAGAAACTACGGAATTGGAGCCGATTCTGCATATTAGAATTTAGATCTAATTGTTTTGTTCTCAAATATTTGTTTTAAAAAATTAATTATGTAAAGAAATATATCCAACAATATATCTTACTAAATTCTAGAGATTTCAAAAGTGGGTGTCGATAAGACGAACAAAATTTTCCACAAAACAGGCAATGTGATTAAGATAGATAACTAAGCTGTATGGAAAAAAAAAATGTAAACTAGCTCCCTATTTATAATAAGATGTCGACACGGTAATCTAGCCAATTTAATCATAAGCCTTGTTATAGTTTTCATTATTTTTAAGCGTCTATGCTTTTGTGTGTACTACTATCGAGTTTTCACAAAGTATTAAACTATAGTATGAGTCTGGATATAATGTCTTGACGTATATTCGATTCATATACTGATAAAACACGATTCCAAAATGTTAATTACTTCTAGTGAAAGGGCATTAATTAGCAAGTTTCCATTCTGTAGTTAGTAAAAAAGAATGTAATTAATGGGACTCGCTTAAAATCACATAACCTAAGTATTTATGGAATACATAAGTTAAAGATTTATAAATTCAAAAAAAAAAAAAAAGATTTATAAACTCCAGTCAACTCCTTCGCATCTCTCTCATGAATATCCTTGTGCGTTTGACTTCTTGGAACAAGATTCACATTAAGCCCACGGTTTTGTATTATGAATATAATAAAAGCAACTAGTAACTATTTACAATACGAAAATTAACTAATCTTACGACTAATTATGAGCTCAACTTTTCAGTCGTCTTCCCCAGTATTTGTTTATAAAATTTTAAAATTCCTTCGAAACTTTATATGTAAATGAAATCAAAATTAACCTTTTCAGGGCAGTTTAACATGTGACATTTTGAGTATCTAAAAAATTTTAAGTTTCATTCCAATACTAACAAATCATTATTTGAAAATAAATTAATTTGTTTCCTTTATTGTCAGGCAAAATTAATATAAATATATATCTTAAATTCCTTTTTAGTACTTTTCCTAAAAAAGAAAACAAGATATTTTTAGCAAAAAAAAAAATTAAAAGATGCTTTTTCTGACGTGGTAAAAAAATGTACAAATTAAACTGCAAATGCCAGTGCCAGTGTTGACACACATCGTACAATTTCTTGGTCAAATCAGTTATGTTCTTTTGAAAATGTGTACTATTCTGCATTTATCTTCAAACTTGCTATTTTCCATTAAAACAATTAAGATAGAAATAGAACCACTTTTGCTACACGACTTTTTTTTTCTTTGCTAAAAATGATACACGATTTTTCTTTTAAGAAATAAACCTTTAAATTGCCAGTCCTACATTAATTTTTTTGTTTAAGGATTTACCTAAATTAATAAGTAGAAAAGGTTACAAAGAAGCAAGCATATACCAGTCGTACATTATTCACATAGTTACTGACATAAACGTCTAACTGTTAAAAAGTACTGTAGTAAAGTGTTCGTTTAGGACATTCAATAGAATTGGATGTTTGGAACAATAATTAGTTGAGGATACAATCAAACGAAGCTGCGTTGATTATGTATAAACGAGAAAATGTAAAAAAAAAAGGTATAAACGAAAAAATAATTAAGATCTCAGAGGAAATTGGTGAAGTGTTAAAATTGGTGCAAGGAGTAATTAAATTCGAAGAAATGATTCGCATTATGGGATTGTTTTCATTTATACTTTGATACTTCAAACATGTAAGAAGAGCAAGCCAATTATTTCTCCTTATACCCAACATGCAATGCTATTGGACTAACGTTCATGAATATTAAAGTGTACATAAATACATAATTACACACACATATATATATATATATATATATATATATATATATATACTCAGGACTGCATATACTTCTGCACCGTTACCAGAAAGAAAAGAATCCTTGAACGTTTTAAACATTTGATTGTTAATTTATAATTTATTACTATTAAAGCCATATATATAAATGCACTCATAGCGATATAGCAATATATGTGTGATAAAAAAAACGTCGGAAATATTGAACTTTTTGAAGGTCCCTTTTGACTAACCCACAAAAAAACCTAGGAATCGTCATAGTGCTTCATACTCGGACATGTGTTCTAACTCCTTTATTATTATAGTCTTGATTACAAATCAGAATCCCACAAACCAGCATTTAAATATAGTTAATGACCAACTAATCACATAATCTCAGACGACACGTCCTGATTTATCTACGGTCCGAATATTAACGCAACATTTATAGATCAGGTAGGTTAAATTCTCGCATTTATTGATCTTCTGTCCCTTTCACCATTGATATGATCTTATCGATCCATTTCTATGGTGATATGAAAATTTATGTCCCCCAATGTATTAACAACTATTAACCTCTCCTCTAACGCTTATTAACTTATTAATCTATTTTGTGCTTTCGGAGTTTTAGATGTTTGACTAGTCGAAGAAGCTTCCAATGTGCATAACTTTTATCGATTATATATTTCTACATTTGGTTAGTTAACTTTTAAAAGATTTAACATCATGCAACCGTGGCTTATTTTCACGGGTTTACGTAGATGAATTGAAAGAATGCGGGCGACCTAACATGTACGTCGGATTTTAGACTTAGCGAAAAGCCAGGTTTAATTATCTTAAACCTCTTGATATTCCCTACCGCTCATATTATCCAAATTTCAATTCCGATAAAAATTTCATAATATTACTGTTAGCATATACTTTTATTACTAACATATACTTTTATGATTCAATCGGTGAACTTAACTAGTTCGATGAACAATAATATTATTGAATATTTGTGTGTACTATATGATGCCTTTAACATATTGTTGTTTCAGTAGAAACATAGGTTAAAACAAAGTGCAATTGGCAGATATCTAACCGAGATAAAATTTAGACGATCAGACGCATCATAAACTGAAAGTTTGAAACCTCTTTATAAACATTCCGGAACACTGGAAATAAAATCGTTAAAAAACACTGGAAATAAAATTGAGATAAAATTGTAGATATTTTAAAATCGTTATATTAGATCCATATTATTGAAAAAAATTACCTAGGTTATCTAACTAGAGCCAGTCTACGAATCATCTATATATACATCTAATACATTTTTTTTACAAGGGTTCAATAATACAGTGCCTCCATGTGTAAGAAGAATAACAAGAAAAATTAGATATGACTATGATCACCCATCATCTTAAAAAATGTGTATTAGTTTACTTTTCACTAGACATTTTCGAGGTAAAGGATTAAGACATCGATCTATATATATATATATATATATATATATTGATGAAAGTATACATTTTCTTTATTAAAGTGCATATTGTATGTATGCTATATATTGGCCTAAAAGTGGATTACTGAATCAATGTAAAAAGACAACACAATTTGCATCAGCTAAGATGAGTTTTATCAATCAACAGTTACATTTTAGTCAAATATATATAAAAAAAAAAAATCTAAATGACCTAAGCCGTATCATTATAACTTAAAAAGAGCTACGATAAAATAGAATATGTCAACTTTTCACTTACGACCTTAGAATTTGCAAATAATAGATTCATATTTTCCGAGTATCCAAAAAGGACAAATGCATCGGTCGTGTTCTCATCCGCTATGGATTAATTTAGTTATGCCTGGCTCTGATAATTAGATACATATTATGTTCTAATCGTAGATAACTTATGATTAACTTTATGCGAATTATACTACCCCATGGGAATGTATATAGTTGATTTAGCTATCCTTAATGTACATAAATTTTTAAAACCGTATAGGCATGAAATTGGACAGCAAAAATATGTCGAGGTTAAATTCTTGATCACATGTGTCATTAAAGTCATATTTTCAGCCATTAAATAATAAAACAAGGTGGTTGACAGATATAAAAAGACTAAAACAAGTAAAGTTCGTAAAAAGACAAATACTATAAGCTTAGTTGGCGATTACACAAGTTTCAAATTTAAAGAAGATAATGAGTCGTGGTCACAAACTTTTACTAGGTGTCGTTTAATCCCAAATTTTAGGCCCGAGTAACAACAAGAGTATACATCCACTAATTAAACACACGAAAACAGAGTTGAAACACGAAACTAAGTTACTAGGTGTCGTTTAATCCTAAATTTTGATAAAAGAGATCTTGAAACCTTGCAATCAAAGCTATCATAACCGTAGATTTAATACATAAAATGGGACCAGTTGAAAATGCTACACACTCTCGTATTTAAGTTCAACTCAATTTTGCAATGAATAATAGTTATAAATTTTTGTTTATAAATTTTATTTCTGTTTTCATTAAGATCAATAGTTAAAAAGAAAATAGATAACAATCATTCAGTTTAGCTATTAATTAAGAAAAGTCATTCGGTAAAACTCAATTGGT